GCAAGAGTTTGCGGCTTCTCAACTAAAAGTCTCGAAATGCGAAGGAGTCCTGACTGTCACCGATATTGAGAAACTCAAGGATCCGTTCGAAAGGACCGGAAGTGAGCTGGTCAGTGGTCCCGTGGTTGGTGTCCATCCGCCCAACGATGTGGTCAGTTGTTACCACGCTCTACCGCACTGTACTCTTACTTTTTCAGACTATCCACAAGACCGCGTTTACTTCTGAATCCCTGGCGGATCTCGCCGACATCCACGTGGCGTTCCCGTCGAAAGGATCCGTCCCGCCGACGGTCCCAGTTGTTCTGCCGAATCGGCGCCCAACCAGCACGATTAACAAGAAGATGCTGAGTCCGGAGTCGATGTACGAGTTGGAGCAGACGAACGGACACTTTGGCATTGGCTCCAACGATTTTGAGTGGAAGGAGGAGACCGGCGTTTACGGAGGCATTTGAAACCGGTTCAGCGATTGCACCCACCACAATAAACTAATTGTCATTTGATCCGTTTTTTTTCTCTCGAATTTGAAGCCTGAAAATGCAAGAAAATGCCAAAAGTATACAATTTTGCAATTATGTTCTCTCATTCCCCCAAAAAATCGATAATTGAAATACGACGAGCTGTGTGTGTATGCGGTTACACATATGCAAACAAATATTGTGGGTCTCCTCGACCGCCCGCATCCTCGCATGACTGTTTGGTCGGTCGGCCTGCGTCCTCCGGCAGTACAATTCTCTCTTTTTTTTCGACTCCATCGAAACACGTGCATTTCTGCCGACTTTTGAATGGCCGACCCGTTGTACTGCCTACGCGGCGCCACAATTGCGATCGCCGTCTGGAATATTGTAGGTTTTTTTTCTTTTTTGGCTGAAACTTTCCTTTAAATCGTGTGTGAGTCATCGAAAACTAGGCGACAAGCGCATGCTTATCACCGGCCTTTGCTTGGCTGCCCGCAGGTTGTGTTTGGCTCAGTGGCTAATCGTTTTGGCTTTGATGCACACCGACCCCCACAAGTTCGAACCCACCCCCCTCTCTCCATTTCAGATCTATTGTTTCATCCAATTCGGCCTGCTCGGTTGGCAGTTTCAAGTCGTCAAAAACATTCTCGCCGAGTACGAGAATCGACAGTTGCCCGCCACTGGAGCGTACGTGAAAATTTGATAGCGAAAAATGTGAAAACTTACTTGCAGAATTGATGGATTCCAGGCTCGATTTCCCGGATTGTATCAAATTTACACGGAAACGCCGGAACGACGAAGAGCCAACGGTATTTTTGGGGACGTTTCGGAGAGTTTGGGTAGAAACACGGTTTCAGCAATGTACGTCATCATCATAGTCTGTCTAATATTCGCCATTCTCAACTTGCTCACTTCTGCTCTCCTCCTTTATGCCGCTTTTAAGGTATAAATTGTTTAAAGCGACTTTAAATGACGCATTTTGGTTTCAGTACCTACGCGTATTGATTTGGCCGTGGTTCGCCACTTCGGTGCCTCTCTGCATCATGACGACTGTCTACGCGGTGTTGTGGTGGAGCGGGGTAAGTTAGGCCATCAAGTATGAGAATCCTAGGCCATCCGGTTTATAGGATGTGTTCAACGAACAGCTGACCGTCTCAATTTTCGAATTCGTGATGTCGGTAGCGGTGAATGTAGGTTCAAGACATGTTAAACGTGGTGTCCAACGTGACATTCAACATATTTTTAAAATAAACTTCGAAGTGGGGCATTCACTTTCCCAAAGTCCCGAATTACGAAAAAAAATTCCCCGGATTTTAAGATTTTTTTCAAAAAAGTTAATGATACCGAGAGAAGTACACGGCGAAATGGAAGAGCTGGCCTAGATTTTTCTAGTCCCCGGATGAAATTCCCTTTTCTTCCGATTTTTTTCCGTTTTCGTGCAAATTTCTTAAATTTTCAATCGTTTTTTCACTGAACACACTTATTTACAATATTTTAAAAAATTTATGTTTTTTTCTGTGCCGTGACGCCAAAAAAATCGATAATCTGAAACGTTTTTTTTGTTGTTTTTCCGGGTTTTTCGCTCAATCTTCGGTTTGCGCGCTGAAAAATAAATAGAAAGAGATCGCTCAATCATTTCCTGAGTCTTAATTAAAGTTTGCGAGTTACAGAAAGTTCTATTTTTCAAAGTAATGCGAAAAATCCAAAACTTCCTATTTTCAGTTTTACAAAAAGTGGCCGAATTTCTGAATTTTGTCTGAATTTTGAAAGTTTCAGATTATCGATTTTTTGGCGTCACGGCACAGAAATTAAACATAAATTTTTTTAAATATTGTAAATAAGTGTGTTCAGTGAAAAAACGATTGAAAATTTAAGAAATTTGCACGAAAACGGAAAAAAATCGGAAGAAAGGGGAATTTCATCCGGGGACTGGAAAAATCTAGGCCAGCTCTTCCATTTCGCCGTGTACTTCTCTCGGTACCATGAACTTTTTTGAAAAAAATCTTTAAAATCGGGGAATTTTTTTTCGTAATTCAGGACTTTGGGAACGTGAACGCCCCACTTTGAAGTTTATTTTAAAAATATGTTGTATGTCACGTTGGACACCACCTTTAAACTCTTGTTTAACTCTGTGCCCTTAAGGTGATCACGATAATAGTGGTGGCCGTTTTCTTCTCTCGACTCTCCGGCTCTCTCTTCTCGACGCGCCCGAAACACAGCCGAAGACGTCGACGGAAGCACGTCACAAAAGTGTACTTGGACCCGAAAGACTCCCGACGACACCACCACCAACACCATCATCGGAGACACTACCCGCCGGACCCGAATCTCGAGGTGGTCCCTCCGCCCACGCATCACGCCGCGCCCTATCTCGCCCTCGACTCGGCGGCACTCTTCACTCCGAAACCGAAAGGAGACGTGCTGCCGGGCGACGTTCCCGACTGGCGCAGGGAATGGCCGACGGTCCCAGATGTTCAGCTGCAGAGGCACTTGAATCAGCAGCGGAAGGAGGAACTTCGGCACAAGGGGTTCAATGTGCCGCCGCCCGGACCAGTGGGACCGACTACGAAGTGAGTTAACGGTATTTGACACAAAATTTGCCACCGAAAAACCTCTGTATCTCAGCTGCCTGTGGAGATATTAAAAAGTGGTCAACTGATACAATGTACACAATTTTATAATGAACAATTTATCAGTTGACAACTTTTTGCTATCTCTACAGACAACCGAGATATATCGATTTGAAGCGATATAATTTCGACTTTACAGACTCGACTTCTACGCGCCGGAACCCGACGAGCCGGGATTCCCGTGGAAGTACAAGACGCTGAACGAAAGTATGCGCGAGCGGAGGGAGACTCAGGCGGAGCGCATCAAAAAGCTCTACTACCAGCACTGGCCCGAAGATCTGCCGAACATGCCGATGGAAATGCGCAGGCGGATGCAAGAGGAGCGGGAACGCATCGAGACGCAGCGAAACAAGAGCAAGATCAAGGGCTTCGAGGACGTTTAGCCGTCAACGTCGTGAGAGTTTGACGAATTTTCCGATGGATGCGCCTTTAAGCGACTGTAAAAAATACGTTTGGAGCACACGAGTCATGGTCTCCAGAGCTGACAATGGGCGCAAGTGCGAAATACATTGGCACGAAATTCAAATTTGAACAGCAAAATTTGTGTTTTTTGCCAGATTAGCCACGAAAAATCGATAATTTCTCGATTTTCTCTCGATAGACCGATTGTATAGGCTATTACAAATTTTTTAAGCGCAAGAGCGTCAAGTCGCAAATCACATTTATCCGTTTGAAGGTTTTTGGTTAAAACTGCGTGAATTTCAGTTACTTTTCGGTAGTTTTCGCTGTTCGAGCGCTCAAAATGCTTGTATTTACGTGATTTATCATTCTCAAAACCAATTCTGTCGGAAAACGGTCAAGAAAGCACAAAATGAGAAGTGCGATTTTTAGGCCACCGTCTGCAGAGCTGACAATGGGCGCAAGTGCGCCCCGCCCAATAGAGCGATACATTGGCGCGAAATTCAAATTTTAACAGCAAAATTTGTGTTTTTTGCCAGATTAGCCACGAAAAATCGATAATTTCTCATTTTTCTCTCGATAGACCGATTGTATAGGCTATTATAAATTTTTTAAGCGCAAGAGCGTCAAGTCGCAAATCAAATTTATCCGTTTGAAGGTTTTTGGCTAAAACTGCGTGAATTTCAGTTGCTTTTCGGTAATTTTTGCGGTTCGAGCGCTCAAAATGCTTATATTTACGTGATTTATCATTCACAAAACCAATTCCGTCGGAAAACGGTCAAGAAAGCGCAAAATGAGAATTGCGGTTTTTAGGCGGCGATCGGCGGCGAAGGCGAAAAAGCAAAGTCCGCGAAAAATGCGCCAAAACGTCATTAATTCTCGAGAATTAGTGTGTTTTCATGTCGAACAATCATTTTTCATCGCCGTTGAGCACAAAAATCAGAGAAAACCTGGCCGCCGAGGCCACGCCCATATTGTCAGCTCTGGAGACCGTGGCGAGTGCTCATAGTCAATCATCAATCGTGTTCTGACCCCCCAAATGCCCCCTTTCCATTTCCATTTCGATTGTATGTACATTTGATGACTGTTACTTTCATTTCCCTTTTTTCTTCTTCTTCCAGTGATCTCCTTTCTCTTTCTCTTTCTCTTTCTCTTTCACTCTCTGTGTCTACCGCAAAAGAATGAATAATAATGAAGAATCCGCGTCCGCCCTCTACACAAGAGGCCGCAAATTTCAGAAGAAGAAGAAGAAGAAGAAGAAGAAGCTAAGTGTCGTCGAGGGAGAGAAGCGCGAAAAGAAGATTCGATTCGGTCGCGGTCGCGCAACCGAGACGATCCGCCAAGCAGATTCGCTTTTCGCCGGCGGGCGCTGTGAACACGAAGAAGTTGGTTGTTGCGGAGGCTTTTGATTGATGGTTTGTCGCGCGCCGCACTCGGGTTGAACAACTTATTACCTGATTTGGCGGCACCGGGTGAGAATCATTGGGAACATTGAAAGCATGACAAATCTCCCCCCATGATCCTAACCGTCGAAAAACTTCTCTGCAAAGCCTTGGTTGTGGGGCCCGGAATCTTGAATTCTTCGCCTTTTGACAGACCCCCGAGAAAGTCCCTGTGCACGTCATCTGAACATCCGAACGTCAGCCCATCTGATCATTGATCGCCCGTCCGTCCTCTCGCTTTCATTCCGCTCTCCCTAATGGTACTCCAAGTTCGTTTCGCTTAATGACAAGTCTCGACTTCCTCAAGTACCGCCCATGTTTTTTCCGTTTTTTTCCGACACCTTCTTCTCCGTCATCATCATCATCATCATCGTCATGATCAGAGAAGCGCCGCCCACGGGTGAGGCCGTGGCGCTCTCTCTCTTCCTCTCCTCCCTTTCGGTCGTAGTATCGTGTACAATATATGCGCGGCGCATATAAAAGCCGCCGTTGGCGATGGCATTCCTCGTGATACCTTACAGCCACATCTGTCTGCCGCTTTTCACCTTTTGTTATCAGTTGCCTCTTTTACCTTTCCTTACTATCCTTAAAGTTCCATCTTATAGCTTCTTACCAGTTTTCTAAAAGAACACAGCTTTCTTGAAGAAGAATGGATCATTTCGAAGAGCACAATAATACAGTTCGCAAGAGCTTTCAGAAGTCCAAACATGGAGGAGGATTCGCGTGAGAAGGCGTTCCGTTTCGTCGCCTACTCGGCCGTCACCTTCTCGCTCATCGCCCTCGTCAGTGTGTTCGTCACGCTGCCGCTCGTCAACAACTACATCCATTCGGTGCATTTGCGTGTGCACGACGAGATGCAATTCTGCAAGTTGTCGGCGCGCGACGTGATGCTCGAGATGCACAATTTCCGCGCGACGCCCAACAAGAACCTTCCGTTCTTCCTGCGGCGCTCGTCGAACGAGACGACGCGTCTGAAGCGTCAGGCGGCCGCGTGCCAGGGCTGTTGTCTTCCGGGACTGCCGGGACCCGACGGACCGCCCGGAAAGAACGGAGCGCCAGGAAGACCCGGCGCACCGGGAGCTCCTGGATTCCCGGGACGTCCGCCAGCGGTGTGCGAGGAGATCACCGAGCCGCCATGCACCCCGTGCCCTCCGGGAGAGCCGGGACCACCGGGACCGCCAGGCGACGCCGGAAACCCAGGACAATCGGGACATCCGGGCCGGAACGGAAACGACGGAGGCGCCGGACCACAGGGACCGCCAGGAACGCCCGGAAACAACGGAGAGGGCGGTAGAGACGGACCACGCGGAGAGCAAGGAAGACCCGCCATCTCGACGCCCGCACTTCCCGGAGATCCAGGCGCGCCCGGAGAGACTGGACCGCCAGGACTGCCAGGAGAGCAGGGACAAGCCGGTAAGTCTCCGACCCTAGTTCTTTACCTAATTTGACCCGATTTCCAGGAAGACCGGGATCTGACGGAGCTCCAGGACCTCAGGGACCACCAGGACCGCCCGGACAACAAGGACATCCGGGACAAGCGGGTCCGGCAGGACCACCCGGACAACCGGGACCACAAGGAGAACGCGGAATCTGTCCAAAGTACTGCGCGCTCGACGGAGGCGTCTTTTTCGAGGACGGAACTCGCCGCTGAGCGCCAGTTGTATTTCCGCGCCCCTCTTAACTTATCCGCTCCTTTCTTTTTTTTGCCGTCAAAGTTCGGGTAAAGCCGTGCTGTCCTGTCCTGTTCTGTCTGCACATTTATTATGGAAAAAACGACGAGAGTAAATGTTCGTACTTTTTCGATTACTGTAGCCGACTTGTCGCCGCCGAACTCTTGGTGTTGTGCAAGGTTCGCACAAAATTATTGATTTGCTGTACGGGAATGTCGGAATCCGGCGTTCCGTCCCACTTTTTGTACGGGTAAATCATGCCGCTGTTGCGCCATTTCGCCAAAATGTTCAGAGCGGTGATGCCGAACGAATAGTGAGCACACAGTTTGTAGACCTGAAACAAAACGGGGTTGTGCGCCTTTAAATCACTGTAACATGCGTTTTTCCAGGATTTCAAGCTAAAAACCATTCAAAAAACGAAAAAAAACTAGTTATGCGCCTTTAAAGTATACTGTAAGCGGAAAATTTTCCGGTAACGGGGGTCATGCGCCTTTAAATCACTGTAACATGCGTTTTTCCAGGATTTCAAGCTAAAAACCATTCAAAAAACGAAAAAAAACTAGTTATGCGCCTTTAAAGTATACTGTAAGCGGAAAATTTTTCGGTAACGAGGGTCATGCGCCTTTAAATCACTTTAACATGCGTTTTTTCAGGATTTCAAGCTAAAAATCATCCAAAAAACGAAAAAAAACTAGTTATGCACCTTTAAAGTATACTGTAAGCGGAAAATGTTCCGGTAGCAGGGGCATGCGCCTTTAAATCACTGTAACATGCGTTTTAGCGACGGTTTTCCAGGATTTAAGGCTAAAAACCATTCAAAAAACGAAAAAAACTAGTTATGCGCCTTTAACGTATACTGTAAGCGGAAAAATTTTTCGGTTTTCGCAATGGAGCGCGATTGCCTACCCGACAAAACACGTTGCTGGCTCTGGTGACTTTTTCGAACGCCAAATTGTTTTTCCACGCGACTATCCGATTTTGTGGCGCGCTTGACACATCTTCTTCCACTTTTTTAGGCCTAAAACGTTCGGAAATTGTTTGTTTTTGCGATTTGCGAGTAACCCGCCTGAATTGAGGAAGATCCGATTTGTGCCAAACCCGGACGGCGTCGAGGAAAGTGGTCGAAACGGCGAAAATGAGGAGAAAATTGAGAAAATTCATTGGAAAGTTCGTTTCTTCGGTATTATCGGGTCAAAATGGTGATGTACTGAAAAACACTTCAACTCGAAAAGTGGTTTTGTCTGTAAAAACGACTATTGTCCGTGAACACGATTTTTTGAGTATTGACCATAGGTTAAAGGCGCATACGAACATTCGGAAAGCTATTTGGGTTACGGTAGCTTCAAAAGTCTGCAAATTGTCGTCACGGTCACGTCACGTGGCCTTTTCGTAGCATTTTCAGATTTTTCCAGTTTTCCAACGATGGGCGGTGTGCTGGGAACTCTGACCGTCACACAAGACCTCCGAATTTACGACGCCTCGAAATTTTTCTGCTATTTTTGGCTCATCTTTCTCGGAGTGAGTTTTCCTTCTGCGCCTTTAAACTTTTTGTGAATACGGTAAGATTAAAGGCGCAGAGCAAAAATTTCTCAAAAATTTGAAATGTTTTCAGTCGATAACGTGCAGTTTTGTACTTCGCTGGGCCACCTCCGACTCGTATCATCTGCCCGCTTTCGTGAGCATTTTTTTTTGAAAATTTCAGAATAATTATTGTTTTTTTTAACAGAAAAACAAAAAACGCCTTCATTTCGTCGCGGATTTGAGCGACGCCGGAGCCACCAGTTTCTATCGGGTCACCAATCGAAAAGTGAAAAAGCACTGACCGGAAAATGCACTTTTTCTTCGTTTCTCTTTAATAAAAAGCGTTTTCAATATTTTCCAGACGCCAATCGTCTACGCCCGCACCTATTTCATATACGCCCTGTGAGCAGTATTCGGCGAAGATGTGCATAGCCGAGTGGTTACTGTTTTCGTCTCTCATTTTTGTTCGCACACAAGTTCGAGTCCGCGTCGTTCGAAAATCTTTTGCAACCTTTCTATTGTAGTTTCAGGTTCATTTTAGTGCTCATCACTCACTGACGGTTCACTGACGGTTTTTGGCTAGAGAATAGTCGCGAAAGGTCCGCCAAGACGCTCAAAAATTCCATTTCGTGTTCTTCGCACTAATTGTTGTTTTCGTCATTTTCCGCGTCTTCTATTTTGACCTGTACATAAAAAAATGGGCACACTATTTTACTCATTTATTCGCTATCAATCTAAAACGCGAAAAACTGGGCCCGCTTGTGTTTGTTGATCATGCAGAGGACGATGATGAATACAACGTCGACGGGCACCAAAATCATCAACGAAATCCAGACGGGATGCGTGAAATTCAGCCAATTTTCGTCGTCGTCTTCTAGCTGAAATATCGATTTTTTTGTTTTGCTGGTTGCCCGGCGCGCTCCATCGCACCAATGGATTCTCGAAGCACGTGGGTGTGGTGCTGGTGGCCACGCAGACGTATCCGGCTCCGCATTGACTGGGGAAAAAAGTTTGAAACAACAACAAAATCACATTTATTTAAAGGGCCAGGGAACCCAAAAATTTTTTGATTTTTTTGTGAAATTTTTTTGTGACTGTTTGAATTGTCTCTTATTGCCACTCATACACTGGTGAAATTAAAAATGCCAATGAACGAAACGGCGTGCAGTTGAAGTTGTGGCCGTGGCCTAGCGCCAATGGCCTAGAAATATGCGCTTCTCGGCCATTTTATTTTTTCCGCTTTTTTACCGCTTTTTTTCGCGATAAAATCGAAAAACTCGCGACTTCGTATCGACTGAATGAAAACAATTTTTTAGCAGTGAAAAAATAAGTAAGTGCCGAACAAATGTCAATCAACTGAAAAATGGGAGAAACCGTGAAATTTTAGGAAAAAAAACCGGTAAAAAAGCGGAAAAAATAAAATGGCCGAGAAGCGCATATTTCTAGGCCATTGGCGCTAGGCCACGGCCCCAACTTCAACTGCACGCCGTTTCGTTCATTGGCATTTTTGAGAGGCAGCATTTCACCAGTGTATGAGTGGCAATAAGAGACAATTCAAACAGTCACAAAAAAATTTCACAAAAAAATCAAAAAATTTTTGGGTTCCCTGGTCCTTTAAGACGTTTACCTGTTACTCTTGCATGATTTGCCGGTTGCCACGTTTCTCGCGCCGCTCGCCTTCAGTTTGCCCATCAACGCGAGTTTTTGCGTGGACGGATCACAAAACGCGCCGCGTGGCACGTCGATCGGACACCGAGTCTTGCTGAGAAACGGACCGAGCAGCGGCACCAAAGCGCCGTCGATTTCGGTTTTGGCGTCTGAAGAGGCGCTGCGATTGTGTACGGTCGGAACGGGTGGTACGGTGCCTACTCGACGGACAACAATGACCCAGATAACAGGCGGTGCCGGTCGGACAACGAATTCCCCACTCTTTTCGGCACTCCGGCTCTAAACTGAACACAATATCGACGCGTGGGCACAGCGTTTCGGGCGTATAAGCGGCTGCAAGAAAAGAAGGGTCTACAGTAACCGCTGGCCGACTACAGTAACCCGAAACGCACCGACACAACACACTTTCAGGGACCGATCACAAAAATGCAAACTGCCGCAATCCGCGTCGCTTCGACACTCGATTTGAGGCACAATTACGTGTGTGCCAGGGTTGGTGCATCGGCCGAAACGGCCTGGAAGGGGTACGGTAGTTTTTGAGGGGGGTTACTGTAGGAGTACGGTACCTCGACAACACACTCCTCGCTCGGTGTTACAGTAGCCGTGGGTTTGACAATCGGCGGAAGTTGTGCACTTTTTTGTGTAGCACTCAGTATCATTGGCAATTGAGGCTGAAAAGAGAGAGAGAGAGAGAGAGGGAGTGGAAGGATTACGGTAGGTGGGTACGGTACCTGAGAGTACGGTCGCCGTGAAGAAGATAACGATTATTGATGCAATTTTGATCATTTTCAGAGGAATTGATGCAAAATTCACAAAAAAGTAAAGTGTTGGAAATCGGAAGCGGGCGGTCACGTGGAAAATAGGCATACAAATCTGGAAGAGGAAAAGCTAGGCCCCCAGGTTGGTAGTAAGCTGTGCAAACGTTTATTGAATCGAAAGATAGATGAAAGACATGAGAATGTACACAAAAAATAACTTAAAAATCGGCCGCGACCGTCGTTCATCTCCGACGGGCGGCTCCGAACTGTTGCTCGGCTTTTTGTCGAATCTCGTTGTAAAAGCACTGCTTCATGTTTTCGAATCGATCGTAGCACGGCACGTACGAGTAGTCCAGCTTCGTCACTCTGACAAACTCGCTCTACTGCACTCGGCCGATTCGCAACGAAGCGCGCTTACCTGTCGGGGCGTTGATCGCAAAAAGTGAGACATTTTTGGCCGGCCAACGTTGTGGTCACTCCGTTTCGAGCGCAGCACTGAAAAAAATTTGTTAGAAAAATTAGTTTTTTTTTTCAAATTTTCTGGTTTTCTGTTTTTTGTTCATCGTAAAATGCCCCATCAAGCACGGCGACCAAAAAAAAACGTAGAAAGGGGCGTGGCCTAGCGTGCACGGGTTTGTCACCATTTTGGCGCGAAATTCGAAATTTAACCCCATTTTTTTCCTGTTTTTCGTAAAAAATTACCCAAATTTTGTACGATTTCGACGATGTAATTGCATAACTTTGCTGAACTAATCATTGCGCGCACTTTTTGAGCTTAAAACGAGCAGATTTCATTCAGAAATGAATCAATTGATGCGATTTTCAAGTTTTGTGCTGAAAATGCGCGAATTTCAGTCATTCGCCGATACTTTTTGCCGTTTCAACGCTTAAAATACTTGTATTAACGTGCTTAATCACTTCCGACACTCACTTCGTCTCAAAACTATCCACATCGGCCGGTATGAAAATTCCGAAATTGCGAAATATGCCAAAAACGTCTCAAACGCGGCGTTTTCACGAAAATTTCGATTTTTTCTCTCATTAATGGGTTCTTTCGTCGATATAAAACACATAAATATCGGAAAAGTGCCGGAATTGCGACAATTTTCAGAAAACTCCGATTAGGCCACGCCCCCCTTTCTACACTTTTGGTCGCCGTGTCAAGCCGAATTTTCACAAAACCTGCGTGTGATCTCTTCCCTGCGCCGCGCAAAAGTGCATATCGGCCGCCGCTTCAAGTGGACATCTATCCGTCTTGAAATACATCGATTGCAGCTGAAAATCGACGAGAAATTGGCGATTCGCGTTGGAGCGCACTTGCATACCGCGTCTTTTGTGTACGTGTTGAAATGGCACTTGTTGAGGCAGGCGTCCGGAAGGCCGCGTTGTTCGCAACACTGTCGGAAGATGAAGTTCGGATTCTGAAAAGAGAGAGAGGGAGAGCGAAAGTGAAAAGTGGTGACGGGCAATTATTTTATGCGCCGACCGGATTTCCGGTATTGCGCAATTCTCGACGATCCGCCGAAACGTACTGTAAACTGAAGCAACGTGGCATTTTCGTACGCCGGACGATGAAGATCGATGACTTCGGCGGAAGCCTGACGCGACGATTCACGACGCAAACCGAAGATGTTGTTCTTTTGACCCTAAATTTTTGATGCTGGAAAACCTGAAGTGGTGTACGTCAAACGATGCAGAATTTTGCGCTGAACAATAAAGTCTCTTAGGCCTATCCTCGGAAATTAGGAAAAATTGGCGAAAGACTCGAAAAACTAGATTTTCTATGGATTTTTGCGATTTTTGGTAATTTCCGCTGATTTTCAGCTTTCCGCCCAAGAGACTTTTTTATTCAGCGTGAAATTTTGCGTCGAATGGTACCAAACTGGACGCCTAAGCGTTTTTTTTCACATTTTCAAGCTAGGCTAGATTACTGTTGCTCCAAAAGTCTGCAATTTCGCGTCAGAGTACCTTCAGCTTCGGCAGAGCGCTCGGAACCTCCTCTCGCGAATCCTCGATCTTTTCCAGGCTCCGGGCCGAGTCCTCGATGAAGATTCCGTCGACTTTTTGGGTGAGCGCACTTCGGGCTCTGTTTCGGGCACATCCGTACTGACCGCACGAGTAGCCGGGCGAGCACGACGCCTGATTGCACGAGACCGCCGGCGGAGCAGCACAGTACGAGGATCCGCACACGCCGGAGCTCAGACACTGCAAGAATTGTGGGTCTCGAAGGGAGGAGAAGTTGGTTTAAAGGCGCATACCGCTTGAGCCACAAGTGGTCCCGCCACGAAAACCAATAAAACTGGCACAAAAGCGCCGGAAAAGGCCATTGTTGCGTTGAAATGGGAAAAAGAAAGGAGAGCGAATACTACTACAGTTCGCCCCGCACCTCCTTTTTATACACATCCGGTCTCTCGCTCCGGAGGGCACGACGGAACTGGATTTGTGTGGATTCGGATTCAGATGGCAGATGGGTAAGTACGAAAAACGAAGGGGAAAGGAGGATCGGGGGGTACTTGAAGCCGTGCCAACCTTCTAGAAGGACTTGACGGCCTTGGGCATCTCGAAATCGGCGAGGATTTATACAAATACAACTTTGGATGGCGGAACAGTTGGAAAAGGGGATAAATGTACAAATAATTAGATCAACAATATCGGTCCGACTTTATTTTGGTGCGTCTGTCGAGCAGCAGCTCGTGCGCCGTTCCGTCCGACTGCGCCTTCTTCACCGATTTGCGATCTTTGACGTCGATCGAGATGTGCCGGTTCTTGAGGTCGACCTTCGAGTGCTGGTACATTTTCACATAGGCCGTCTCGCATTCTTTCGCGTTCTTCCGATCCTCCGCCGACCGCCAGTCGACCGGTCCCTCCTTCACGGCGTCTGTGCGGATCTGAATTCGAGTTTTCACAAAAAATCTGCGGATTTTTTCACTTACGTTGACCATTTCGTTCTCGGTGGCGGTTTTACTGGCCACGTACACGTAGCCCTCTTTGCTGGGCACTGTAGACAGGAAAAGCGGTGAGGCGCACGATTGAACTGCGGTTTTTCCCTGAAAACCATCAAATTAGTGCATCTTAGGTCTAATTCTAGCAAGAATTACATCTTGAAAGACGAGCAGGAACTGTTCTCGCACTCCGATCGCCTCGGACATTGCGATGAGCTGAAACTCGCTGTCCACTCCAATATACCGCCCGAATCCGGTCTTCAGACTGATTTTGCTGTCGTCCGGCGTCTTGACGAGCGCGAAAATCTCCTCGGGATTCGGTCCCTCGCCCTCCGGATGCGGAAATCCCACGGTGAACTTTCCGTTGTCCATCGCGGCGATGTAGGTGCACGAGGAGCCGGTCCCGCCGGCCACCTCGATCGCCACGTTCACGCCGCCCTTTATGTCGAACTCGTCGGCGATCCGACGGAATCCGCCGTGCTCCACCGTGTCCGGATCGATTTTCTCGCCGTCGTCCTTTGTCTTCCTCTTTTTCTCCCGCCCCACTTTGAATCTGCAAAAGTGTTCAGTTTTTGCTGTGTTCTTTGTGAAAATCGGATTAAATTCGACTTACAAATTCTTTTTCCCGGCTTTCAGCTTCAAACCGCCGCCTTTCACTGCATTGTAGTCGGCTCCTGGCATTTTCTGCAAAAAATTACGGAAGTTTGAGGAGAATGACAGAACAATCAATAAATCACTCATTTTTCAACAACAGTGTTCAAAAAAATAAACAAAGCAAAAGAAAATCGCCTGAAAACAAACGTTTGCAACGAAAAATAAATAAATTCGAATAAAAGAGCGCCGCCGTAAATCGTACGGCTCTCGACCGTACCTCGGCGACTCTGTTTTCGCGGCGAGACCCATCGCACGGCGGATTTCGATCGAATGCCGCTGGGGCCTAAATTGTTTCCGTTTCTGCCCGTTTTTGATGAATTTTTGCGAGTTTTTCGAGTTTTTCGACAAATTTGATGCTTGCGAAACATATTTTGAACGTTTTTCTGCACTATGCCAATGTTTTCCGGCCGATTTCCGCAATTTTATGCCCAAAACCCGTTTTTCAGAAATCGATTTTTGCCTGCGTTGCTTCTCGTTTGTTCTTTCCGCTCTTTTATCGTTTAAAATATTCCCTGCTCGATTTTTCAAATCAATTTCGTCATTTTCAGTCATGCAAATCTTCGTCAAGACTCTGACGGGTAAGACTATTACCCTCGAAGTCGAGGCCTCCGATACCATCGAGAATGTCAAGGCTAAGATCCAGGACAAGGAAGGAATTCCGCCAGATCAGCAAAGATTGATCTTCGCCGGTGAGTTTTACTGAAATTTTCATCATTATATCGTCAATTTCGTAATTTTCAGGAAAGCAACTCGAGGATGGACGTACTCTTTCGGACTACAACATCCAGAAGGAGTCGACTCTCCACTTGGTGCTCCGTCTTCGTGGAGGTTAGTTTCAGACAATTTTCGATAAAAATCACCGATTTCGTCATCTGATGAAACTCATTCCTTCTTGATTTCAGGAATCATCGAGCCATCGCTCCGTCAGCTTGCCCAGAAGTACAACTGCGACAAGCAGATCTGCAGAAAGTGCTACGCTCGTCTCCCACCACGTGCCAGCAACTGCAGAAAGAAGAAGTGCGGACACTCGAACGATCTCCGCATCAAGAAGAAGCTGAAGTAAATCTTCGCGCCCTCGCCGTGTTGGCAAATAAATCGTTAATTTTTAATAATCTGTAACCTCTGTTCATAACGTAAAGTTCGTAAATATTGGAAAACAGCCAAGTGCCTCCTGAAACATTTTGAACAAATCAGATGCTGAAGTCAATAATAAGGACAGCAGCAGTAGCATCTAGATCGGGCCGGTTTGCACAAGGGTTGTTTCGGTAACTTCTAAAGTGAATCGTTGCCACTTCTCCAGTTCAGTCGTCAGATCTCCTTCACAGCGCTAGTGAGAAGCGAGAGTCAGCCAAAGGAAATTATCAATTTGGAACGGGTTCAAGTCAGAAAACTGCGGAAGCGACGGCCGGTTTCATCGTCGGTCGTGCCGAAACCACTTCGAGAGCCGTCAGTTGTGGCGATGGCGCTTGCAGAATCGGTGCAACTTCAAGACGTGCTCATGGACAGTCATCTGAACGGAATGTACAATATCACAAGCATTGATGATGGTTTTATCGATTATTTTTATAATTTCGAAGAGAAAAGGGGTTTCAGAAACGGACGAAACGCTTCATTTCGTCAAAAAGCTCGAATATACTATCAATCCGGCGGAGCTCAGCGAAATTTTCGTGTTTCGCGACGGCGTCATCGTTTTCTGGAATGTCGATTCTAGCCAGGTGCAGGAAAAAACGAGGGAATTGAAGAATTTTTTCATACTTTCAGCGTTCGCAAATCCTTCGCGAGCTGGAGCGTTACGCGGATGCGCCGTACGATTCGATGATCGTGATGGACGAGCAGGACCGGATGTTCTACAAGTTCTCGGAGCAATCTTCGGTCTCCTCGATCCGCCAGGACCGTTTCTTCCTTTCCGGCAAACATTTGGACGCGTTCCACGGCTCGAACGAGGCCATTCTCGAGCGGTTCGCGTTGAGCCAGGCGTTCGCGGCGTCCGTCAAAATCGGCGTGTGGGAAAGTCTTCTGAATAATCTGGCGGAGCCGTTGAGCACGACGACAAAGTCGCTGACGCAGGGCGTGATTCCGTGGAGCCGCAAGCAGGCACTCATGAAATCGGGAGAGTTCGCCGCGCTTCGACACTCGATCAACCTGGACTGCACGCTTTTGAATAAGGACTTCTATTGGGAACGGCCCGAATTGGAAAAGTATTACACGATGGCCGGCAGGCATTTCTCATTGGATCGCCGGATAGGGTGGGTCACATTTCCAGTGATTTTGTGGCAATTTTTCTGATGTAATCACAATAAAGAATGGATGTTTTGCAGAATGCTGAACAAGCGACTCGACTACTGCGAAGAGCTCGTCAAAATGGTGGACAACACGATCGCCCTGCGGCACGCCTCCACACTCGAGTGGATGATCATCGTGCTCATCGTCATCGAGGTCATCTTCGACGTTTTCCATTTTGCCGACAAATCGCCGAAAAGTGTGATCGTCGTGGAGGCACCACCGCCCAAAATCTGATAATTTGTGATCTTCATCTCATTTCCATCCCCGTTTTTTTTCGTTTTCCCGTGAAAATTGCCCGTTTTATTCGCATTTCTTTCACTATGAACCGCTCTAGGCATTGTTGTTCGATTCCGGCTCGATCGCCGTCGAAACTTGCGGAGATCTGCGCGCGCCGAACGTCCGCTCCCAGTAACTGTATCGGGGCGGAGAGGTCATCGTCGAGGCGGGCGCTGTGGTATTCGGAGCCGCCTGTTTCGACGATTCCAGCGGTTCCAAGGTCTGCAAAAAATACGAGTTATTGAACAAAAAATGGTTGTTTTTTTTTTCAGATTATACCGAATATCTGGGCGGCTCATCGACATTTATGGCTCCGACCGGGGTTTCCCTTTGCGCCAATGGAGGATATACCCAGGGGACGCGCGGAAGCAGATGCTGCCGACGGGCCTAAACTCATTTTTGAATTCGATTCTCTATTTGCGATTTTTCTATTCAAAATTGATGAAAACTGGACCAAAGCTGACCAAAACCCTATTATTATCGGAAAAAAAAACTTGCAGCAGCACGCACATATTCCTCGTTCCGGTCCACCTGGAAAAAGATGGTGACGCAGGTTAACATGCAGAGCAAAATTAGCGAATAGCACTTGACCGCCGTCACCACGTCGTTCTGTTTCACCGCGTCGCAGAACATCGAGATGGCGTCGTCCTTGCACACTGTTTCGAACAGACCACGGGCTCCCGGAACATTCAGAATCGACAGGTGGAAGAGAAATAACAGAGTGAAGCCGCTTGTGCCCTAGAATTGAAAAAAAAAAACTGTTTTCGGTAAATTTTCCAGAAAAAAGTTAAGGAGACCACGAGAGGAACACGCGGATATCGATTTTTTGAATTCGGTCTGAAATTCGACATTTTTGTGCCTTTGGCCTCAAGGAAACCGAAACGAAATCAAAAATCACTCCACCCGCCGTGTACTTCTCGTGGTCTCCAATGCTACTTTTTCACTGACACAGTACACGAACAGGGGAACAAGGAGTGTACTGATATTGGACATGATCGAAAGGAACGCGAGAAGAGTGGCCATGAAATAGAGGAAACAGACGAAGGCGCTACTATCTGGAAAGGGGTACGGTACGCCCGATTGTGTGCATTTTTGCGTCTAGTGTCGGTTACCATAGTTGCCGTACAAAATTTGCGCTCCGCCCGCGAGAAGCCAGTGAATGAGCACGTAGAATGTCATTGCGATCTGGAAAAAAAAACGGAAAATTTGCGAAAAGCGAAAATTCAATTTTCGTCGTGAATTTTCAGGTAATATTTTACGGAAAACAGAAAAAGTCGCCTTTTTTCAACGTTTCCCTCCGAACCTCACTAAACATGGCCAACAGAACGGACTCGGCGGTCGCCCACCGCCGGCGCCACCAATTCGGCCATCTTCTCGGCGCCTCCTCCTCGATCGCCGTGTTCATTTCGATTTGCGACGTCGTCGTGCTTCCGCCGTCACCATTCATACTTTTTGTTATTCCTTTTTCTGGAAATTTGCCTAAAATTTCAAAAAATTCCTGGGAGAATGCGCTTGGGGCTCACTGCAAGAGACGAGTAGACAAGGACTAGTTGATTTCGAAAAATGGCTAGAAATAACGTTTATATCCCTGTTTTCCGTTTTTTTCCCGTGAACTTTTGTGTTAGATTTTCAGAGTTCTCGAGATTTTTTTCTGAAAGTTTTCAATTAGCCGGAATTGTTTTCTGTGTTTCTCTTTCCCGCGGCCCCGAGGGAAATCATCTCGGAAAGCGTCATTCTTATCGTTTTCTCTTCCGTTTTCCATTTCATCTGTAAATTTGTTCTTTTCCGACACTTGCGCATTTCTCCCCAACTTTTCCAACTGTTCTGCGCCTTTAAAACTTTCTACAACAGACCACCGTAATTTTAAAGGCGCACAACGCACTTTTCCACGTGCTTCACACCGCAGATCTTTGATTTTTCGGGCTTTCGCGATAAGAAAACGAGAGAAAAGAGATGTTTGATTGACATTGGCGGCATCTCAAATGACGACAAACTGCAGTCGCGCCCAGTGATGTGTCTCTTCCCCGAAAAATCGATAAAAGCTCCCATTGATATGATAATTTTTTGCCACGTGCTTTCTATCGAAAAGCTTTTAAAATTCTCTCCATTTTTGTCAGTATTGTCGATTTCAGATGCACCGCGCACTTTTAAGCGTCTCGCGACGCGCCGCGGCCGTCCGGAACCTCGCCTCCACAGTCGAAGGCGACGCTTTCCGGCTCAACGAGTACAGTGCCAAATACTTGGGACACAGAAAGGTAAATTTTGTCTATGGAAAGAAAGCGGGAAAAGTCCTAATAATGTCAAATTGGCCTAGCGCTCGGAAATTACGATTTTTCACTAAAATTTCTCAAAAGCGACAAGTTTTCATTGATTTCGATCGAAAAACAGTAGAAAATGTTGGAAATTGTTAGATTGCTTTAAATTTTGTCAATTTTCCGCATTTTTCTTCAAAATCTACCGGAAAACCTCGAATTCCTGTAGGCCCGGTTCACCGAAAAGTTGGAAATCGTCAACGCAGACGACACGCCGGCGCTTCCGATCTACAGAGTGACGAACGCGGTCGGCGACGTCATCGACCGGTCGCAGGATCCGAACTTCTCCGAGGAGACGTCGCTGAAACTGTACAAAACGATGACACAACTCAATATCATGGACCGTATCCTTTATGATTCGCAGCGGCAGGGCCGCATCTCGTTCTACATGACCTCGTTCGGCGAAGAGGGAAACCACGTGGGAAGTGCGGCGGCTCTCGAGCCACAGGATCTCATTTACGGGCAGTACCGGGAAGCCGGAGTGCTTCTCTGGCGCGGCTACACGATGGAGCAGTTCATGAACCAGTGCTACGGAAATGCGGACGATCTGGGAAAAGGCCGTCAGATGCCGATGCACTTCGGCACCAAGGAGCTCAACTTTGTGACCATTTCCTCGCCGCTGACGACCCAACTCCCGCAGGCGGTCGGGTCCGCCTACGCATTCAAGCAGCAGAAAGACAACGACCGCATCGCCGTCGTCTACTTTGGAGACGGTGCCGCGTCCGAGGGAGACGCCCACGCGGCGTTCAACTTCGCCGCCACCCTCAAAACGCCCATCATCTTCTTCTGCAGAAACAACGGATACGCCATCTCGACGCCCACCAGCGAGCAGTACGGCGGAGACGGAATCGCGGGCAAGGGACCCGCCTACGGACTCCACACCATTCGGTTCGTCTCGGGAATTTTAGTGCTGCGCCTTTAATACTGTTTAACGGTGCAGGACCCTTGCCAAGACCCACCTTTTTATTTTTAACGGTTTTTCTTGCAGAGTGGACGGAAACGACCTGCTGGCGGTGTACAACGCGACGAAAGAGGCCCGCCGCGTGGCGCTCACCAACCGGCCGGTCCTCATCGAGGCGATGACGTACCGATTGGGCCACCACTCGACTTCCGACGACTCGACGGCGTACCGATCGGCCGACGAGGTGCAGACGTGGGGCGACAAGGACCATCCGATCACCCGATTCGGAAAGTACATCCGAGAGCGCGGATGGTGGAACGACGAGAAGGAGAAGGCGTGGCAGGCTGAGGTGAGGAAGTGGGCAACGTTTATGCAAAATTTGCGCAAACGCCGAGTAAAATTCGAAATAAACCGCAATTTGCCTCATTTCCAGGTGAAAAAGCGTGTTCTGACCGAATTTTCGGCGGCCGAGAAGCGCAAAAAGGCGCACTACCACGATCTGTTCGAGGACGTCTACGACGAACTTCCGCTGCGTCTCCGGCGCCAACGCGACGAGCTCGACGCGCACATTGCCGAGTACAAGGAGCACTACCCGCTGGCGGACCTCAAAACAAAACTCTGAACTCTATTTGCACCGATTTCTTTAAATAGACCTTTTGTTCTTGTGCCATTCCAAAAATCTTTTCTCTAGATTGTTCCTCTTGTAGTATAGTTTTATCGTGTTTCTTACCCGCATATTGATTCGCATTTTCGACGGTTTCTATGTGACAATTCATCAATGTGTATTTCTTTAAGCTCAGCGCGAAAAAAGTTCGCAACAAAAAGCAGTTATCTGAAAAGAATCGTAAAAATATTTATCAGTTTTCTCCCTCTTCTTATCAATCTCTTTTCCACTCTTTTCTCTTGTCTCTCCAATCCCTTTCGTTCTCGTTTCTCTCGTTTTCCTGTTTTCAGCTGGTTTTCTGGTCAACTAACCGTTTTTTGGCCATTTTTAGGGCCTAAAAATGTATGTGCTCTTCCAGAATGCCATCCTCTTCCCAGTACCCGTCCGAAATCGACGTGTCGGACACGAGACGACTCGTTTCCGAGTGCGAAGGCGACCAAAATTACCCAGACGGTAAATTTTCGAAAATTCCAGTTTGCAAAGCCGGAAACAGCCGGAAATGACAAAAAGCTTGAACTTTTCCATCGAAAAAAGCGCAAAAATGATACTGATAACGCTTGAGCGAGCATAGAATGAACAAACTTTGAATTTGACCCTGAAATTAAGGAAAAAGCGCCACCGGATCTTTATTGAGCTCAAATAACTCTGCGGGAAACTTCAACCGCAATGCGACGATCGGCCGCGACGTCCGCTGCTTTTGTGGGCACCCGATTCGCTGAAAATTCAAATAAAAATCGATAAAAAGTGGAGACTAACCGAACCGAACGCTTGTTGCTCTTCGACGCTTTCTTCGAACGTCGCGAGCTCGAGCGGGAGCGGGAAGCCGAGCGACTCGACGAAGAAGAGCGCGAACGTTTGGAGACCGAGCGGCGAGGAGTCGAGCGTTTCTTGGCCGAACGGGCGGAACGGCGAGAACTTGAACGGTCCCGAGCGGCGGAGACAGAGCGTCTGGACGAGCGCGACGACTTGGGACTGAAAGTTGTGGTGTGTACGATGAGTCTCGCAGCTTTTTGTTTACTCAGCTCACCTCGGAGAACGGGCGGTGTGGAGAGAAGAGCTGCGACGGCTTCTCGACACGGCACGACGGGTCTTCGGACGGCGCCGACTGCGGCTGCGGCTTCTCGTGCTGGATCCGGAAGACGCGGAGCGAGAACTGGAACGACTGCGATCCTTGACGACGCGACGGACAGTCTTGGTGGTGCGCGGCGTGAAACGGCCGTTCGCATCGCGTGGAGCTCTCTTGGCCATCTGGCTACGAGCCCTGTTTTTCGACGTCATCACCTTGAGTAGATTTTTGGCTAGTAGACGGGTTTTTTGATGGTTCTCGGCTTCGGGGGATCCTTTTTATAGAGCAATTTTACCCCAATGACCTTTAGGGAAAGGTCAGGCGGTCAAGTTCGAAGGATCGAATTTGCATCCCTAGTTCACGTTGTTGTTGTTGTTGCGAACGTCATTCGAATCGACCGGTACGTTCTTGAGATCAATCGAATCAGAGTGTGTTAGATGACATCATCCGGAGAGAGGTTCTTCCAGTTGACTTCTTAATTGACAAAGATCAGCGCCATCTTTTTGGTAGCAGATCAGAGTAGAGAATGCTACGAAGAAAGTGAATCAGATTTTGGCGGTGATCTTCGTAGTGACGATTCGAGTAATGTCTAGGAGGCTTGGGCGATAAAAGTTTGCAAGACAAATGGAGATATCGTAAGACTTTCTTCAGTAAAGTGCAAAAAAGCCATAGTTTGTGTACAATCAAAGATTTTGAAAGATCTTACGAACTTTTTGTTGTTTTGACCGCAAAAAGTGTGTCTCGCCGCCTTCACAGTCAAGACTTTCTATGATTTATGTTGTGTGTCGTGGTCTTTTGGTTTCGACCACCACCAGAAATTCAGAAGACGATCTTTTCGGGGGGATTAGGGTTCTCCGGTTAAGTATTGAAATAAACGTGTGTGTGATTTGTAGCGCCAGTGGGAGGCGGAGCCATCGGAGGAGGCGATGGACGTTTCCGGACTGTCCGAACACATTGCCACTACTGGGACGACGAAGAAATGACCGCTACAATTCTCGGATCTCCGGAAAGCGACAGCTCGACGGACGAATCGATCGATAGACTTAATACGGTTAGTTATTTGAACAATTGTTGTACTGTAGAGTACGGTAGAGCACGATTTCTTCACAAGAACAAGCTGTCTTGACTTTTGAAAATTAGCGGCCATTTTCGAATTTCACGTCAACTACGGTTGTCAGAAGATCGTAAATCGGCATGTCAGACAATGTGTGTGACCTTTGAATATTACCCATGACCACACACTCGTTTTCAGTAACCTTACTTTTTTTTTTTGCGATAAACACTCAAAGATTAGTGAAGACATGTATTCTCTGACCCGTCCACGACGATGACTTTAATAGGATCAACAAAACAGTTGTACAATATCACATGTCCTCACGTTTGTTCGAAAAAAATGTTTGGAAACGATGCTTTAAAAAAAACGATAGTCGAAAGTTCATCGAATTCCATTCCAGTTCACTTCGTCGTATGGTTTTTTGTTTGTTTTCGTCTTTCTGTTTCCCGCTACCCAAATTAAGATATCATCAGTTCATGCACCTCAAGGTCTTTTCCTTCTATTTTAACTATTTCCTCTGAAAATGGTTGCGGCCGCGCGGAAAAGCTATTTTAAGGTGAGACTCTAAACTTTTGTAATTTTGGCGTGAAATGAAGTGGCATTTGCTAGCACAGTTTAAGCACTTCTTAAGCAACATTTAAACGAACTTTTCGGCAAAACAACTTTTAAACGCATCTTAAGCCATGTTTAAGCAAATCGTAATGCCGCGTCCAAAGTCTCGGAAAACCCGCAAATCTCGCAGATTTTGCAGTCCAAAGTCGGCAGAAATTTGCGGGAAATCCGGGGAGCGCACAGCTGAACGAGTGTTACCGTACACCATACAACTCGGTATTTTTTGAAAAAATTTAAATTTCTCGAGAATATTTGCAATTTTTCAAATTTCTAGGGTAAATTTTCAACGGTATTTTTTGAAAAAATTTAAATTTCTCGAGATAATTTGCAATTTTTCAAATTTCTTGGGTAAATTTTCAAAAAATACCGTAGTTTTATGGTGTACGGTAACACTCGTTCAGCTGTGCGCTCCCCGGATTTCCCGCAAATTTCTGCCGACTTTGGACTACACCATAAAACTACGGTATTTTTTGAAAATTTACCCAAGAAATTTGAAAAATTGCAAATTATCTCGAGAAATTTAAATTTTTTCAAAAAATACCGTTGAAAATTTTCCCTAGAAATTTGAAAAATTGCAAATATTCTCGAGAAATTTAAATTTTATCAAAAAATACCGAGTTGTATGGTGTACGGTAACACTCGTTCAGCTGTGCGCTCCCCGGATTTCCCGCAAATTTCTGCCGACTTTGGAGTGCAAAATCCGCGAGATTTGCGGGTTTTCCGAGACTTTGGACGCGGCATAAGCTTTCTGTGTTGAAATGCTGAAAGTTTGAACGCATTTATTAGCACGCGCTAAACACGACTGAACACGTCTCCAAACATCATCCGATCCAGTTCTGCACGCCATCGATTAGCTTCTGCCGTTAGTTTGGTTCTTTGCATTTTTTTTCTCAGTCCTCCTTATCGGACGGTTTCTGAAATAATACCGAGTTTCACACGATTCTAGTTTCTACTTTCTACCTTATGCGCGACAAGAATCAGCGGCCATATGTGGCAATTCGTTCCGCTATAAAAGTGACACCATTTCTCTGCAGTTTCCCTCAAAATGTTCTTGGTCAGAGTGTTCGGCACACTTTTTTTAAAATTGAATTGAACACCGAGAAACTTTTCGATCTTTCATTGATCCGTCTTCTTTTTGCGAGGTACGAACACGTGTTCGATGTGTAGAAATCAAAGAATGATGTTGCTGACGGGCTCAGATTTTGCAAGTGAGAATTCATGAATTTTTCACTAAGAATGTGCAAAATGATGAGAAAATCGTCTAGACAGTGAATATGAGAAATTTCGGAAAAAATTGTAGACGATGAAGGTTCTTGTGTTAGAAACAATGTATTTGACGTGCTTTTCGAAAATTGTTAAAAATGTGAATAGATTTGTGGTTTTGTGTAAAACTTTAGAATTCAGAGGATTGAACGTTTTTTGTTTTTTTAGTGCATTGTCAGTATTCTCGAAGGTATAGAGCGAGAGCTTCTTGGGGGACCTTTATAGGCAAAACCAGAGAGACTCGGTTATAACCTATAACATGCCGTCCATCAGAAAAAGGTCCCCAAAGGAGCTCAAGCTCTATACCTTCGAGTAAAAGTGCTATGCGCCTTTAACTGTCTACCGTCTGCCTCTTCTACCGCACAAATGATATTTTCCTCGGCCCCCACCCAGATTTGTTGGTGATCATTTGCCCAGGCTTGTACGCGCTAATTTCCAGTAAATGATGATTCCAGAAGAATCGCTTTTCCTTTTCCTGCCCGGTCCCTTTGTTCTCTGACTGCCCGACGTCTCCACTATTATACATCGATAATAGTGTGATAGATGTGAAAAATTGTTGGAATTTGATCGAGAATTCTGAATTCTGGATTCCTGTCCACTAGTTGGTCTCTTTTTGACATGTATAAAAACAAAAGCGCGCCATAGTTTCGAGTCCCTCTTTCTTGATGACTTTGTCCTTTTTTTGACGGTCGTGTGCTTCATTGATAAAGAAATGAAATCATGCTGAACTGTGGAAATGTGAGTCATTTTGGAAAGAGTTCACAAGTTGCGATAATAGTTAAATTGTCATAAGGTCATGTTTGTGCCGCAACTTTTCTTTTTAGTTTTTTTGGTCTCAAACTAATTGAGACATGGTAAAATGCCACAATTTTTCCCTAGACTTGTCAGAAAATTCTCCTAGATCTCATTGCGGAAAGCGCCTTTAAGCGTGAGGTTACGGTAGAAACATCCCCTCCGCGAGACGAGTCGAGTCATTAATATTATGTGAATCACAAACTAGAATGACGTCCGTCCGTCCGTCCGTCACTTCATTTCATTTCATTTTCCGTTATCATCACTACTCCTCCGCTCGTCTCCCTTATACATATATAATATATATTGTGAAAAGAGCTTGTACCTCCTGACGAGACAACGAAAAGTTCACTCTCTCTCTCTTTTTGCGCCGCTTATCGTCAATGTCCTTATCATTTCGCCAATATTCGGTTGGTGTTTCCTCGCAGTAATCCCCCGACGTTTTTTTTTTCTCGTTTTCAAAGTTCAAGTTTTAATAGTTGCAAAATCCGCCCCCACTCGCGGGTCCGGTGATCCGTTTTTTTTTATTTTGAAACAACAATGAGGGATGATGTTGGAACAGTGATGCGTCTGCAAAGCGATCATTGTTAAATCGAGTCCTAACTTTGGCTAGAAATGTCTGAAAAGCATTTAGCTGAAAAAGACGGTCATTTTGATACCCCAACTTGGTAATTTATGACTTTTACAAAAAAATGACCGTCTTTTCTCAGCTGAATGCCTACAATGTAAGAACTTTCTTGAAATTTAGCGTAAAAGTGATACAATAAGCCACTGACCTTGAGAGACCAACATTTTATGCCCTTGCACTTTTTTTTTCTTCACGCCCCACAAAAAAGCGTCTCGTCTTGGCGATTTTATCGGGATATTCGACGTCTTCCTCTTCTTCTTCTTCTGTTTCTGCAAGTCGTCTTTCTCACTCGAAATCTGGTTTTGTCCCCCCTCCCCCTCATCCCGCTCATAATCTCTGTGTCGTTTTGTATGGAAATGAATGTGACGACGGAAAAAAGTGTATGTGTGTGTGTGTGTGTGTGATAAATAATCGATTCTCAACATAATAACACAAGAAAAGAAGAGGAATTCTGAAAATTGTTCTGCCTTTTCTTTTCATACATTCTCCTGTTCGCCCCTATCCATTCTTCTTCTTGTCTGTTTGTTGTGTTCCGCACCCTTTCCGACGTCAATACTTCCATCTCGCGCACATTTTCCGAATTCATACCCTATAGGAGGACTCTCTCTCACTCATCACTATGACAATCTCGATACCGCCGTCCGCGCTCACCGCCGCCCGGCTCTCCACCGAAAAACGCGACTCGTCCACGTCGAATCTGCCGGCGAACATTGAGGAGGACGCCGAATCGGTTGGCTCGTCGGATTCCGGCGATTCCGGTGATTCGCACGACCACCACGGTCACTCGCATGACCATAAACATGGGCATGAGGAGAAGCACGCCAAGGTATTTGGACCTGTATAGTTTGTACTACTAATTTTGTTGACCTATGAGCTTACGGTAGTTCTATTGAAATCCGAGAGAAAAACTTACAGTAACCACTAGAGAGCCGAACAAAAAATTCACCGAAACCCAATCAATTTCCAGGGTCGACGCGCCGAAAAAGTGCTGTGGGCGGTGGCGGCCCTCTCGGCGGTGTTCATCGCCGCCGAGTTCGTCGGCGGCTTCTGGGCTCAATCCCTCGCGATCATGACGGACGCCGGACACATGCTCTCCGACCTCCTCTCCTTCATCATCTCGATCTTCGCGATCCGCTGCGCCCGTCTGCCCGCCTCGAAGCGTCTCTCGTTCGGCTACGATCGAGCGGAGGTGCTCGGCGCGCTCACCTCGGTCATCATCCTCTGGGTGCTCACCACCGTCCTCGTCGTCATCGCCATTCAGCGAATCGTGAACAACGAGCACGACGTCGAAGCGGACATTATGCTCATCACCGCCAGCGTCGGCGTCTTCTTCAACATCGTCATGGGCCTCGTCCTTCATTTCGGCACCGGCGGACACGGACACTCGCACGGCGGCTCCTCGAGTCACGGACACTCGCACGACGGCAAGAACGTCAACGTGCGTGCCGCGTTGATCCACGTCATCGGAGATCTCGTCCAGTCGATCGGAGTGCTCATCGCGGCGGTCATCATCAAGTTCACCGGCTGGACCCTCGCCGACCCGATCTGCACCTTCTTCTTCTCGATCATCGTGCTGTTCACGACGATCACAGTCATGAAGGACATCTTCTTCGTGCTCATGGAGGCCACGCCCAGCCACTTTGACCTCAGCGACGTCAAAAAAGTGCTGGGCGGACTGGAAGGCGTGAAAGGCGTTCACGATCTGCATCTCTGGTCCATCGGAATGGACAAAACCGCGTTTTCGGTGCATTTGGCGCTTGGTGAGTTGGGAGCGGGGACTCGAAAAAGCTAGGCGACAGAGAAATCCGGGAAAATCTGTTTTTTTTCTGCGATGAATTTTACCAAAAAATCAATACCGTCACATTTTCAGAGTCTCCGGAGCGTGCGATGGAAACGGTGGCCGAGGCGCGATCGCTGATCCGCCGACAGTTCGGAGTGGCCGTGGCGACGGTCCAAGTGGAGCCGTTCGACGCGCAAATCGACTCCTGCGACCAGTGTCAGCAGCAAGAGACCGCCTAAATTTCCAATTTTTTTCGCCTCATATTTTCAACTCACATTTCATTCCACTTTTCCATCGACGGGCTCTCTAACAATTCTACTCTTTTCGCACTCGCCAAGAGCTGTAGTTGACGGGTTTTTTCGTGACCTACTAAATTGAAAATTGTCTAAAACTAAACATATTGAATCGGTTAATAAAATGGCTTTACATTTCAAAATTTGAATGATTCAGACAGCAAAATTCTCAAAATTTAGAGCGCCAAATGGGGTGGCGACGTTTAAAGGGCGTCGAATGAAGAATACATAAAAGCGATGAAGATTGATTAAGGTGATGGTAAAATGCTCCTTTTTTTTTGGGTGTGTGGGGTGGGGAATGAGAATAATGTGTGGTTATTTCAAGATTCGGATGAAGTGGACAAGGAAAAAGCGGAAGATAAGTGAAGAAAAGCGAGAAAAAGATTTAGGCGATCGGTCCGAGCTCGTCGTCGGCGGTGACGGCACGGCGGTAGTACTCCGAGGTGGCCGACTGGTACTCGTCGGCGAACGCAAAGTACTGGCGGTGGTTCTTGTTGAGGAAGACGACGAAATCGTGCACACCGCCCATAATGCGCTGAAGTGTTGCGGATTGGTCAGAAGAAGAAGACGTGGGGCAACGAACGTTGATTAGATGGTCGTTCCACTGCGTCAGATTAAGCAGCTTCGGAAGGCGCGCGATCATGCGCACGAGGTGGATGAGTCCGTAGTGCGCGGAGGCGCGGAATCCGTGTTCCGGCAGCGTCGCCACGTTTCCGCGCTTCAATCCCTTTGAGGCAGCCTCCGCCTGCACCAGGTCGTTGTATTGATTGCGCTCGAACTTGTACAGCAGCTGGTATCTGCAAATTTCATTGGCTTTTTATGCGATCACTCCCTTGGAAATGAGAAATACCCGAGGATCACGTTGAAATAGTCGCAGAGACCGCGGGCGGTGCAGATCAGCGCCACGTTCGTCACCTTCTGATCGGCGTTGTCGTACTCGACGTACAGCTCGTCAATGCTCTTCAGCTGCTCGTGCGTCACCGGAATCGTCTTGATGTACTGAAAAATTGCATTTTTTGGAGGAAAATTCAGGGAAAAGCGTACGTCGGCGACAATTCTGTCGATGGTCCATTCGGCGGGCACGCGGAGGTTGAAGTTTCTGCTGATCAGATCGTAATCGTCGACCAAAAGTCGGCGCAGCGGTTTCGGCAGCTCGATGTTCAGGTCCTTCTCGTCGAGAATCGCCACCGGGAACGCGCTTCTCTTCACCGACTTTGTCGTCTTTGACGTCGACGCGACCGGCGAATCTTCGCGGCTCTCGGCGCCGGGCGGCTGCTCTTCTGGCGCCTTCGGTCGCCGGTTCATCTTCAGCCCCGGCAGTTTTCCACCGTTGTTTTTCACATAATCTGCGGCGCTTCCCTTGAACAGCCGCTCTGAGGCCTTGTCGGCCGGCAAAGCCTCGTCGTACCGAGTGTTCCACCCCTAAAAATCGACAAATTATCGACTTCTGGTCGATCGATATATGAAAACCTTAAAGTGTATCACATATTTCGGGTTCGGTGTGTCGGCGTCTTTTATCTCCTGCACCTTGGCGTCGTAGGCGACGCCGTTGAACAGGCACGTACAGCTTTCGCCGGCCTCGAATTCGAGAACCACCTTTGTCGGCATCTGAACAGGAAAAATGTGAATAGACTTTCTACTGACTTTCTAACGGGAAATTAGGAATTCTAGTGAGAAATACTAACTTTAGGATCTGAAATTACTAAAAATTGTGAAAATTTGAAGAAATTGGGAGGGAAATAGACAATATTCGTCAGGATTGCCCAACCATTTCGAATTCAAATTTATTGCCGTTTGCCGCACAGTTTCCCCAAGCTCCGCCCATTTTGCAAAAGTCGGGCACGCGTTTTGGTACGCAAACACTGTCACGGCACGAATACACAGGTTGCCACCGCGACGTCACCCACGCTTTTCCGGCTCAAAATCTCTCGATTTTTCGCATTTTTCACTCGAAATTTTTGCAGATGACGTCGGAGGAAGATAAAGGAGTGCATGTAGTCAACAAATGGGACGGTCCGACCGTAAAAAACACGCTTGACGAGGTCATAAAGAAGGTTTGTCGCGAGAAAAATTGATTTTCGAGTTGAATAAATGCCTTTTTTGCAGATTCTAAACGACAAGGTCGGGTGGACAGAATCGCACAGTCTGATGAACGTGCGCCTCATAATTTCGGCGATCGGAGTAGCGTTCTCCGCCTTCGCCTGCGCCTACGATTTCTATCAGCCGTTCCCGAAATCGAAAATTGTGAGTGAAAAACCTTTCACAGGAAGACATAGCTTAAAATTCAGCCGAAAATTGCGCTTTTGCACAAATTTTGCCCAAAATCCACAAATTTCGTTAAAATCTGGTAAAATGCGTGGAAACAGTTAGCCCTAGTCGTAAATTCTTTAAAATATTCGTGAAAAGCAGCTGAGACACGTCTAGAACCTTCTAATGTATGAATGCAGTGTGAAAAGACTTGTTCAGCCTAAAAATACAGAGCAAATCGCTAAAATGTTCATTTTCCAAGCAAAAACGCTAAAAAACACTTCCAGATCCTGGCCGTCTGCTCGATTTCCTACTTCATCTGCATGGGCGTACTCCAGCTGTTCCAGTGGTACGTCGAGAAGGACTGCATCTACGAGGCGACCGAGGTGGACGGAAAGCAGACGCGCAAGTGGGCATGGAGTTCGGAGATCAAGGCGCACGACGACAAGTACACGCTTGCGGCCGAGTTCAAGAAGGAGGGCCGCTCCGGACAGGGCAAGATCACCAAGTCGATCGGCGCCTACATCGACCACGACGGCGAGGTGATCGTGCCGCTTCTGAAGAAGGAGGTCGACGATTTGTACGCCCGTCTCATCCGCAGCGAACAATAATATATCTGAAATATGCTCGCTTTTCTGCTCTAATAATTTATTTTCTTCTCTGTCCTATCCGAAAAGGGTTTTCTCATCCAAAAATCGATAATATTTCAGCATTTTATACACATAAATTTGATTGGTGAGTGAATTCTGTTTTGAGCAATATGTGAGGAAAGGGGGCAAACATGGATAGTAACAAAATAGTACATGAGATTGGGAAAACAAGAAAACTTGAGACCTGTATCGAGTTTGAGAAGACTTGAGGGGGAATGGGAGAATTAAAAGAGGTTATTCAATTCAATTGTGCATACTATTCGTCATTTCCAACTTGAACGGATCGCTGAACAGCGAGGGGCTCTGCCGAAAATTGTAGTTGTTGCTCTGATGACTCGCGGGCCGAGCGATCGAGCATCCGTTGACAAGCGACGGCGGTTCCCATCCGCCCGTGTCCGTCATCGGATCGTCCGAGCATCCGCGCGAGCTCTCCGTGTTCGAGCCCACGTCGTGATCCGCCTCCACCGCCGACAACTCTTCTTCTCCACCGAAATGCGAAGTTCCGAGAAGGGGCGGATGTTCGGCGAACGGAGAGCCGGCCTCGTCGTCCGATTGCATCGTCCGCAGCAGTTTTCCGATTTTGTTCAGGCGCAGCGGCGTGGTGGCCGTGGAGACGTCGGTGAGGTGTCCAGAAGAGGAGGCGGGGCTTACGGGACCGGATGAGCGCCACGAGCCGAACGATCGGAGCGGATAGTTGCCTTCCGGGTTGAGGCCGCGGAACGAGCGCGCCGAGAGAACGCCCGACTCTGCGTAGATGTGATGTTCGTTGGCAAACGGATCTCTGAAAAATGAAGAGTTAATGTCGTTTCGGAAAATGGCCTAACTTTCCCCAGTTAGGAAATCTGCGGCCACCCGGACCTACCGTATATTGGGTGCTCCGTTTCTGTCCAACAACTGCTGACTTCCGGCGCTGTCCCTCGAGCGGAGACTCGTCGAATCGCGCTCGTCCGCCTCCGTAATCCGATTCAACGCGCCGTAGATGCGTTTGTTGCTCTTCCGCTTCCGTTTCTCCTCGCGATAGCTGGGCATGTTGCCGAACTTGATCTGCCGATCCGGCGACTCGTCCGGCTTCTCGTCCGCCGACGCCTTCGGAATCTCGACGACCGAACGACGGCGGTAGCAGAGCATTAGGCAGACGAGACAGAGGAGCAGGAAGACGCCGAAGCCGAGGAGGATCGCGAAGAGCGTCGCCGTCTCGAGGCTCGTCCCAATGTTCAGGTGCGGGATTATTATCGTTTTCCGGGACGACGTCGGCGCCCGTTTCTCGTCGTCAAATCCCATGCTTCCCGAGTAGGTCGACGAGTTGCTGCGAATATCGCACGCGCCGCCCGACCATCCGTTGAAGCACACGCACTTTGCGGTCGTCGTGCAGTGTCCGTGGCCCGAGCACAAAAGCGCCAGGTTGTTGGTGGGGCAGGCGACCGCCGCGGAAACCGACGACATCTCCACACAACTTCCGCCCACGCAAACTTTTCCCGAGCCGCAGTTGGTCCCATCAGCGATCAGTCCGATCGTGGCCGCGGCGATCGACTTGCACTGCACTTGTTGCGAGTTTTGCGAAAAATGGAAAGTGAACGCCTTCAGCGCCGAGTCGATCGGCGCCATCGATCCGCTGTGGCAGTGGAGGGTGCCGCAGCGGGTGTCCTCGAGTCGGCACGGATGGTAGGTTCCATCCGATTGCTGTCCGCAGTTCGCGTACTCGGCGCCCTTCGTGTTCTGCTCGAAGCACACCGGCTCGGCGACACTCGCCTCGCGGCCCCACAGCTGCTTGCACTGGGCGTGCGAGTCACTGCAGTTGCCGCGCCAACACTGTCCGTCCGTTCCGCACACGGTTCCGTCGATGAGGTGTCCGTCGGGCGGGCAGTCGCCCGACTTTCCGTCGCATTGCTCGGCCACGTCGCACGCGGATCTCGACGTTCGGCACACGTCGCCCGCCTTCCGCAGTTCACATCGATGACAGCACTTGTGATGGGCGGCGCATTGGGCGTGCGGCCGGAGCGTGCACGTCAGCGGGTCGCAGCACGGATCGGCACAGTTCTCACGGCTTCCACAGTCGCACTCTTCCGATCCGTCGACGACGCCGTTTCCGCACTCGCGAAGCTCGGAAACCTGGAAAAAAGATACGTTTTTCAATATTTGTATGCAATCGCGCGGCCTAGTTTGACATGGAATTTTTCACTGCTTTTGGCTTCAAACACAATACCTGGAAGGGCTTGTTGAGGAGGCATTGAATGTTGCCGTCCTGCCAAATCCCGTGCATTCTGGCCACCGAGCACTTCGAAAATTGCCACGAGAAGGGCGCGCCGATGCGTCCGGGCTGCTGCCGCATCAGACACTCGGGCGCGGGTTCGCACGAGCACGCGGTCGTGTCGTGCTCCAATCCGAGCAGGTGACCGACCGACTGCGCGACGAGCTCTCCGTTCCAGTGCGTCGCGAACTGCTCGATCGCGCGCACGATGACCGCCGAACGGGCGGTGCACACGGAGCGGACGGCGGCGTTCGCGGCCTCTTGGTTGGCGAACGAGCCGCCCGTGAACAGGATCGTGGCGTCCTTCTGGATGTGGTAGATGTGGCCGGCGGTGTAGTCGACGACGCCGCTCAGCGTCCGTTCGATGTCCTCCCACAGGTCGATGCGTTGCACGTCCGTCCACAATTCCACGTAGACCGCCGACAATCGGATGTTCAGGTCGCGCGAGAGCATCTGCATCATACAAGTTTGTAATCTCTTAGTATCTTTCAGAAAATCCTTACCGAATCGGCAATATTGAGCGATTCGAGCATGTAGGAGACGGCGTCCATATCGTGAAGTCCCCGATGCTTCATCTGAACAAAAAACATTCATTTTTCTTCATCACAACCCAAACATCTGTTCCCTCCGCCAATTAAAATTCCCTAAAATTCTCCGGGCCGATAAATTCTCTCTCTCTCTCTCTCTCTCGCTCCCTCTTCCGCTCATTCTGATGGCACCAGACAAGAAGAAGAGGAAGAAGAAGAGGAAGAAGAAGAAGATTCTAATCTCGGCGTCAAAATGCGAAAAGGGTGTTCGAAATGATTGACACTTTCGAGTGGTTATGAAAACGGACAAGTTTAGACAAGAGATTCGCGGACGAATGCTAATTTTGTGCAACTGAAGGACGTTTTGCAACTAACAAGGCTTCGAAATTTGTACCCGGAATGACATTTGGAAAATGTTTCACTCTGTGCTGTGCGATTTTTTTTTTCTCAAGATGAACAAGAGGGTCGGTTGCGAAATGTCCGTCATTCTCAAAACAGCCTCAATGGCACCTCGCAAAATAGATCAGTTGCGAATCAGTTGCAATACGTCCGTCTAGTTGCCAGATGTCCTAATAGACACTTTGTGACCAGTGCTAGAACAACTCGAAATTTGGATTTTCGCTAAAACTGCTACATTTCTCTAGAAAAACCCACAAATTCATAGTCGGCAATGAGGGCGACTTCCACGTATTTCGTTCGTTTCGACACATCCCTCTTCTCCTTCGGCTCCGCATGATGATGATGGTCCCTGTGCCGGTGCTGTTCCCTCCGGATCCTCTGTCCAGCCGCGTGAGCCATCGAACTGCCGCACTTTGCCTCCTGATTCCACTCCGATCTATACAAAATGTGTGGATGGCGTCGGGAGTTCCGATCGCCTCCGTCGAGAGGCCATATTCCGTAGGTGGTCCCGTTGGCGAACGAGATGACTCCGCGCAGTCCGTTGCACGAGCTCAGCGCCACAAAAGAGCTGTCCTCGCCGCCGACGGTGCCCTGATAATAGCAGTTTTCGACGCGGTTCTGGATGATCCGCTCGCCGTCCGCATCGAGTTTGTGGAACGCCGTCTTGTTGAGAAACACGAAATTGTTGCGCTCGAGCACCAGTTTGAGCCGTCCCAACTGATTGCTTCGGATGACGATCGTCACGTGCGCGTAGTGTTCTTGCGCTTTCAGAAAATAATTCCGCGTATCAATTCCTATTCGCTCGTTTTTGTCGCGAATCTGAAACGGGTGCACAATTTCGTAGGCGTCCGCACGCATCGTCTCCATGAACGCCTTGTTGGCCGTCGTTTGGCGGATGTCAACTTAAAAAAACCTCTTTTTTTTCTCTCTCGAGTACTCCGATAATAATAGTAAATACCTTTGGCGTCGACGAGCGCATTTCTGGTGCAGGCTATCAGAGTTGACAGAGAAATGATGATGACGAGCATTTTATTCATCGGCCGACCAGCTACACACCATTATATTGTGGAGGAGGGGGAAGCGCCTGCAAAACGATCGATTGTAGGATGTGAGAAGCTAGAAAAAAGCGGTGAAAGTTACAAGAAACTACTACTTTTCGCAACCAGGTTCACAATAATCGTAAAAAAATTAGGCGTTTTCCGACATAATTCACTGAAAAATGGCTCTTCCGGAGCAAGATTGACATAGTTCGGAAGAAATTAACAAGAGGATTTCAATAGCGACTTTTTGAAACTCTTTTTAGGTAAGAGTTTCAGAGATCGTCAGCAAAATTGTATAATACTATTGAAGATCTTTCAAAGTATGTCACTCTTGTATCGAAAAAGCCACTTTTCAGGGAATCATGTGGGAAAACGTCATGATTGCGAAAAGTTGCAGTTTCAAAACGTCTGGAAGAGAAAGTAGAAGGTTGCAAAACGTATTTTTAAAATATCGGTGAAATACACGAAAATCTTCAATCCTATGAGCCGAATCATTGTGGAAAAGGGGAATCTTCGAACATTTTAGTATAGATACAACTTGAGGAACTTTCTCAAACGGAAGAAATGAAGCACTTGAGGCGGCTCTTTTCAATGCACACAAAAACCTATGCGGAAATCCCGAAATCCCAAAATTCAATCACAAAACACTATTGTAGACGGGGCCGAGAGTGGACGAAACGTTTCGAGAAGACACCGATTTGCATATGAATGGAAATTCGGGCGGGCGCGCGCGCGAATATTCATTCATAATTTCGGATGGGAGGCGAGTCATTCATATCATCCACTTTTCACTGTAAAAAGGGAAAAAGAGAAAGAGCATGCATGAAGAGAGAGAGAGAAAGAGAGAGAGAACGATAATATAAAATTGAGAGGCGGATCGGATCGATCCGTCCGCAACGACAGGTGGTTTCAGAAGGACAGCATGCACACACAAGGACACGCGAGACGGGCGGTGGTCGTAAGGACCGAAGAGGGGAGAAGGGGGGAAAGACGACATGTTCGATTACATCTCTTCTTTGCTCACAGCCTTGTTTGGAAGGGGGCAGGTGGTCGTTGAAAACACCATGTTTAGTGGGCCGGATTAGGAGCATCGTATTATTAATATTAGGTTTCGCGCTTCTGTTTCAAATTTGATACGCTACAAAATTTACGGAAATTTGAGATCCTCGATACAGCAAGAGCAAAAGCTTGGGAAAGACTTTGAAAATAAAACTGGGAAACAAACGCTTTCGCTTTTCTTCCAAAAAAAAAACGTACGTACCGTACACAAATTCTTTGTTTTTTTTTGACACACCTGGCCTATTGTTTTCACCTGTCTGCACAAACTTTCACTCATTCATAAGTTGGAAAGGAACGTTGAAAAATGCAAATTCTTGAATTCCAGAACTTTTCAAGCCTTCCCCAAAGGCTATCAAAAATTTACAAAAAGGGGACAAATTTCGGCGGCGGAAATTTGCGAAATCAGCTCGAGAATCTAATGGTCAGAAGCTTGCCGGAAGACGATCAGATAAAAGTGATGACCATTCGACTCTTGTCAAGGACCGAATGCTGAGGGTCTAAGCGGAGAGGAGGAGGAGGAGGAGGAGGAAGAGCAAAAATAATGAATAGGCGAATAGTTGTGGTGGTGGTGGTGGTCAAAAGGCCGGACGAGTCGCCCCCTCCGCCATCACATAAACGATTAAGAGGCACTTCGGGCCTTCTTCTTCTTCTTCTTCGTCGTCTTTATTCGGAATTGCGCTGAATTGCAAAACTGAGTCATGGCGGCCCCGGATGAATATAAAGAAGAGTGGGAACGTGCATTCAACTCTTCAGTTTGCTTTTGGATTCATTCTTCAGGCGCTAAAAATCTAAGATTTACTCAAAAAGTTGGGGGAAACGCTCGAAACTCGGCAAACTTCATTTTCTAACCTAAAAAACGAGGGCCCAAGTGATTTCATCACAATTTCGTTTGTTTCGTGACACCAACCGACTCTGAATGTTTTTAAAGGATGAGTCATAATGGGATTCCGAGTGACTCTCTCTCTCTATTTCATCATTTTTGCCGCCAGTGTCACCCGCACAAGCACTGAAGAACACAAAAAGAGAGTAAGGGCTCCGAAATTTAGGACCCGTCTAACAAAACGACTTCGGAAGAGGAAAAGGGGGAAAAAAAGAAAGAAAAGAAGAAGAAGAGGGTTTTAGTTGATTAGGTTTTCACGCCTTCTTCTTTTTCTTCTTCTTCTTCTCGTAGTTAGCCGACCGCTTTTCACTGGAAAAATAACTATACAACTCAAAAATCTTCGCTTTTTTACCTTTCGCCTCTTATTTACGTGTTCACCCGAATTACAAAGAAAAACCACTGGAATACTGCCCATTGAAGTGGTTTTTGACTTTTCGGCTCGAATAAACGATCGTCTTTCTCGACACATCTCTAAAATGCAGGTAAAAACAAAGAAACCGTCTAACTGGCAGAAAAGAACGCAACAGCTTGAGCTGAGGTGTCAAAAGTTGTATTTTAGTTTGGTGCAAAGCAGATTATCACCTAATTCTATTATTTCCAACAAAAAGAGAAGGTCAGCACCTAATTTAGTGGATTTTACTATTTATGTGCAATCTGGCTGTCTAGGTGTCAAAGTTTGCAACAAAAACACTGCTGGGCTCATTAAGTTGGTTAAGAACTGGGTTTTCATTGTCTGAATCGGCCCAGGACTGATTTTTTGTAAACTCTATTACAATTTGAAGATTTCGACGTCTAGACAGCCGGATTCCTTGGAAATCGTAAGATTAACCTAGAACTCCAAGTGATCCTGGAGAAATACAGAAAATCAATTCGAAAACCTTAACAACAGCCAATTTCCCATCATTCCTAATGGATCCGCTCCTATCCGCTCATCTGTTGTCCCTCTGCCTAACCAGATCGGCCGCCCATCTGTGGATATTCGAGAAGACCAAGACCAAGACGTTCGGCGGTAAGTAAAAGCCGATTAGACGGTCCCCGGGGGGAACGATTTTGATTCAATTAATAGAAGGACACACACACACACACAAAGAGAAAGAGAAAGTGAAAATTCAAATGTTATGGGTTCGTACAACTGCGGGCGAGGATCGATCGAGTCGAGTGTGGCTCCCAAATCGTAAATCCGACTCGTCGTGCCCAGATGTGTGAGGAAATGCGCGGAAGAGGGCAATATGTACTAGTCCGGCGCCGAGTCGGAGGAGGAGGAGGAGGAGGAGGAGGAAATGACGGAGGAAAGAGACCTGAGCATTTTTTGATGGATCACCCGCTAACATGCGCTAATGTGCTCGCATGATCGAGCTTTTTTGGGGCGCGAAACTATTTGCGACACTTTTTTGCCAAATTTTGTCAATCAACCAAAAAGGGCTCATCGCGGTTTGAATCTCCCTAAACTCGCTGCGCACTTCCACATTTCCATGACTTTATGTCAACTGGCTCAAAAGAAACCCCTCGATCCCCAAATTTCAGGTCAAAATCCAACGGGATCCAATTCTTTGAGGTGGTATTTTGAAGGGTCCGTTAGTCAGGCGAACATTAATGATTTATACGCAAAACGAGACGATTAGGACATTTTGCATAGCTAAACAAGGACGACGATCCGGGGCAGAATATTATCAATTCACTGGCGTGTTTTCAGTTTTCAGCACGAGAGGTACGGAGTCTGGTACTAGAGTAGTCCTACAACTTTTTTTTTTGGTAAGGCTACAGAATATCAGAGCTGGGTTTCGAAAAAATTGACGACGATTTGAGGAATCTTTGAGGAACTACACGTTTTCTGCGCAGAATTAAGAAAATTGACGGAAATCGATTAAATTAAGAGCGTCAAGAAGAAACAAGTGAAAAAGCCGTTAGAATATGAGAAACACTCGTGTACTACAAGAATTGTGCTTGAAGATCAAAATAAAATGGACTACAAGGATAGACGAACCGTTTCGCTAAGTTTTAACACTCGCATCAAAACAAAAACGAGCGAAAAATAATGAGGAAAAGCGCCCGAAAATCGTGTTCCAAGTTTCGCGGGAGGGTAGGTCAAAAGGAGTGAACGGGTCTCGCAGCGATGCGACAAACTTGAATGGATGCGCGCGTCGCGGCTTTTCGGTAAGGCAGGCAGGGTTGGGAGGACGGGGAGGGAAAAAAGAGAATCGTTCTGGCGGAACAGACCGTCCGTCGCGCGAAACTCGAAACAATTGATTTCTGGACAATTTTTCTAGCTGTTCTTCTCTGTTTTGCGTTTAGATACGAGCTATTGCAGGTCGGGCGTGCCCCCAAAAAACAGTTTTGCTTGCCTAAGCGCGCTATTACCAATATTTGTGCGCTTTTTTCTATCCGGAATACCTAAGAATCTAGAGAATACCTTGAAGAAAACGATGTGAGTTGATTTTACATTGCTCCGATTTTTTCACAGTTTTCACAGAAGATTTCTAGACTAATTGGTGAGCAGCGGAAAAGTGGAAACATTCGGCTCACGAGTCACGGCACTTTGTGGTTAAGGGCGAGGCAGTGAAACTCATAAATCTGCGGCCGTCTCCTAAACGATTAATTGCTACGGGGTTTCGTGCACAATGGGGTCCCATTTGCGCTTTGACCGGTTCTTCTAATGCCGCCCGCGTCGGCACATTCAACTATTTAACCACAGGGGGATTAGGAATTGCGACATATAGCTTAGGAGCCTAAAAACATGACATCTGGATTGGAATAATTCTCGGCGAGCCTAGAAAATGTGTGTGTGTGTTTCGAAAACGGAAATGTGTATGCGTGACCTCGATAGTTTTTGGTTGACTGCACCGCACCTTTATACCCTAATTTGCATTTTAGGCACTCTGGCAGTATTATAAAGGCGAAAAGAGAGAGTTTTCGATCGGGGCCAAGTGTTTGCACCCGCTTACTCATTGGGAACCGAACGTTTGGCCCCGTGTTTGTTTGCTTACGCTGGTTCCATGCAAAAATCAGTGGAAAATCAATGTTTTTGAGAAAGAATAAAGGCATTTTGAAGAAGAATAGAGGCATAATTTTTCCAAGAGACGAATTGTTTTCAAGGAAGAAACGCTAAACACACAAAAATGAGTCGGAAAATCGATAAAAATAAATGTGAATTGATAAAAATCATGCGGGAACCTCATTTTTCAAATAAAATCATCAAATAAGATGAGAATTATTGAAGTTTTTCACTGAAAACTTGAAAATTTCAAATTGACGCGTAAATCTACACGATTCAAAATTTTCCGACGCTTTTACCGTATTCTCACAACGGCGCAGCGGGTGACCCGACGCACAAGTGTATGAAAACACGCTCCTAAATGCACGCACTCGCCCGTCTCGCGTAAATCGATTCTAACACCGTTTTTCGCCGATTTTTCGAGCAAGCTGTGATCTTTCGCGTATTTTGTACTGGAAATGTGTTAGATTAGACTTTGAGCTTCAATTATTGATGAAATCCGTAAAAACTTTGTCGTCTTTCGCTAAATTATCACTGAAAAACGTATTGACGCGAGCTTCAACCTTTTGGAGCATTTCTAGTGTTTTTCCGTATTTTCAGTTGAAAATGTGTTAGATTACACTCTCAGCTTTGATTTCTAGTTAAATTCGTGAAAGTTGGGTTGTTTTCCGTTGAAGAATCGTTTAAAAACGTCTCAGTGCGAGCTTCAAGCTTTTGGAGCCTTTCCAGTGTGTGTTTAACGAGTTGAGCACTTCCGCTATTGATTTTTTCTGCTTTATCCGCTTCATTTTCAAACTTCTTTGATAATGCCTCAAAAACTGTGCCATTTTTCAGGTAACATGGCCTCGCTGACCCGTGCAGTTACCCGTTTGGCCCTCAGCGGCCGCCAAGCCGTCCGCTCGATCGCCACCACCACTCCAGTCTCCGGACACAGCGACGACATCATGGAGAAGTGGCCAGCTGACAGTAAGTGTCTTTTTTAGTTATTAAAATGTGTGCTTTGAGCTAAAAATACGCTATAACAAATATTACGAGCAAAAAGCAGATTTTTTTTCCAGAATTCGACAAGCACTTCATCGACTATCTAGGCCGCCCGGAAATCGACGGATGGGAGGTTAGAAAGGGTATGTACTGTTTACAATTCAAAAATTGAGAAATTTACATATTTTTAACGCGTTTCTTTCAGCTCTTACCGAGTTGCACGACTACGACGTGATCCCAGACCCTAATGTCGTCGAGGCTGGACTCCGGGCCTGTCGTCGCGTTAACGATTTTGCGCTCGCCGTCCGTTTCCTTGAGGCCATCAAGATCAAGTGCGGAAGCCAGAAAAACCGTGACACGATCTACGCTTACATCGTCAAGCAAGTGAGTCGAAGAAATTCAGCCGAAAAGTCCCTTTCCGCTTATCCGTTCTGGAATTTTTCGAAAAATAAATGGGGAACGGGAGCAGAATTAGCTATATTTTCGTTGAATTTGTAATTTTTCTGCTGCTCGCTTTCAGGCAGTTTTTGAAGTGTTTATGCCAAGAGAGAACAGCTAATTTTCTTTTTTTAGGTGGAGCCAGTTCTCAAGGAGCTCGGAATCGATACGCCGGAACAGCTCGGATACGCCGAGCCGGAGTTCTTTGTGCCGCAGCCAGAGTACTGGTGGGAGAAGAAGTGGTACAAGGACTACGGATACGACAAGCTACCAAACGTCCAAATCTAACTGGAACATAGCTTAGTTCTTTGTCGCTATTCTTATAGAATGTGGATAATTCGTCACCCCACCGCGAGATAAACGTTTGATCCGACTGTTGAAACTCGTGCGATACTCTTTTTGTGTAAATTCTAAGATGAAAGAAACGTTTTTGTTCCCGTTTAGTCCCCTCGACAACATCCCAGTTGGTGCAAATTAGAAGAACCACGCTCTCATTTCGTCTTGTCTTCAAAAACATTGGCGGAGAGAAATGAAGTTGATGGATCGTTTTGAGTGGGGCGGCCCTAATTATTTATTAGGACATTAGTCAGTGGCTCTCGTCATTTTTCAAAAACGTAGAAAAGTGGAGAAACATTGGAAATGCATGGCGAAAAGGTTTGGTTTTGCTCTTGCGCTTTTCCCACAAAAATGTGTGTGTTGACCATTTCGTTTTCCAGGTCTCTTCCAGGAATTCATTCCAGAATTATTGAGAACTTTCCTCTCCAAACGATCAAATTGACGTACTTGGCCATGAATAATTCACTGGAGATGGCCCGATATCATCTCAGTGACGAGTACTTTTCCCCCTTTTTTTTTCAACTTTTCCTCTTGTCAAAGTTTGACGGAGCGAAACATTTTGCTGAATGTTTCGAATGATTGATCGCTTTTTTAGGACTACTGTAGGTTTTTTTGCATTTTTTCGTGAGTAAAAGTATAAATCTTGGTGAGTCAAAGATTTATTCTGTCTGGGAGGTTGCTAGGCGAATTTTTGAAAGCTTTTCTTCAAGTTTCATTCACAAGTGTCCAATTGTGAAAAATGAGAAAGAGGAAGAGGTTTTTTGATGCTCTATGACGTGGCAAATAGGGAAGATACTTTTTACGTCATCGTAGTAAATTCAATAGAAAATTTCATGATCTAATACTTTGCAGTTGATCAGATTTCACAACAATTCCGGTAGAACCATAATATAATCACTTTACTGAAAAGTCCCCGGATTTGCCTTTTCTCAATTCCACTTCCTCATCGCCCATCGACCCTCTAATCATCAAATCCATCCCCCGGAACCACTGGTTAGGGGGAAGGGGATATTTTGCTGTCACAGAGCTAAAAAATAGTAATTACGGCTTTTCCGTCCCCAAAAATCGTTCTTTCGCTTCCTCTCGGGAGGAAGATTTACGGATTTGGGATGAAAGAAACAAAACAACCGTCCCCGGGGTATTCATTAGCAGCCGCGGATTCCATTTTTAGTCCGACGTCATCTGAGAGCATCCATTAGTGTTTTTGGGTGGAATACGGTAGACTGGGGCGAAGAGAATTAATTGGATTTAACGCTTTTCCGTTTTTGGGATTCTCACACATTTCAAAAACGATTTGAAAGATGATTTTGTGCTCTACAACTTTGTAGTTGATCAATTTTTATGAAGCGCCTTTGGCAGGTGGTTTTACAGAAACTTGATCAATTACAAACATGTAGCCCGATTTTAGTACTATCTTTTGTACGCCCACTTATAAGAGTACTGTAGCTGTCAAAAGCGCTCGTATTTCGTAGCACCATCTTTTGTTGGTGTCGAAGTACCCCATGATTTCATAAGTACACGTTGCCTAGATGGCAAATCCTTCGGAAAAAGTCCCTGACAGGCACAAGGGCTCTTTAGCTCGTCAGATAGAGTCTGTGATTGAAAAATGGCCACTTTTGGCGAAGAGAGAACGCGGGCGGAAAAAAAAATCGTAAATTTGCGGATGAAATATGGCTGAAAAGTTGTTGTAGTTGCTAACAGTTACAAAATGGACTGGTTTGTGAACTCTTTCCGAACCGGGATTTCAATTGTTCGCTAGAAGACGTGGTATGCGCCGAGAATTTTTGATTTCTAGGGATTTTCCTGAAAAAAATAGTGTAGTTTGAGCGAGATTCGCTCGAGAACGTTGACCCCAAACATTCTTCTTTCCTCAGAAGTTCTGGGTCAGAACTTTACGTCCAGAGTTTGCGCAAGAATCCATTTTCGTTGTGTTTGTTGTTTTTCTCCATCTTTCGAAAATCCTTTAATCCTGTCGAATAGCTGAGCGTCCTCACTAATTAGCATCGGTTCCTCAATTACCGTACCCCCACTTTTGCCCCGATTTTCCTTCCGCGTTTCCTCCAAGCCCCGCCCCATTTCACATCTTCCACCACGAGGCCACGCCCCTTTTAGCGTGCGCCGCTCCTCTGCTCGCCGCCGCTCTTCTTCATATGATGGTTCGCCTGCCCACCGCCGCGCTCCTGCTCGCCGCGAGTCTCGTGGCCGTCTCGTTCGGCCAGGAGACTCCGTCGGCCGCCGGATCCGGAGCCCCGGCTCCCAAGGACTGCCAATCGGTGAGTGGAAAAAATACGCAATTAGGGTGCGCGCAGACCTTTAATGAGCACAATTTGGTGCAAAACAAAACACGGGGGATTAGCGGGAGCACTTGTTTTCTTCTTGTTTTCCGTAAGAAGAACGTCGTCGTGTATGTGTGCGCGTTTAAAAATTAACATTGATAGGTTCGAAGCTGGAGGAATCAAAACGATAATATTGTTAAAAGTTGAGGGCGCATTGGAGGCTGTTTAGGGGGTACTAATTGAGTTTTGTGAAAAAAAATTAGAAACTCAGTAACTAGCTTCTGACCGAAAGCAAAAAACAAAACACAAGGTCAAGTTTGAATGAGTATTGAAGTTTTTTAAGTACATGTTTCATGTCTAGTACTATAATTTTGTATTCCTTGACCTAGTGTGGTTCTAGGAAGTTAGAACCGGTTTAGATGCGCTTTGAGGTGTACCAAATTCTAAGGCCCACAGTACTCTTGGGAGTGGGTTTACAAAAACGCGAACAACTACAAAAATGAAGTTGATACCGAGTACTTTAGTTTTGTAGTTGATGACTTTTTTCTACGACCACTTCCTGGAGTACTGTAGCGTCAAATGCGCTCTTCGAGTGACCTAACTTCTAAGAGCTGCAGTAGTCTTTGGAGTGATTGTTGAAAAAAGTGTTCAACTGAAAACTTGTAGTACACTTCTAGTACTACACTTTTGCAGTTGATCACTTTTTTCTACGGCCATTTCTTGAAGTAATACGGGCCTCAAAAGTCTTAAGACTACCTTAAGAGACGCGAAATCTCTCTCTCTTCTTTCCGGAAAAGACAATCAACCACAGGACTAGATGTCAAGAGTTCACACAAACATTTCTAGACTCTTTTTTGTGTCCAACCCATCAGTAGAACACACGCAACACTCCCCCCTCCCTCAATTTCCATTTTTGTTCAGATCCTCGCCTCGAACGGCGATCAACAAGAGGCGCTTTTGTGCCAACTGAGCGAGAGTAGCATGTTGCTCGCGCAGCTCGGAGCACTCGTTTCGGAGGGCGTCGAACGTCTCGTCCAGACGCACGGTAAGTGTCAAGATGATGAGCATCATTGATTGCGCCCACGAGATTAGTGAGAAAAGAGAAACGAGAGAAATGGGCTTCAGGCCTGATCCCGTTGAAAATTGACGCCGATCTTCCAGCTCTTGAAGACGACACAAACGACGGAGAGGGCGAGATGGAGAAGCGGAAGCACGAGTACCTGCGGTTCGGAAAGAGAAAGCATGAGTACTTGCGGTTCGGCAAGAGGAAGCACGAGTACTTGAGGTACGTTCTGATTTCAAAAGTTGAATATCTAGGTCTAAACCAGAGTTGAGCGGAACAACTTAACCGAAGAACACGGGGAGAATTTTTTATGTTTTTTAGAATATTTTTTCATGGAATGTGATCAACTGACGAAATGTATAGCAAAGTGAACTGTGCTCATAGAAAAATAATTGTAAATTTAGCTTTTCATACAAAAAAGTTATTCGAGTTGTTCCGTTAGCCCCCTTTTTCTCGGAACAACTCGAATAACTTTTTTGTATGAAAAGCTAAATTTATAATTATTTTTCTATGAGCACAGTTCACTTTGCTATGCATTTCGTCAGTATAAAAAAAAAAACATAAAAATTCTTCCGTGTTCTTCCATCGAGTTCTTCCGCTCAACTCTGGTCTAAACCCTGAAAGTTCAGCTATGAGTTCATACGTTTACACCTTGATTGAGAACCTTGGAATTGTAGAATTATTTTGACAGCAGAGGTACAATTGATCTGAAAACCAAACTAGGCAAGTGGTTTTAGAAAGCGCTTCCGAATCTGCTACCCGATTTTTAATGCATTTTTGAAGTCAATTAGCTACATTTTAGAACTACTGACTTTGAAAATTCATATAAAAGACGGACAGCCGGTTCGGATGACGTACCAACCTCACTTTTTCCAGACTTTTCTCAAGTGCATTCCCTGGTAAAGGCTTGAATCCTAAACGGTTAAGATAACGTAAACCTCAAAAAACACGTCAATAGCTCGGAAATTTTTGTGTACCTCGAGCTGTCTTTCAGTTCAAGTTTCCAGTCTAACTTAGCGATCTAGGTATTCTAGCTTAAACCCTACGCTTAAGAAAGAGTCTGAGAAGATCAGGCCTGAAGCCGAACCCTTAGTTTTCAATGCGAATATCTGAAACGTTCTAAAGCATCAGAGCCTATGAATGCAAGTGTCCTGAGCCTAGACAACAGTGGCCCTAATTGTAAGAATCTCAGCCTAAATCGCAAAAAGCTTTGAGAATCTGAATGTGTGTGCATCAGGAGCGAAGAAGAACTCAACGGAAGAACACGGGGAGAATTTTTCATCTTTTTTTAGAAAATTTTTCATAAAATGTGATCAACTGACGAAATGTATAGTAAAGTGAACTCTGCTCATAGAAAAATAATTGTAAATTTAGCTTTTCATACAAAAAAGTTATTCGAGTTGTTGCGTGAAAAAGGGGCCAACGGAACAACTCGAACAACTTTTTTGTATGAAAAGCTAAATTTACAATTATTTTTTTATGAGCACAGTGCACTTTTCTATACATTTTGTCAGTTGATCACATTTCATGAAAACATTTTCTAAAAAAGATAAAAATTCTTCCGTGTTCTTCCGCTGAGTTCTTTCGCTCAACTCTGGTGTGCATGTTGAAGCCTAGAACCCAACTTTGTTGAATTTAAGGCCCGGGCTAACACTAATATTTAATCCTTACCATTTCGGGTTCTGGAACGTTCTCATGTTTCGCCAAGCTATGCTTTTCATCAAATAGTTCATAGTGTCGGCTTCTTTCAGATTCGGAAAGAGAAAGCACGAGTACTTGCGCTTCGGCCGCAAATAAACAGTGGGGGGAACACTTTTGACACGAGCACACAGAAGAAGACGGAACGATCATTATCACCCCAATCAGCTACAGTACACCACCAACCCTTTTCCCCCTTTTTTCTCTCTCTCTCTCTCTCTCTCTTTTCATCGCCTGTCTCTCGTCGCTCTCTCGCTCTCGTTCTTCGACAACAAGAAGATGCATAAAATACCGAATAAAATTGTCGTTGGTTAACATTTCATCGTTTTCTCTCACGTTTCCTTCACAGGCAATAGAAATAGAAATCTTTAAACGAAAAGTGTTGGGCGAGGAATAAATAAAATGGGATCAACTGGGAATGAGCGGTCAGCGAATCGTCTATTGCACGTATCCACGATCGTACTTTTGGAAGCGGGAATTGCGTTGCATCACCTTCTCGTTGAAGACGTTCATGAGGAAGATGAGGAAGATGACGATGAAGCAGCCCATGTTGAGGCCAGCAAGCGCCTAGAAAAAAAACATGTTTCGATCTACTAAGACTCGAAGAATTTGAGTGGAGCGCAAAGAAGTTTACATACAGATTCTAGACCTCAAGCTATCCTACTGATCACTTTTCTTTGGCCAAAACAACAGAGAATTGACTCGATTTTCTCATTTCCGCTGTTTTCGTGACACCATTTGAGAGAATCCGATTAAAACAGAGTCACGCGGTGAGCGAACATGTGACAAACGTTTCAGAGGAAACTCAGGGCCCAAAAGCATTTGCAGAAGCAGCGTTTTCAGAAATTACATCCAAAGTTTATGAGTTTTCAGATTTTTTGGTCTACCGCTTCACGGTCTCCAGAGCTGACAATGGGCGCAAGTGCGGCGCCCCGCCCAATAGAGCGATACATTGGCGCGAAATTCACATTTTAACAGCAAAATTTGTGTTTTTTGTCAGATTAGCCACGGAAAACCGATAATTTCTTATTTCTCTCTCGATAGACCGATTATATAGACCATTACGAATTTTTTAAACGAAAAAGCGTCAAATTTGGTCAAGTCGCAAATCACATTTGTCCGTTTGAAGGTTTTTGGCTAAAACTGCGTGAATTTCAGTTGTTTTTCGGTAATTTTCGCGGTTCGAGCGCTCAAAACGCTTGTATTTACGTGATTTATAGTTCTCAAAACCAATTCTGTCTGAAAACGGTCAAGAAGGCGCAAAATGAGAAGTGCGCTTTATAGACGGCGAAGGCGAAAAAGCAAAGTCCGCGAAAAATGCGCCAAAACGTAATTAATTCTGAGAATTGTTGTGTTTTCATGTCGAACAATCATTTTTCATCGCCGTTGACCACAAAAATCAGAGCGCGTTTTTTAAAAACTCTGCCGGATGAAGGTTAGGAACCTTGTAAAAGTCTAGGCTTCTGAATCATATATGCAAAAATTCGAGTTCTCTGCCATTCCCTGACTTCTTTTCTTTCGGAAACTTGGGATTCTACATGGGCTCAGGGCTTAGGGAGCTCTAAACCAATTCCGGAAAGGCTGGGACTTTTTCTGCCATCTCTCGAACATTTCGTGCTTACAGTAACAATTTCCATCTCGCTCACCCCAATCCATCCGAATCTCTCGCCCGTCTCAATGATCGTTCTCTGCGAGATGGTGCCGCCGATGCCGATGATGATGAGCCATCCCATGATTCCGGCGGTCGCGAAGATGATTTCCTGCAAAACCCGAAACAATTTGCTGCCAACTCCGAACCACACAAACTCAATTATACACCCCCCTATTGTGCCTGGTAAATTGGCAAAGTGACCACAAAAAGTTTACCGAAAACGCGCAGTTGGTGAGCGGCGTGTCGTCGCCTCGTTTCGCCAGCAGGAACGCCATCAGGATGGAGACGATGCAGTAGAGGAGGGTCAGCGCCGAGACGAGGTAGATGATCACGATCTCGTAGTTGATCGAGATGTACGCCGTCACGTACGACGGGTCCAGCAGGATCAGCGTGACGATCGTGAGGATCTGCAAAGGAAATGGTTGTGAAATGTCTTCGGAGATTCCAGAAAGGTTTGCAAGCGAACAGAGTGAGTGTTTAGGTTTCAAAGTGCAGGCGCTAAACTATTTGTGCACGGCGACCAAAAACGTGGAAAGGGGCGTGGCCTAGCGTGCACGGTTTTGTCAGCATTTTGGCGCGAAATTCGAAATTTAACCCCATTTTTATCATGTTTTTCGTGACCACCCAAATTTTGTACGATTTCGACAATGTAATTGCATAACTTTGTTAAACTAATCATCGCGCGCACTTTTTGAGCCGAAAACGAGCAGGTTTCATTCAGAAATGAATCAATTGAATCGATTTTCAAGTTTTGTGCTGGAAATGCGCGAATTTCAGTCATTCGCCGATACTTTTTGCCGTTTGAACGCTTAAAATACTTGTATTAACGTGCCTAATCACTTCCGACACTCACTTCGTCTCAAAACTATCCGGATCGGCCGGTATGAAAATTCCGAAATTCCGAAATATGCCAAAAACGTCGCAAACGCGGCGTTTTCACGAAAATTTCAATATTTTCTCTCATTAATGTCTTCTTTCGTCGATATCAAACACATAAATATCGGAAACGTGCTGTGGAATTGCGACAATTTTCAGAAAACGCGTCTCAGATTAGGCCACGCCCCTTTCTACACTTTTGGTCGCCGTGATTGTGTTGTACATTACATTTCGCATCCCTAGCCAAACTCTTCCAAGCACAAATTCCAATTATTGCATTGCATTCTGTTCAGTTATGACTAATCGGTTGTGTGTGTGTGTGTACGTCCAAGTACCCCATCGTCTTCGACCTCGCGACCGCAATATGCAAATATTTGGCGGTTTGCAAGGAAAGACAAGACATGGCTTGGCTCGTAACACCGACTGATAACATTGTTCTTCCGATTATTACCATCGTTACTGTTTGTGTTATATAAGAATGCAACTATTTTTGGAAATGTCATGAAAAGAAATGGCGCTCTGTTGAGAAGCTCTTTTTTCAGTGCGCAAATTGAGCGACCTCGGGGCCGAGTTGGAAAATAAAAGTTAGGCTACGTTTCCTGTGGAAAATGACTTTGCGGCCTAGAAATTCGACCAGATTGCGAACAGCGCGCCCTTTCTGTCCGGTGCCCCTATAATAGGAGGTTATTGCACAAAACATTGAAAGTTTTCTCTATAGCCAAGCGCGTAACGGTCCGAAAATCGGAAAAGTATGTGTGCGTGGGCGAGTGTTGGTGAGTCATCGCCGATGAATATTTTTGAATAACACACACACAAAAAAAGAGGCATGACTCAGAACTGGGCGCACTCGATGAATAAAGTGTACGTTACGACTCGTCGACTCGAATTTTGTAAAACTTGTGTAGATCTTTTGGGAGGACCCATTTTTTTAGACTTTTGGTACAACTTGCTTGATTTATCCGGACTGTTTCAACGCGAAAATCGAACGCGTGACAGGCGGCACATTGGAATTAAAAGCGCGAATGAATTTTCACTACATCCTCCTAAATCTCACATCAAAAACTGTGTTTACAGTGGAAATTTTGAGGCACACTCAAATTTAGACTCTTTTTTAAAAGTTTCCTCACGCTAAACCGCAAAAATCAGGCATTTAAATTTTTTGAAACGTCCAAAATACGTGGCAAGCATTTTCGTTTCGAATGAAATGCGATTGATCAGGAAAACGTTTCTCTAAAATCAATATTTAGGTTAAGCGAAAAGTGAAAATACTTGCAAACGCATAGGTGTCGCAAATTTTTCGCGGCGAAAAAAAAGTGTCGAGGTGCAAAACTTACAATGATGACGATTTTCACGCCCATACTGATGAGCAGCTGGCTGGGGAACGCCATTTCGAGGTGTCCACGTTGGCGGCTTCTTCTGAAATGATACACTTTTAAGGCGGGTGACATGGAAAAGTGAGGAACGAGTGTTGTATAGTGAAAGATGGTATGTTTCTCCTCTCTCTTTCTCTCTCTCTGTGGCGTCTAACAAGCCGCCACGCGAGAGAGCGGTGAATCATGAAAATGCGAGCAAACACTGCGTCCTCTGCTTTTGTGCGATCCCACCTGTGCTTGCTTCCCTCCGCCCTCCCGGTTTGTTTGCCTTTTCGACTCGCGCGCCCCGCGGCGCCGTGTTTGCATTGCATAACCTACCGATCGATATTTTGTAATGTTCCTCCACGGTCACCTGAAGCAGCTTCGGCGGGTGTTTGCTGAGACCTCCGAACGGGTGAGCACCAGCTTGCGCGCTTAGACGTTCATTCGGCGGCACAAGAAATTAGCATGGAAGATGTGGAGGACGTATTTTGAGCAACGCAACACAAAGGGGTGAATTGCGTACGGAAAAAAGTGACCGTCCCGAATTTTTCGCCAAAATTGAGTCTTGAAAGTTGTCCTAAAACGTGAGCTTTGAGGGAATTTGATTTTCAAATCTTTAAATGTACGCACATTGCTCAAAAAACAATAAAAATGTCATGAAGCGTGGATTAAACATTGGATAAATAGAAGCTCACAGATAAATCAGAAGATCGAGAGAGAACATCAATGAAATGTTATGCGGTTATATGACTGGCGGTGCGCGTGCCGAAATGAAGTCGATGGCACGATGGATGAACGAGCGGATCGGAGAGGGACAGCTCGCCGACGTGGCCACGTTCTGCAGAGATCCACGCATCTGGGCGAACGCCTGGCGTGTGGACGGATTGCGACGGGAGGCGTAACGGAGCGATAGGAAGCGGTAGTAGACGAACGGAAGGAGCAGCGAGCCCTTGCCGCTGAAGATCAGCGAGACGAGGAGAGGCACGAGGAAGATCTCCGAGCACGCGATGATGCCCAGCGCGTTCTGCGTCTGTTGCGAAGTGAACTGCTCGATTTTTGGCACGATTCCCACGTTGTGACCCGTCTCGCGCATCGCTTTCGTCTGCAAAATTGATCGGTTTTATAGAATTGTCGAGAAAAGCACCCTAAATCCGTTGAAAACCACAAAAAATGACCGAGTCGCTTAACTTTGTTGCAAAAAGTGTGTTTCATTGAACAAACTTGAGCTTCTAGGCCAATTGTTGAGGCTTAGAACGGATTTTCAGTGTTTTAATGGTCTGAAAACTGACAAAGAAGGTGGCGGCGTGAAGTGCGGCGTAGATGGTGATCGGAAGGGCGGCCATGCTGACCGGGGTGGCCATCAGGAAGACGATCGAGTAAATCAGGTAGTGGAACGCGTCCTCGATGACCAATCTCTGCATGAACTCGGCGTTCAGTGCGATTTGGCCGCGGATTCGCATGTGAAGACGGAGGGCGAACGTGGCCGCAGCTGAAATTAGGAAAATATCGTAAAACAACTGAACAGCGATCCCTTACAGGCAGCGAAGATTTTATAATAGGCGGAATGGGCCGGAACGAGTCCGATGAACGGAAGCATGTAGTTGAGGGCGAAAAAGACGGTGAGCACGCGCGAGACGAACAGTACGCAGTCCAATGTGTTCGCCGACACGTATTGCTGTAAAAATTCGCATCTTTCCATAAATTTCCCGCAAAAAATACCGAAATCGAGGTGTATTGTGCTCGTGGCGGCGGCGGCGGCGGAGTGGAGCTGCCGGCTCCCGAAGTCTGCTCATCGGGCTCTTCGACGATTTCGACCATTTTCTACAAAAAAAAATGCGATGAAAACAAGGTCTTCTAGTGAGAAAAGTGTAAGCATAGCCAAAATTCGACGGAGAACGTTCCAGAAATTCTAGGAATTTTCTATGCAACGTAGTCTTATGGAAATTGCGGTTTCCATGGTGATACGACACTTATTTCTGCTTTAATGATCAGAAAATCACGAAGAGAACGAATTTTACGAGCAGAGAAGCAGAGAACCTCGTAGGCCGGAGCAACGGAGGGAAATGTCGATGTACTTGATTGGTACGCAAACACTTTCACGTCAAAATGCACCGAAACGCGGTTTTTGATTTATTCCGCCAAACAATTGGACGTTTTCTGCTGAAAATCCGCGAAAATTCCAACTATTCCAGCGAGAATATTTTGTTTAAAGGCTTATGTCTCATATTATGTAGTGGGTCTCGCCACGATAACTGTACTCTTTCCGCTGTGTACTTCTCTCGGACAATCAGAATTAATTTATTTATTTTCGTTTTTCCTCATATTTCGCCGGTTTTCCACGAAAAAACAAATAATTTTCAGAATGTTGAACCTGGGAAATGCTCTGAAAAGTGGTGTGATGTGCTCGGTGAGCAGGAGTGTGCGCACACTCGCCCCAACAGTCAATCCGACCGAACAGCAGCAAGTTCAGACGATTCTGCCCGACAAACTGTACAGTTCTGTTGAAATCGAGTACCGCGCACACGACAAGGCTCTTCTGAAGTCTTACACCACGTTTTTGCAGGTAAATTCACAATCAAAAATACCTTGCGACATTATTGCTGGTAATATAATAAAAGGACCGTCCAACATAATAGAACTGCGCAGTGCGTAGAATAGAACCGCGACATAATAGAACTGTTTTTGTGTATTTATATAAGCATTTTGTCCGTTCCTTTCAATTAACTTTCGCAAAATTTTTCATCTCTTGAACAATTAAGCATAAGACCACAGTTTATACCAAGAAAATTGGTTTTCCTTCGTTTTTGAGAGTACAATACAATTATTTTCTGTGCGTTTTCGTTACCGTAGAGAAGAGGGATCACGACGGAAGTGAAATTAATGAATGCAATAAATCGATGACGAGATTCAAAAATTATCTTTTTCTACGAAACAATTATCCTACAGAAAGGTTTAAAAGGCGCTCCAAACTGTTATATTGTGGCCGGTTCTATTCTGCCCAGTTCTATTATGTTGGACCGCGAATAAAACATGACAAGCCTTTAACATTTCGGCATGAAAACGAGAGAAGATGCCAATTTTCAGGGGGTCTGCCAACATCTGGAAATCATGCCCGGTCGTCAGGAGGTTCTTCCGTACATTCGATGGGTCCAACCGCTGCTCCGCTCGAAATTCGTGCACAAAAAGTACAAATTGCACTACGAGACGCGCACGCACATCTCCAAACTCGAGGTTTACCCAATTTATTTTGAATTCTTTAAAATTGTTGTATTTTTTGCAGATTCTGAACGTGACCGGCTCGACGGCGTCGACGTTTCTCGAGTACATCCAACGAAACATTCCGGAAGGCGTCGGAATGCGCGTCGGATTCACCGAACTTCAGCCGCTTCCGCTCACAATTCGACAATGACTTCCCGCTCGTTTTAGGCTGCTTTCTTGTTTTAATTCATTTTTGTTCTGTTCCCGCGAAAAAACGCAAACAAAAAGTGAAATCATAAATTTTGATTCATAATCAAGTAAAAAATTTAAAAACAATTCCGCAGAAATTAATATCGTCGGCCTCTGTGTCCGCCGTGCCAATCGTCCCTTCCGTTTCCGTTCTGCTGTCGATCGTTCCCGTGCCGATCGTGTTGGCGGCGGTGCGGAGTCTGCTGATAGTGGGCGGGCGGCGGTGGCGGCGGGCGCTGCTGATATTGATTGTGGTTACGGTAGTTGGGCGGTGCCGAGTACTGCTGCATGTGATTCACAAAGTGCTGATGGGGAAGCAACGGCTGCGGAGTCGAGTAGTTTCCGGCTGAAAAATTGAAAAATCCACGTTTTTTTTTCGAGAAGAAAGGACAATTTTCAGCATTTTCAAATGCTCACCTCTTCCATTTCTCCAGCTTTCTTGATTATTATGCGATTGCTGATAGTCGCGTTCGCGCGGGCGCCACGTGGATCCTCCTCCGTTGTCACGATCACGAGCGGCACTGTAGCTTCCGCTTCTGCAAAACGAAAGAGGCGATTCCCTAAACATCTTTCCGACTTTTTGATCTTTTATGTTTTCTCTTCCCGTTTCCCAGTGACAAATCCAATGTTTTCGGATGACAATTCGTACAAAAAGGCTGGGGAAATGAGGAGCAAATAGAAAATCGAAAGATGAAGTCCATGTTCGTCCTTTTTGCTATTGTCGCCGTCGCCGCCGCGCAGTCCATCTCTTTCAACGGAGCTTCGAGACTTCCGTGCCAACTCAGTGAGTATTTTCGATGAAAACTACATTTGGAAACGATCGATTCTTTGCCTCCTTTTCACGTTTTTTCGAATGGAGCAATAGACTTTGGGCGTTGTCTAGGGCCATGAAGACTAAAAACTTGGAGACACATTCTAAGGATCTGAAAGTTCCAAATCGTTCCAGCGTGCTCCACGTCAGCCACGTTTACCACCAACATTGACGGCTCTTCGACGACCGCCCGTTGCACGGATACTTCGTCCGATCCGACGACGCGCTGCCCGGGATGCTGTGCTTCCGTCGCCCTCGCCGCTGGTCTAACTGCTGTTCGTGCCCATTTTTTCCCAAAAAAAAAAACATCCCAAGACATTTCAATTTCCAGGATCGCGCGGCCGGATTCCCGTCGAACAACGGCCGAAGCTGTGTTTGTTGTATCCGGGGATGCTAATTCGCATTGTTTTCCCCCCAATAAATCGATTTATCGCCGGCACTTCCGATTCTGACCTGTTCCGATCGCCGTGGTCCCTCTCGCGACTGTTGTAATCGTCGCGGCGGTCCCGTCCGTGGTCCCTGGGAATCGACGGAGCTCCCCGCTGTCGTTCTTCGATCTCAGCCTTCTTCTGACGGTACAACTCTTCTTGTTTCGTCCCGTTTCGCGGTTTTACCTGAGAAATTGATTGATTTTTCGGGTTTTTGGGGAGAAATTTGAAAAACCTGCAAATTATTGCGGCCGTTCATATTGATATTGTTGAGGATCTCGATGGCGAAGAGCACAGAGAGCTGATGCTGAAAAATTGGGGAATTTTCAAATTTTTAAAGAAACTCCCCAAAATCTTACCTCAAACTCAACAAGCGCGTACTTTGCATTCGTATCCTTGTTCTCTCTGATCGATACGCTCACCACCGGGCCGACCTGTTAAAAAAATAATTTTTTTACTTAAAAAATGTGATTCAAAATGTACCTGTGTGAAGAGTTCCTCGAGCAAATCCTCTTCGAAATTATCGGGAAAATTCGCCACATAAACTGTGCGCTCTTCGGCCATTTCTAGCCGCAATTCCGACAATAAACTGGCAATTGAAATGCGATGGAAAATCGATGTGGCGGACGTGGCCGAGGTTTCGCGGGCGGCCGCTCTTCCAGGGCGCCAGCGCGACAGTACTTGTCATTGTACGTACGTGTCTGGCGGGCGCGAGTTTGCACAACCTTTGCGTCGCTCTCGCAATTGAAACTTTTCTGCATTTTACTCTTTTTTTTTGGGTCTCGAGTAGAAAACTAGTTTTATCCGCAAAAAAACGGGCGAAAAATGACGTTTTTTTTTGGGCTCAATGAGCACTTCCTTGTCATTTCGCTAGGCTTTTCTGTTTTTGTCTCATTTTTTAAATTAAGATGGATAAAAACAACTGAATTGTTATTGATTTTTATCTCAAGTGCACAAATTTTTGATGCGGTTCTCTGCTGCCAATCTGTGACTCACAGAGCTTTTATTGAAAAGTGAGCTCCTCCGAATTGTTTACACTTTTTATAGGTAAACTTTCCTTCTTTTTTTCATCCGAACTCCTCAAGCATTTTTGTGTTATGAAAGCGAAAAAAAAAGAAGGAACAGCCGTTTTTTTTTCTCTCTCTCTCTCTTCAGACAGAGTTCCTTCAGATCATGCGATGATCAGGAGAGAACGGAGAGAAAAAAGAGGGGTTAGATAAAAAGTACAATGTTTATCATGAGATGAGAACAGATAAATTGATAAAATCGGCGGCGGCGATAGTGGAGGGAGAGCATTGAGCACTCTTACGCGACGTCGAACTTTTTTCTGACCGATATCATCGTTTTTCAACTCGCTGACACGCATTTTTTGAATTAAAAGAACGGAAAATCATATCCTCATTTTGTACTCAAACCATTCATTTTACCGCTCTTTCACTGTTCGGCTTGTGAAAAATGTCTGGAATCGATTTTCAGGCACATTTTACAAGCTGCGCGGGAATATTAGAATGTTTTGAACGCAAAATGTGTCTTTGAGAAGGGTTAGACCAAAAAAAATTGAAAAGCCGCGCAAAAACCGAGGTGTTGTCCTAAAAATCTCAAGTTTTCGCCTTCTGTCTGCCAATTACGCCCCTAAGCAGCTGGGGGTGTAATGAATTGACATCATCATCATCGGAACACATATAATCCTTCCGCGCACCGTCTCTCCCTCTCTCGCTCTCTCTTTCTCTCCATTTCAATTCATTCCCGAGGTTTCTCCCCGCCTAACATTTGTCCCTACGGGCGCTTTGTTGGCCAAGTCGTAGTTTTTACTCTTCCCTGATCAGTATTGTCCCTCTTTTGCCCCCCTAGTTTTCATCGATTCATCCTAAAAACGTTTTTCTCTTAATTTTTCTTGAACTTCAATGAAAAACGTTTCGAAAAATGGTCTAGGTGTGTCGATTTCGTACTGACACTCAAAATTTCAGCCAATTTCCTGTACATTGAAAAATTAAGCTAATTATTCTGTACTTTTTGTATTATCGATCCTATCGCGCCCCCTCTTTGAACTGGACTTTTTTGTAGGATCTCGATGCAATTTTACATGTGTCCAGTACTTAAAGTGCTAAAATTTTCTTACATTTTGTTTTCAGATGGCTAAAAAGCAGAAGAAGTCGGGGGGAAAGTCGGTCGAATTCAAGGAGCCAGAAGGGGTGAAAAGCATAGACAGGTGAGCTTTTTATTGCACAAATTCCAAAAACTTGCCCCATTGCGTGACAAAAAATGAGCGGAGCCAAACCTTTGAACCTGTTGCACTGAACCAGCGTTGTCGGCCAATGATCCACATATCTCGGGACCAGGAGATCCGATCGGGCTGAAACTTGGACTCGAGATACTTTAATACAAGTGCAAGAAGCCTGCAAAGTGCAACTGGTTCAAAAGTCCAGGCCAAGAAGAACCCCCGCAATTTTATATTAATTTAATGAACATTTCTACTCTTCTTCTAAAAAAAACATGGTTGCAGGTTAGAGCCAGCCGGTCGTGGAATGAGGCCGTCCCCGTCGGCGAGCACGCTGAACCGAATGGAACGGGAAAAGATCGTGATCTGGCGACAGCCGTTCACGACGATCGCGTACGCGCTCCTAGAACTGGTGCATCTGGCGGGCGACGTCCTTCTCAAACTGTTCCGCCACAAAGTGCTCCTCACGCTCACGCTCGCCTCGATCGCGCTCGCCGTTTACGGGTACCACGCGGAGGGCGCGCACCAGAAACACGTGCAGATCGTCGAGAAGCAGATACTGTGGTGGGCGTGGTGGGTCTCGCTGGGCGTCCTTTCCTCGATCGGACTCGGATCCGGACTGCACACGTTCCTCATCTACCTGGGACCGCACATCGCCGCCGTCACCATGGCCGCCTACGACTGTCAGACGTTGGATTTTCCCGAACCGCCGTATCCCAATGAGTTCGTAGCGATTTGTGTTCTAAATTTGAGTCAAAAATGCAATTTTTCGCAAATCCAAAATTTCCTTCCGATATTGAAGTTCTATGACTGTTTTTGCAGAGTTAAATGCCCGGAGACGCGGAACGCGGTGGCGGTGACGTTCTGGCAGATCGTGAACAAAGTGCGCGTGGAATCGCTGCTCTGGGGCGCCGGAACCGCGCTCGGAGAGCTGCCGCCGTACTTTATGGCCCGTGCGGCCCGAATCTCGGGCCAAGAGCCCGACGACGAGGAGTACCGCGAGTTCATCGAGCACATGAAGTCGGAGAACGCGAATCAGGGAGAGGAGACGGAGAAGCAGAGCATCGGAGACCGTCTGAAGACGTGGGTGGAGCACAACATTCACCGACTGGGCTTCCCCGGCATCCTCCTGTTCGCCTCGATCCCAAATCCGCTGTTCGACTTGGCCGGCATCACGTGCGGCCACTTCCTCGTCCCCTTCTGGTCCTTCTTCGGCGCCACACTCATCGGAAAGGCGCTTGTGAAGATGCACGTGCAGGTACTCGCACCGGAAATTGCACAAATCACAAATAAATCTTCATTCGTTCAGATGGCATTTGTCATTTTGGCCTTCAGCAACCATCACGCCGACAATTTTGTGGCGATGCTCGATAAAGTACGCTTTTTCTTCCCCTCCCATTTATATGCAAATTCTACGGTTTTTTTTTGCAGATTCCCGTCATCGGACCGCATATTCGCAAACCGATTGGCGATTTGTTGGAGAATCAGAAGAAGACGTTGCACAGAAAGCCCGGAGATCCGGTCGAACAGGTGAGCACGTGCGCGAAATTCGGTTTTTTGAAAAAAAATCCGCGAGAAACGACAATTTCTTGCAGAGTTCGTCGGTAATGCAATATTTGTTGGGCGCGATCGTCACCGGCATGATCATCGTTTTCGCGTTGTCGATCGTCAACTCGCTGGCGAAAGACTACCACAAACGGCTGTGGGAACGGAAAAAGCAGAAGCAGCAGAATAAGGTCGAGTGAATAGGTACAAAGCACGGAATCGACACATTCTTTCATCGTCAAGAACAATTCCAATGATTTTTTTTCCGCACAAATTTGTCTAATTTTATGCTTTGTCTCTTCAGGAATTGATAGAGAACGAAGAGGAAGAAGATGAGGAAGCGCCGCCGTCGTCGTGTCCGTTTTTATCCGAGGAGAAGGCGTTTGAAGTTGTTGTTGTTGTTAAAAAATGACTCTTTCTTTGTGAAATTGCATGCGAAACGCACACAAATGATGATCTCACAATCACACTTAACAATAACCTCCTTCTCCTCGGATAACACCCACGACGTCCGGTGATGGCATCCCAACCTTGACCACTTCTTCTTCTTCTTCTGTTCCTCCCCAATGCTCAAACAATCTTTCTTCCCCATTTTTTCATTTTAAGTACCTCCCTTCTTTTCTCTCTTTTTTGTCAAAAGCCAAACTTGTTGTTGTGCAATCCAATCCCGAACCTTTTCATGGTAAACTTCACTTTCCGATGTGATTTCGATTCGCTCCGTTTTCCCCTTGTCCCGAAATATAATTTATCTATTCTCTACATTGTGGCGTGCCATTGAAGTGGACCCTTTTTTCGTTGTTCTTTTCTCTTCCATCATTCTGACATCATTTCGAAGAAGGGGGGAGGGGGGCTCAAGTGTGCATTATTATTGTTTCCCCTCAAAAGTTTTGCCGCCGAAGGTGATGGTGCTCTCGAGAAGGAGCTTCCGAAGGGTTTAGTTGGTGCCCGCACCATTTCTCTACGCCCACACTATTTCGCCCCTCCACTTTTGCGCGCACGCACACAAATTCATCATGGATTAGCTCCACCCCGAGGCTACAGTAATCCTCGAGAAGCAAGGGGCGGCGCCCGGAAAATCGCGAGCTCAAGGGCTCATTCTTGCGCCATTTTTGCTCGCCAAACATGGCGTCGTCCGGAAATTGTGCTCCGAATACCGACAAGAGCGACGCGGTTCTGGAGAACTTGATTGCCAAGGGTGAGTTCGAGCGGTCTCGCCATCTTTAATGAAAGCATCAACTTTAGAAATTCTTCCGCAATCGGCAAACTGGGAAGGAACAGAAGAGTTTCTGAACCGCATCGTCCAAGTGCTCCTCAAGTACATCAAGGATCAGAACGAGCGCGGTCAGAAGGTTCTCGAATTCCATCACCCGGACAAGATGCAAAAGCTGATCGACACGTCGATTCCGGAGCAGCCGGAGAGCCTCCTTCAGCTCGTCAAGGTCCGTTTTCTCGTTTTCATTTTCATTTCGGCGCCCCGGGGGCACATTATTTGATGCGGCCTCTTGAGTGTACGTTTATTTGTTTTGCAGAGCTGCGAAGACGTGCTCCGACTCGGCGTACGCACCGGACACCCACGCTTTTTCAACCAAATCTCGTGCGGCCTCGATTTGGTTTCGATGGCCGGCGAATGGCTCACCGCCACTGCCAACACTAACATGTGAGGGGGGAAATGGAATTTGGTGTCGAATGAGCTGTATAGTTGTACAATCGTTAAGAGTCCCATTAAGTGTCCTTTTGTGTGTCCAATGGGATTGCAAGCGCCTTCAACCTCAACCTTTTGCAAAGTGCGGCTTTGAAGCGGCACAGTACTCTTAGGAGTGGTGGTACAAAAAAGGTGTCAACTACAAAAGTAATAAGCTAGAAATTTCCTAGATGTTTGTAGTTGATCACTTTTTTCTAGAATCACGTCGAAGCGCACTGTAGCTCTTGGAAGTTTTGATAATTTTTGAGGCGATTGAGAGAGCTACAGTATTGCACTACAGGTTCACCTACGAAATCGCGCCGGTGTTCATTCTGATGGAGAAGTCGGTGATGGCGCGTATGTGGGAGGCGATCGGCTGGGACACCGAGAAGGCCGACGGAATCTTCGCCCCGGGCGGCGCCATCGCCAATCTGTACGCCATGAACGCGGCACGTCATCATTTGTGGCCACGCAGCAAGCATCTCGGCATGAAGGACATTCCGACGCTTTGCTGCTTCACCAGCGAGGATGTGAGTTGTTGTCAGGAGGGAATCGAACGAGACCCGTCATTTCAGAGTCACTACTCGATAAAGAGCGCGGCGGCGGTGTGCGGCATCGGCGCCGACTACTGCTTCAACATTCCGACGGACAAGAGCGGAAAGATGATTCCGGAGGCGCTCGAAGCGAAGATAATCGAGTGCAAGAAGGAGGGACTGACGCCGTTCTTTGCGTGTTGCACCGCCGGCAGCACCGTCTACGGAGCGTTCGACCCGCTGGAACGTGTGGCCGACGTTTGCGAGCGTCACAAACTGTGGTTCCACGTGGACGCCGCGTGGGGCGGCGGCGTGCTCCTCTCGCCCGAGCACCGCTACAAACTGGCGGGCATCGAGCGCGCCAACTCGGTGACGTGGAACCCGCACAAGCTGATGGGCGCCCTCCTTCAGTGCTCGGCGTGTCTGTTCCGGCAGGACGGACTGCTCTTTCAGTGCAATCAAATGTCCGCCGACTACCTCTTCCAGCAGGACAAGCCGTACGATGTCAGCTTCGACACTGGGGATAAGGCGATCCAGTGCGGACGGCACAACGACGTCTTCAAGCTGTGGCTCATGTGGAAGAGCAAGGGAATGGAGGGCTACCGGCAGCAGATCAACAAACTCATGGATCTTGCCAACTATTTCACGAGACGCATCAAGGAGACCGAGGGCTTCGAGCTCATTATCGACAAGGTGGGGGGCGATGATTTTTCAAAGTTGCGGCTTCTAAAAAGTGACCATTTGCAGCCCGAGTTCCTGAACATTTGCTTCTGGTACGTGCCGTCGAAGATCCGTAACCTGGAGCCGGCGGAACTGCGCGCGCGGCTCGACAAGATCGCGCCCAAGATCAAGGCGGGCATGATGCAGAGGGGCACTACGATGGTCGGCTATCAGCCGGACAAACAACGCCCCAACTTCTTCCGAATGATCATTTCCAATCAGGTTTGTCGTGCAACTTTCTGGAGGATAGTGGTGGAACAGTCGAGTTTTCAGGCGATCACCCGCGAGGACTTGGATTTCTTGATCAACGAAATCGTCGACATTGGAGAATCTTTGCAATAGTTCCGATCATTCTTTTTCCTGCTTTTGCCCGATTTTCACTATTGCTTCCCGCTTCAGAGCGCCCCAAATTCTTTTTCACTTGAATGTACCTGAGTAGCTGTAAAAAATTGATTCTCTTTTCGCTGCGCTTCTAGAGAATATGTTTTTCTGATTCCTCACTTCGAAAAAGGAAAGTTTCATATTACAGCCTTCATTCAACAAGTAGGTGTTTCGGTAATAAGTTAGGTCGTTTTAACCGAGCCAACTGGGCTCTCACGCACAAAAAACAATTGACTATTGCTACTCAATATTACACGATTACACACGAGTCAAAACCAAAAACAAACAAAATGTGCGAACACAACAAACGAATTGTACAGATACGAGAAATTCGGCGCCTTATTCTCATTCTTCGTCCGATTCGGACTCGTCCGCTTCCCTTCCAGCTCCGTTGTCCGTTGAATTGCATGCTTTGGCTTCCGGGATGTCCTTCAAGTACCTCTGTAGTCCCTCTGCTGATCTCCAACGTCCTCTGCACCGCACCTCCTCCATCGAAAGTCCTTTCGCTCGCAAGTAGTTCGCTCCAGCTCGTCTGAATCCGTGGCGCGTCGCTCCCGTTTTCCCGATCGCCTTGAGCATCTTCGAAGCCAGGGCCGAGATCGATTGCTTCGACAGACGTTTGGATCCCTCCAAGTTCGAAAACACGTACTCGCACGTCTTCTTCTTGCTTCTGAGTCGCCACCTGCACATCAGAATGTCCGCGTCGCTGCCCGGTTTGTAGTTGAAGTACGATCGACGTCCCAGAGCCATCTGATCGTTCTTCGCCTTATCAACGATTACCTCGATCAGATCTCCTGTTTGAGTGACACCGTCCCACTTGATCTCCGCCGCCTCAGACGCCCTCAACATCACATGGAACGACAGAATCGCCAGCAAGGCATCCCGATCGCCCGCCGGACTGTTTGACTGCATCGCCAACTGTGTGATCTTTTCGACATCCTCCAAAGTCACCTCGACTGGCTTCTTTTTCAACGGAATCTCGAGCCTTCTCTTCATCTTGATGACGTCCGCCACGAAAGCCGCTCCAATCTTGGAAATCCCATCGTTTGCCGCTTGATACGCCGCCGAGATCTTCGACAGCGCGCTGCTTCCGATCTTCGTCCCTCTCTCCATCAGGTAGAGCAGGAATGTTGACTCGTTCTTCGGCAGCTGCATCTTCTCGGTCCAAACGTTTCGTTTCACATTTTCCGCGCAATATGCCCTCGCCGTAGACGTGGCCTTTGACTCGTACGGCGCCAAATTCAGCACGTCGACAAGGTGTTTCAGCTGCTTCGCCGCCTGCGCCTCCAAATCCTTCACGTACTGTCGTTTTGCGCCTTCTGCAACAATTTGACACTTGATTTCTTTCGTTTAGTTGGGTGGGTGGGCCGGGAACCTTCCAAATTCCGTAGAATGACATTTCGAATTAAAATCCCGCCTACCGCGACCGTTCTTTCATTTCGCTTCGAGACCCGCGCCACCTCAAAAGTCTCTGCGCCTTTAACTTTCGGTCGCCGCGCGCGCGCCTTTTTCTCCGTTTGTCAACGAAAAACATAGTAATGGGGCTATTCAGCGTATGTTTGTTTTCCGTTTTTTTCGTTTTTTTACATCGCTGAATTGGATTTTTTGACGTAAAAAAACGAAAAAATCGGAAAACAATCATTTTTTCACAGCCTGAATAACCCCATAATAAATCGTAGAGACACTGTATTATAGGTGCACCGCACAGAAATGGCGCACTGTTGAGAAACTCTTTTTGCAGTGCAAATTGAGCGACCTCGGGGCCGAGTTTGAAAAGTTAAACCACGTTTTCAGTGGAAAATTACTTCGCGGCCTAGAAATTCGGCCAGATTGCTAACAGCGCGCCCTTTCTGTCCGGTGCCCCTATAATAAATGGCTTCTTTTCTTCGCACAACACCTCGCCAGTCAATTTGCAGATTCCGAATTCACTTTTGAGAGACTTTCGATCTCGTCTAGCACACGTTTCTACGTTCTGTGCCCTTCCATTCGCACTCACAACGACACCCTGCCCTCCACGTGGCAAACTGACAATGAAACACGGCCTCCCAATACAATTCCATTATACCGCTTTTTCAAAAAGGGTTTCGAAAAGAGACGAAGCGATGAGAGTGTTTGTTGTGGCGATCAGTTTGATACTCGTCTGTAAGTTGGTCTCAAATATTAGAGGTTTGCAATTAAAGTTTTCAGCAGCACAAGACGCATCGAATGCGAATACTATCAAACTCGAACATCCTAGTTGCGTCAACTGGCCCACTTGTGATGGTGAGTGAAGAGAACTTTCATGGTCCCTGACAAACGTTCTCGTTTTTTGTTGTTGCAGTTCCGTCTAATGTGCCGCCTAAATTGCTTTCGGCGTATCAAACGGCAACGTCGTCGGTTCCGATTCGAACCAAAAGAGCCGCTAACGGTAACAGTTAATTTCTCCGTTTCGACGCCGTTGAACCGACACATTTCAGACGAGCCGTTCGATTCGTTCGTCGCCAAAATGTCGCTGACCGCCCGTGTCGTCACCGCGATCACTCTCCAAAACGGACTCATCGACGGAGCGATCCCTGCCGACGAGGCGATCGGCGAGCTCATGAACATCGGCGCTGTCAGTCTCGATGATCTGCAGAAAGTGGAGCCGAAGACCGTTGAGGAGTTTCTTGGCAAGGTGCAGAGTGTGGCCGCCGAATTTCACGATGACGAATACGGAATCGAGAAAGCACTGATTGATGCGAATTGGATGAAAAGAACATGGAGCAATGTCGGTGACCTGAGCAAGTTACCCAAGAAGGCAGATTTCAAAGCTCTGGATTCGATTGCCAATCTCGATGTATCCAAGGTGAAGTATGCGTCTATCGAAAAGAACATTGGTGATCTGGAAGGCAGCCCCAGCGACGCCGACCTCGGGAACATCAAGACTTCTCTGGAAGCGCTGGCGAAGGAAGTTCAAGCATCCCTCAGCTCGATCGATCTCGACAAACCAGTGGAGTTTCTTGACAGAATGCAGCCGCTGAAGCTATTCGTCGATCTTGTGAAGTATTCCATGCAGAATGTTATCAATCTGTCTATACTCTCTAGTGACCAAAACACAAAGTTTGGTGAAAATTTGAAGAAAGCGGAAGGACTGTCGGCGTTGGCAACCACGAGCTTCGGGACAATGCATGCTGTCATCTCGTCACGTGTCTCTCACGTCGTTATCGATCGGAAGCACACTCCCGGACTGGTCAACGGGTTCTCTGACCTTCAGAAACTTTCGGATGACACGTCGGACACGTGGCTTTCCGGAATCATCGATCCATCGATCAAACCGGATGCTCTGAAGCCGTTGCTGACGATAAAAGAGAAGGCGGACAGTCTGAACGACAAGTGGCAGTCGATCTCCACGAAGAAGAACTCCGATACTCTCAAACGAGCGGCCAGCATTCAAAACAGCATCAAAGAAGCCGACGGAACTTCACAGATAGCTGAGCAAAGCTTGAGCTCGTTTCAAAACATTCAAACAAGCAGTGCGGTCACTATTGTGGTGCAGAAGTTTGAAGCTGTAGGCGATCGTGTCGATTTGTTGGTGAGAAAGTTGAAATCACTTCAAGCAGTATCTCAGGCACTCTCGAAGGGAAGTCCCGAACAAGTCCAGCAGATTCGTCAACTTCTTCAATTGCTCGAGCCGCAATTGAAAGTTCTTCAAGAAGCGCCGACCGTGAAAGAACTGGTATCCAGCTTGAAAAAGGAGGACAATCTTGTTGAGTCCTTCGGCTTGACATTCAAATCAAATATCGACGACTTCAAGGCGCTCAAAGAGAAAACGAACAATCTAGAGAAGGTGGCAGCGGGCGCGCAGCTGTTGAAAGACATCCGTCAGTTGAAGACCAACAACGAGTTTTTAAAGGACGTCAAAGCGATCGCCGCGGCGTTCTCGGATGCTTCGAAACTGCTGGAGGATGTTCGATCGACGGCGGCCAACATTACGAAGGTTGCGAGTGAGGATGCGAAGAAGCTGTCGAAGTTCAAAGAACTCAAGACATACTCGAAGCCGCTCGGAGACTCTGTGGCTGCTGTCGTTGCCGTTCAGAAGGCGTTGGCACAGAAGAAGACGTTCGAGACGTTTGTGGCCGACGGAGCCGTCGTGGAGGAGGAAGCGGACAAGCAGCAGAACACGAATCTCAAGTTTACGATCAAGAGTGACTGGGGGGACTTTGAGAGGGATAAGCACGAAGTGAGCATGCTGGTCAGTGATTTGGAAGTGCGAAAGATCAAGATAAAGACTCCGAGCGGCGCGCAACTCGTCGACTTTTCACCACTGTTTGAAGAGTTCAAAGGATTGAAAGACTTGGATTTGCACCCGGACAAAAAGCTGGAGGCTATCAGAGCGCTCAAAGGTCAAGGCGTCAGCAATCAGAAACTGTCGGGCCTGGAGACGGTGCTCGGCGGACTCTCTGCTCTCGATCTACAGTTTGCCCGATTCAGCGGAGCCCTCTCTGAAATCCATCAAACTCTGGCGCACGTGGGTTCGGTGTGGAAGAAGCCGTCCGTCTCGACGTCCTTCTCGACGTCAACAAGAGCCCCGAAGACTACAAAAAAAGTCGTGCAGGAGTGAGTCTTTCTGAAACTTGGACATTAGACGAACCGTTCTCAATTTCAGCATTCTGCTCGTCGCCGAATCGTCTAGTCCCCCTGCGGCTCTTTCGACCTTCTCCATGTTTGTTTGTCGCATCGACTCTACTATTCTAATTATTTTAGAGCTTCTATCTGTCTGGGCTGTGTACTCGGTTGCATTTTCATTGCTGTTGTAATAATCTGTCTCCTCAAGAAAAAGCCATGGAAACGGACACGGACACCGAAACCGGAACCGGTAGTGGAACCGATAGTGACACCGATTCCGGGAGTGGAACCGTTAGTGACACCGAAACCGTCCGTCGTTAATTGGAACGATGCTTTCAGTCCTTCGGTGCCTGCTTCTCGGGCCGGCAATCGTCGACAACGGGCCAACTCTGCTCCGGCCGCCATTGCTCCTCAAGCGGTCAACCCTGCTCCGGCCGCCATTGCTCCTCAAGCGGTCAACCCTGCTGCTGGCGCCAATGGTCAACAACGGGCTCTCCGTTCTCCGGCCGCCCTTGCTCCTCAAGCGGTCAACCCTGCTCCGGCCGCCCTTGCTCCTCAAGCGGTCAACCCTGCTCCGGCCGCCCTTGCTCCTCAAGCGGTCAACCCTGCTCCGGCCGCCCTTGCTCCTCAAGCGGTCAACCCTGCTCCGGCCGCCCTTGCTCCTCAAGCGGTCAACCCTGCTCCGGCCGCCCTTGCTCCTCAAGCGGTCAACCCTGCTCCGGCCGCCCTTGCTCCTCAAGCGGTCAACCCTGCTGCTGGAGCCAATGGTCAACAACGGGCTAACCCTCATGATGACGCTGGTGTCGTTGTCCCACGTGCTGAACAGGAGCACACCGCTCGTCAGAATAGACCTCCAAGACCTGAGTAAGTTTTCGCGTATGGATGCCACGAATCAAACGAAATCGTTTCAGGGAGTTTTTAGAGAGCCAGAACGACGACGACACCTTGGCATGCGTCGCTAGCATTAGATGAGATGATTGATTTATTGAAGAATAAAGTTATTATAAAATGAATAAAGACACAGACAGACGACACGTTTACTCGCTCGAATTTGGTCCGAATGTTCGAGTGTTTCAATTCGCATATTCGCCAGAAATATTGGGCAGACTGTCGATTTCGTCGGGGATCCAGTAGAGATATGCGACCCAGTAGAAAAAGTTGAACATTATGTACAAGGAGGGAAAGGCCCACTTTGAGAAGTTGTCGATATTGTTGACGACCTGCAACGAGCACTGATTAACCACTTCTCGACATAATCATCGTTCACCTCGGCGGGGTCTCCGTTCCGAAGCGTTTTCTTGGCGATCGCTGCCTTGACGGCCATGCGGTAGAAGACGGAAGTGCTCGCGTGCTGGTCCCGGTTGCACAGTTTCTTCCACCACGGCACCGCCTTCAGTCGCGCCTCCTCCTTCTCCACCGCCAAATCGTCGACCTGAATGGTGTCGCGTCGGGCGCCCATCAGTCCCGCAGTGAACATTCGCATCTGACCCATCTGAACATTGAATTGAATTGAATCGAATCGAATTGCTCGCTTCTTTCTTCTTCTTCTTTATTGGAGAGCTTTCAAACTAACCGCACTGTTCTGTTCGAGACCCTTCAAATCGTGCACTTGCTTCCGAATGTACACAATTTGTGCGTAGTTGATCACCGCGTACTCGACCATCGCGGCGAACAGAAACACGAAACAGCTTCTGGAAAATGATTGTTTCGAAACGTGTCAAACAAATGAAACCGACGCACAATATGTAAATGTCTAGGGCGGTCGAGTGCGAGACTTTCGGCAGATCCGTGCGCAGTCCGAATCCGATCGTCGACATCGAAAGGACCGTCATGATTCCGAGGGAGACGCGCGCCGGCGACGCTTCCTTGTTGATCCAGAACGAGACCCACGACATGACGACGACCAACGTGCACGGGGTGTAGATTTGGAGGATGTAGTAGCCCTGTTGGCGTTGCAGTTTGAAGTAGACGTTCAGCACCGAAATGTCTGCAAGCGGCGGTTGGTTAACGCGATGTATCTCTGCTGGTTCTAGAGATATCGAAATGTGGTCAACTGCCAAAGTGTTCAAAATTGTGTGAGAAACAATTTACTAGTTGACAACTTTTCGATATCTCTACCGCCAGTCGAGATACACCACATTGAATAAACTGTATTGATATGACACTAGCGTTTTAGAAACTGGCCCATAACTTGAGAATGGACAATTTTGGGATAAAATTGTCAACTAAAAAGTTGTTTAGCACACGATTTTGAACAATTTTCTAGTTGACAGCTTTACAAAACAACGACTGGTTCCCGAGTTACACTCACTTTTATGAGTGAACCGAAAATCGGAGAGATTCCTTTCCGACTTGGACAAAGAGAGCACTTGATACTGGCTGAGCATGTTTCCCATCTTCGAATCGAGTTCCACGTCCTTCCATCGGTAGATGACGTCACTGGCAAAGTATCCCAAAGAGCCGATCTCGATCGGACACGCCTGAGTGTCCATCGGAAACTTTTTCAGAAACATTTGGCAGCGGGACCGGATTGTGAGTCTGAGATGGCGATTTTACAATTGTTTATAGACGAATTGAAAGATAATTTCAAGCTCTACAACTTTCTAGTTTACAATTTTTTACGATCTTGTCCTTGAACTGAGATATTTCAGTTTGAAAGCAAGGTGTTACACGGTGTAGATGAGATACTCATCTTTTAAAAGTCTAATATCTGAGCGGAGGAGCGTGCTCATGAAAAACGGTCAACTAGAAAGTTGTAGAGCTTGAAATGATCTTTCGATTCATTTTTTAACACTTGAGAAATCTTGAAAATGAAGCGAGAAAACGTGAGTTTACTCGGACCGACCTCTGCGAAACATGGACCTGTCCGTCGGATCGGACTCTGAACAGAATATTGGGCACTGTCAGTGTGTGCAAGTAGGATTTGCGTCCATTGCGGACGTACGTGTCCGGCACCCAAATATCTTTGAGCATCTTGCTCGCCAACGGAATCTCCGGCTTCGATGGATTGATCGGAGTGAACGCGAGCCGACGGTCCAGCCATTTTTGACGGAAATAACAGTCGAGCGAGAATTCCTTGAAGGAAAAAATGAAGTGATTCAATGAGTTCTAGTACTCGAATTGTGCAATCCTACCATATTTTGCTCTGAAATCGGACCCATAGATCTGACGGATATGTCCACTTCGACTTGCAGCGGCGAGTTGTCTGGAAACTCGGAGCTACAGTACTCCAGGGAGTGATTTTACAAAAAAGGTGCCAACTACAAAAATCAAGTTCTAGACATGCACTACATTTTTGTAATTGACAATATTTCTCTAGCACCACCCCCTGGAGTACTGTAGCTCTCGGAAGTTAGGGCTACAACTTTGTGAGAATCTGAGGTCGTCCTGACTTCCAAGAGCTACAGTACTCCAGAGAGTGACTATAAAAAAAAGTTGTCTATTACAAAAATCAAGTGCACGACTAGTACGTCATTTTTGTAATTGACAATATTTCTCTAGCACCACCCCCTGGAGTACTGTAGCTCTCGGAAGTTAGGGCTACAACTTTGTGAGAATCTGAGGTCGTCCTGACTTCCAAGAGCTACAGTACTCCAGAGAATGAGTATAGAAAAAAGTTGTGAACAGGAAAAATAAAGTAAAAGATATGCTAGTTATGCTGCGCGAAAAATTTCAGCCATCCGGCTCTACATTACGTACCCGGGTTCACCGGTCGAAAATGTTTGTCCTGATTGAGGAGAATCGTGTCCAACACCTTCGTCGTGTACCGAATCAAAGTCTGATTGTAGGTGGTGCTTCGGCTGTTTAGTCTGAAAATTGTTCAGCTTTTTCACCACCAACTTCCGAGCGTACCTCGATTTTTTCTGATCAATAATCGCCGTCGAGTGGTGTCCGTGGATGAGGGCGATTATCGGGAGGATGAAAACCGAAACCATGTTCTGAATTTGAAAAATGAAGTGGATGGGCGGGGTTTGGGATGAAGAAGAAGAAGGAGAAGAAGAAGAAGAAGAAGAAGGAGAAGGAGAAGACAACGCGTTTTTCTTTCAATCACCGTCACGAAATTGGCTCACATTTCCGATGCGAAAGCCAAAAAATAGTGCACACACAGCGAATTGAGGAGCAAAAAAAGGCGGGATTGATTTAACTTTAACGCAGCCCCGGGGAGCGAGAAGAAGAAGAAGAAGAAGAAGAAGAAGACTTCTTCTCTCTCTCTCTCTCTCTCTCTATCACCTTTTCACATCTATCTTCCTTGCCGATATACTAACTATACTGCTATTATTTCTAAAATTGGCACGTGTCAGCAAGACGATTCGATTGTTGGGGGGAAAGAGAGCAAAATACAAGAAATTCAAAGCTTCTACCGGCGGCTTATAATAGCGTCTGATACGAGGTACTTTGCGTCGCACTATCTTAAAAATTCCTCATCTTTCGATGCGTATATCTCGAGAACCGATAGTTATTTCAAAAAGTGTTCAACTGAAAAGTTGTTGCAAATTTTATGCTTAACAACTTTGTAGTTGATCATTTTAACGCAAAACTTGTCATTTTTGAGTGAGTTGCGGTCTCGTTTCTAAACAGTTACATCGAAACGGTCGGTCTAGAAACTCGGCGCATAACTCTAAATCTAATGATTTCCAAAAAACATGATCAACTACAAACTTATTTTCCAGATAATTTGGATCAACTTTCCAATTGACCACTTTTTAAACACAAGCCACGTTCTCGAGATATAGGCCGTAGAAGTCAAGCGATATTTTCGTGTCTAGTACGCAAGTACCGTAAAGCTTACAGTAATCAAAGATTGCAGCAGCGAAATTCCAAAAAAAAAAGAAAGAGACAGAAACAAAGAAAAAAGGCGACGAAAAAAGAGGAAAGTCAATGAGACACTGCTGTTTCGTCGTCGTCGTCCTCGTCGTCGTCGTCGTCGAATATCGGGCCCCAAGGGGTCGATGGCGGCCATGTTTGTCACACCCTTTTGGGAAGGGCCGGCCACGAAATATGTGTGTGTGTGTGTGTGACATGGCAGCTAATTGGCTCCGTGCTCTCACAGGAGCATGTTTTTTCGCGAGAGCTCAATGTGCAGAAACATCCGTTCCGAGTAGCACCTTTTTTTTGTTTCGTAAAATCTGAAAGTTGGAGGTAATTGTCCAGTTGCAAAACGTCTTTGTTCGCTCCTAGACACGGACGTTTCGCAACCGGAACGTGAAAAACATGAGAATGTACATTCGTCGCATTAAAACACACGAAAAGGAGAAGAAGATGCTCTCTGTCTTTGGGAAATGGATCGAGGTTCTTCATGAATTTCGAATCGACTTCTTCTTCTTCTTCTTCTTCTCCTTCTTCTCCTTCTTCTTCTCCTTCTTCTTCTTCTGAAACACCATTTTGACGACTTTATTATGAGGCCGTGCCATCCATCTTCAAATGAAACATTTTATGATCGGCTCATTCGCATTCATACCCTTCCATCTTCCCGGCGTTTCGGAGATGTCTCTCTCTCTCTCTCTCTGGCAACCAATAAACATTCAAACCAATACATCTCAGCGGTGAGTGGAGAGATCAAAACGCTGTCAACTAACAAAATGTAGAAAATGTTTTGATGAGCATTTTTTCAGTTGACAACTTTTTGATATCTCCATCGGCAGCCGAGCTATATCGTTTAGAATGAATAGTATTCTAGTCAGTTGCGGGATGGAGGATTACTGTAGTTTCAGTACACTTTGCAGTGCGTTTCCGCACTTGCTGGTCCCCGTCTTCCCGGAAAAAGTTCATCGACAACAGCTCCTCCTCCTCCTCCTCCCTCTTCTTCTCCATCTTTCCCTCCCCCCGAATTTTGCGCATATCTCTCTTCTTCTTCTTCTTCTTCTTCTTTGTCTTTTTTTGACAGCTTCTTCTTCTTCTTCTTCTTCTTCTTCTTCTTCTTCGAAACGTATCCTTCAACTTTAAAAGAAAACGTTAATTTCCAGAATGAGAGCCTGGCCAACTCTAATAGTTTTCGAGTTTTCCATCACCCTCCTCCTAGTATCGACGATCTTTTGCACGAGGTACGGGCGGTCGCGGGACCACGTGAAAACCACGAGTTTAGGTCGAACGACACGACTGCCGAGCACATGAGCACACTTTGGAGCAACCGCAGCCAGACAATGTACTCGAACGCGTCGTCGTTGCTCTCCGATCTCCTGTCCGATTACGATATTCGATTGAGGCCCGGGTTTGGAGGTTGGTCCCACTGATCGGTGACTTCTATGGTCCCTCATAGACCGGCTCTCAAATTCCCGCGTCTATTGAATTTCGACCGCTCGATTCGATTCGATTCGATTGTCTTTTCTTCTTTTTTGAGGGGGGGGAGGGGGGCTAGTCGTGTTTTTTGCTCATCGAGAGGTATATAAATGAAGAAAAACGCCAAGAAAGCCGCTTGATTGTTTTTCAAATTGAGTTTAAACAAGCCGCACATCCACCCTCAACTTCTTCTTTCCCCCAGACATTTAATTGGGGAGCTACATATTTGAAGGATTACGGTAGCCCACAAGAGAGGTTATCTCGGTCAATTTTGACGATTTTTCAAGTCTAAAAAAAGGAATCGAAAGATAATTGCATGCTCTACAACTTTCTAGTTGACCAGTTTTAACGATTGTGCACACAAATCGAGATATTCGCAATTTTCAAGGTTTTACACTTTCGATCAATTATTCCATTTCTTTTCGTAGCCAAAAACGAGAAGCCAAGCTGCGTTTGAAAGTGTTCAACTGCGTGGCTCCTTTCGATTCCTCGGGGAGCGCTTATCAAGCGGGCTGTCAGCAAGCTGCTCGAGAAAAAGTAGAAGCTAAAGCTAAAGCTAAAGCTTCGTTTTTGCAGGCGACGCTCTCCTCCTCACCATGGACATCATCATCGCCTCGTTCGACTCGATTTCCGAAGTTGATATGGTTGGGAAGAGGAAAACGCGTCGAGCGCCACACAATTGAGCACTTTTTGCAGGATTACACGCTGACAATGTACTTGCATCAGTACTGGACCGACGAGCGGCTACGCTGGTCGAACGAGATACCGATTGACGAGATGACACTCAGCGGAGAGTTCTCGCAGTGAGCTCTGGAGACGTCGAATTGATTCGAAAACGAGTTGTGGATAATCTAGAGCGCTATTACTTGGTTTTTCTAGTTGACAACTTTTTTGTACCGCCTTTCCTTAAAGTACTGTAGCGCTTTGAGATGGGCCCAACTTCCAAGCGCTACAGTTCTTCTGAGAGTGATTGTAGAAGAAAATTGTTAATTGTAAAGTCAAAGTACACGACTAGCACATTATTTTTGCAGTTGACCACTTTTCTGAAAATCCACTCCCTGGACTACTGTAGCTCTTTGAAAGTACTCTTTACATGGGCGTTGAGAAGCTACAGTACTCTTGAAATTGTGTTTACAAACATTTTGTCAACTACAAAAATGATGCACTAGTAATGTACTTTCATTTTGTATTTTACACTTTTCCTCTACAAACACTCGTAGAAGTAATAGGGCGGTTAGAGCAGTTCAAACTTCCGCGAGCTACAGTACGCCAAGGAGAAGCGGTACAAAAAAGTTGTCAACTGACGAAACAAAGTACCAGGTTTGTAGATGACGCTCAAAAAATGTCCGATCAATCTGACGTCTTCTATTCGAGTTATACAAACGCAAAGTTGAACGTACACCTAGCATCGAACATTTGCAGACACATTTGGGTGCCGGACACATTTCTGGCGAATGACAAGCACTCGTACCTTCACGAGGTGACCGAACGCAACAAAATGCTGCGGATTAATGTGGACGGGAAGGTGGCGTACGGAATGCGGCTCACTTCCACACTCAGTTGCTCCATGAACCTCCGAAACTTTCCGCTCGACTCTCAGAATTGCACCGTCGAGATTGAGTCGTGTAAGTGACGGATTTCAAAAGTGTGAGCGCCGAGACCGAGAAGAGACCATTTCCAGACGGCTACACAACTTCGGAGGTGCTCATGAAGTGGAACTATCCGCTGGCGGTGCACGGAGTCGAACAGGCCGACGTTCCGCAGTTCACCATCACCGATTTCCACACGGAAGATTCGATCGTCTCGACGGCCACAGGCTCCTATCAGCGGCTCTCGCTCGTCTTCCAATTGCGCCGCTCCGTCGGCTACTTCATCTTCCAGACGTATCTTCCGTGCGTGCTCATCGTCATGCTCTCCTGGGTGTCGTTCTGGATCAATCATGAGGCGACGAGTGCGCGCGTCGCCCTCGGCATCACCACCGTCCTCACGATGACCACCATCTCGACGGGTGTTCGTCAGAGTCTGCCGCGAATCAGCTATGTCAAAAGTATCGACATTTATCTCGTCATGTGCTTCGTCTTCGTCTTTGCCGCTCTTTTGGAGTACGCCGCCGTCAACTACTCGTACTGGGGACGCGAACGTGGCAGTCACGGAGCGGCCAACGAGTGAGTCAACTCGAAATTTTCGCTAGAGCGCGCACTTCTCTTCAGATGGCCAGTGAACGGCGCGAATAAGGAGGATCGTGAGTCGGCGGTGAACGTGCAGAAATGGGTGCCCAGCGGGCTGATGGATGTGAGTTTTTGACCTTAAAGCAGAGTTGTCACGGGCCGGGCCGGGCCGAAATTTTCAAAACTCCGGCCCGGTTCAAAAAGCGGGAATCCAAATTTTGAACTATTGATTAAATAAAATGTTTGTTTTTCGTAGAACTAACGAATTTTGCAAGTATCGGGCATAAAAAAGAAATGTAGTTCTCAAAAATAGTTTTTATTGGCATCAACGCAAAAGTAGCAATTAAAAAAGAAGAAAATAATAACGATTTTTTTTTGTTGGAAAAAAATGGCTAAAGAGCGCGCGCGACCGTAATGTCGGAGTGTCGTAGTTTTTTTTAAAATTTTGATCCCCGCAAAAAAAAACGAAAAAAATAGATTTCCCCCAAAAATTTGAATTCGCGCCTTTTGAGCCGGGCCAGGCCGGCCCGTTATTTGGCAAGTCTGCCTTAAAGGACCAGGGAACCCAAAATTGTTTTGATTTTTTGTGAAATTTTTTTGTGACTGTTTGAATTGTCTCTTTTTGCCACTCATACACTGGTGAAATGCTGCCTCTCAAAAATGCCAATGAACGAAACGGCGTGCAGTTGAAGTTGTGGTCGTGGCCTAGAAATATGCGCTTCTCGGCCATTTTATTTTTTCCGCTTTTTTACCGGGTTTTTTCCAAAAAATTAAACGGTTTCTCCCATTTTTCAGTTGATTGACATTTGCTTGGCACTTACTTGTTTTTTCACTGCTAAAAATTTGTTTTCACGCGAGTTTTTCGATTTTATCGCGAAAAAAACCGGTAAAAAAGCGGAAAAAATAAAATGGCCGAGAAGCGCATATTTCTAGGCCACGGCCACAACTTCAACTGCACGCCGTTTCGTTCATTGGCATTTTTGAGAAGAGGCAGCATTTAACCAGTGTATGAGGCAAAAAAAAAATTTCACAAAAAAATAAAAAAATTTGAGGGTTCCCTGCTCCTTTAAAAACGGTCCTACAGTAATCTTGAGGGTTCAGGGAGTTCCACAACCGCAGGACCGACGCGTCGAGGCGTTGGAGGAGGCGATGAGCAGCACTTCCACCACACACAACAACAACAATGTGAGCGCGTTTTTTTTGTTGTTTTTCGTGAAATTCTAGACTCGAATTTCAACTCTATAGTTCGATGCGACGAAGGCGAAAAAGCGCTCGTCGTCGCCGATTGCGTCGTTGTGCCGTGCGGGCGGCAACACGACGATCACCGAGGACGCCGAATCATCGCCAGACTACCCGAGATACTCGGCCACTTCTCTGAAGGGCGCACGGCCGCACGCGTCTGTCAACCACCATCGCGTCGCTCATTTGAGAGGCTCCTCACAACACACTGCCAGGTTAGCGCTTTTCACTCGACTCGTCAACGTTTTTTAAGCGCGACAGTCGATTTTGGAGTGGTTGTACACAAAAATTGTCAACTACAAAATTGACGTACACGTTTCGACGTGTATTTTTGTAATTGATCACTTTTTTGTACAACCACTTCCTAGAGTACTGTAGCGCTTGGAAGTTAAGGCTCCCAGAGTGCGGGCTAATTGTGCCCGGACTTTTGTACCGCCTCTCGCTGGGCTACTGTAGCTATTGTGCCCAACTTCCCGGAGCTACACTACTCCAGGAAATGGTCGTAGAAAAACGGTGTCAACTGGAAAAGTACGGTATACATTGCAGAGCAAAACGGCGCATGACTCTGGCCCGAATGAACGTCTCGATGAAGCAGTCCATCTCGGGAATCGGAAGACGTGCCCGAAAAGCGATCCCGTCGATTCGGGTCCGTGACGTGAACCTCATCGACAAGTACTCGCGGGTCGTGTTTCCCGTCTGCTTTGTCGTTTTCAAGTGCGCGCTGTTACGGTAGTAGCTTCCCTCTCATACACTTTCATTTTCAGCCTTTTCTACTGGAGCTACTACATGATGGTACCGCAATTATCATCCTGAATCATCTTGCTATTAATATATATTATCATTTTTTTCTGTGACATTATAAGAAAAAAATGAACATTTATTTGAGAGGCAAGAAAAACGAAAGCTCTTCGACCTGAGAGGGGGGCGTGGGTATATACGTAAAAATGAACCGTAGTTTGAAAATCGAGGGAATGTTGGACTAGACAAACGGGCGAGGGAAATGGGGGGTAAAATTGAGCAAAAAGAATCAAATTTCGACTTGTACATACTCTTTGCGCTGCTCGCTTTTGCGCATCTCCACAATTTCGCTAAAGATTTCGGTGAGCGGCTCAAACGACGGAACAATGGGCGCTCGGCGGGACGCGATGCTTCCCGTCTGAAAATCGGATTTAGAAGTCGTTCTGTGGCTTTTGTAGACGGTTAGCCACTTTTTTGAAACCTTGTACTTTATTTTTGCTGTTGACACTTTTTCTCTACGACCACTTTCAAGACTACTGTACCTCTTGGAAGTCAGGACTGGTCCCGGAACTTCTAAGCGCTATATCACTTTCGGGAATGTTTGGATCAAAAAGTTGTCAACTAGAAAAATAACGTACAAGTCATGTACTTTAACTTTGTAGTTGAACATTTTTCGATCGAACTTGTTCTAAGAGTACTCTAGCTCTGCGAAGATAGATAAAAGTGCTCAAAGTGCACTCGAATCTTCCACGCGCTACAGTACTTTAGGAATTGGTCGTAGAAAAAAGTGTTCAACTACAAAAATGTCGTACCAGTCGTGTACTTTAATTTTGTGATTGATCATTTTCCTCTACACTCACTTCCTAGAGTACTGTAGCCTTTTGAGGAACTGGCACTCTTCCAAGTGCTTTCGAATCTTTCCAGAGCTACCGTACTCCAGTGAGTGGTCGTACAGAAAAAGTGTAGAGTGCAAAAACAAAGTAGCAGGTGTCAAGATTGTGCAAAACTTACCGAAAGCGGTTGTCTGAGCAGCGAGTGCTGGTTGGCCGTCGTGAAATTGAGCGGTCCGGGCGGTAGAACGTCCTCGACGCGCGCGTAAATGTACTCGTTCATCAGCGAATCGTACGTCGTGTTGGGCCTGAAATTCGACGCTCCGGGTCTAACACTGATCATTTTCATTTGCATAGACTAATGGGAGGGAGAGATCTATGTACTAACTTACAGTCGGATAATACCAGTACTTGCTGAAAAAAGGCTTGAGATTCTCGAAAATTCTCATGAAAACCCAGAAAACTAACCTGATTCTCGGCGGAATCGGATTCGCGTTGACGCCCAGCGACACGAGATAATCGGTGATGGAGCTGTTGATCGACACGGTGTCCGGGTCGATGCCCGAATCCATTTGGCTCCGCGAGCTGCCTCGGACCATCCGCAACGCCTCGGAGCCCATCGAAACCGACGAGGTCAGTGAACTTGTTTTGTCCGGATGGCCGGGACCTGGTCCCGCCAGGCCAATCGTCCTCTTAGAGCTCACCTCTCCGCTCAACGTTCGGATTTCGCCCGTCTTCACCGAGTACACCTGCTTCTGAAGTGTCGGCCGACACTTTTCCGCCGCATTCCGCCGATCCGACGACGACGTCATCGCGTCGATCCGCGGCGGCTTTTCCGTCGCTTTCCGACGACGTCCTCTACACATACACACACAAATGACGAGAATCAGGAGGGTGAGGAGGAGGAGAAGGGAGGCGAGCGCGATTTGAACGGGTTTCGAGTGGAGCAGAAGGCGTGGCAGCGTGGGTTGCGTCTCGAACGCGCCAATTTCCAGGTATACGGTCGTTTTGGTCTGTTTCGATGGGCTGGAGAACGCGACGACGGTGATCTGTTCGGTGGTGAGGTTGCGGCGGAGGGCGGACACCGATTTGGCGAGACGGATCTGAAATTTTGATAGCTTTTTTGCTCTCTCTAGGGACCTATGAATCCAACTCACAATGCCCGTGAGCTCCTCGATCGTCACCGTACTCTGGCGGTCCGCAATCGCGTACTTGACGACTCCATGCGCTCCGCCGTCCTCGTCAATCGCCTCCAACTGCCCGACCGCCTCGCCAGACGACGTGGAAATCGGAATCTGAATTCAAAAATTGGAGTAGAAATTCAACAGTAACAGTACCTGTAGTGTATAGGAGGGCTTTGTAAAGACCGGCGCGAACTCGTCGACCGGCTCCACAATAATCTTCAACGGCACGACGGCGGACCGTCCGTTGCCGTCGGACACCGAAAGAAACATCGAGATGAGCGGCTCGGACTCCCAGTCCAGATGGCTTTTGAGCGTGAGCTCTCCGCTTTTCACGTCGACACTCATCTTGCCGTGATGCTCTTTGAGCGAGTACAACAGTCCTCCGCGGCTCTCGATTCCCAGTCGGTTGCTCGCGCGCACTCTCTGCAGCACAGTGTTGACGGGCGTGTCCTCGAGCACGTGCACTTCGTAGCTGGGCAGCACGAAGAACGGCGCCGAGCCGGACCACGCCGACATCTTCAGCGAGACTACGATCGTGGCCAACGAGCTGCGGAACGGATGGCCGTGATCGCGCGCCTCCACGACGATTTGCCACGTGGCGTTGGGATGCTCGTCGAGCTGCGCGTCGTTCCACTCGTTGAACTGAACGGCGCCAGTGTCCGGATTCAGCGCCACAATGTTGTAGTCGTTTCCGGTGAGAATACGGTACGTGACACGTCCGTTCTCGTCGGAATCCGGATCCACGGCCAGTAGATTCGCGATCGTTTGCCCGTGAATCATAGAATCCTTCAGCTGGATTTGCGAAACGGCCGACACGAATTGTGGCCCGTTATCGTTCTCGTCCAGCACATTTACACGGATCTTGAGCTCGGTCTGCGATGACTTCTGGTTGAACGACGTCACGTCGGTGTCGATTTCGACGGCAAACTCGTAGGAGGCGCGGAGCTCGCGGTCGATGGGTCCCGCCACGAAGAGCCGTCCGAACGCGTCGATGCGAAAGAGTTTGGCGGCGGCTGCTTCCGACGGGATACGGTAGTAGAGCTCGCGGCTCTCGTCGGAGGATAGGTTGCCGATTTGAAGGCCGATTTTCGCGTTTTCAAGCACCTCGAATCGGAACTCGGCGGTCGAAAAGACGGGTCTCTCGGTGGGCGGCGCGATGTCTCCGATGCTCACACTGACCGGCACACTTGCCGAGAGGCTCGGAACGCCGCCGTCCGTCGCCGTCACCGTAATCACATATCGTTCGCCGGACGGCGGAAGGAGTTTCAGGAATAGAGCGCCGTCCGCCGGCGATATTCTGAAGATGTTCGAGTCGACCGAGTAGGAAATCGTTGCCGACGAGTCTGGATCGTTGGCCTCGATTGTGGCGAACGGCACGTCGGGCGAGTAGGTCTGCGCGGAGATGCGCGTCGAGTAGAACGGTTTCGCAAACTGTGGCCGATTGTCGTTGACGTCCGACACGAAGACGGTCAGATTTGTGTAGGTGTCGAAGAGACCGTCGCTGACGCGAAGCTTTAGAAGATGCTCGCGGGCGGTTTCGTAGTCGAGCGGCGCCGCCAGATGTATGACGCCGGTGAAGCGGTCGATGTAGAACGTTCCGGAAGAGTCTTCGATAAAGTATTGAAGCGGAGCCAAGTGGTCGACGTCGCGAGCTCCGATCGTTGCCACATAACTTCCAGGTTTCAGAGTCTCGGCCACTCTACGCGGCTTGCTTTGCGGGAAGCTCGGGATATTGTCGTTGAGATTGTTGACGCGAACATCCATCCGAGTGGCAATCTGTCCCACCACTTCCTTTCCGATTCCGATAATCTTGAGACTGTACCGATCGACAATCTCCTTGTCCAACTCCAAGTTGGTTCGGACGACTCCATCCGCGTCGACTGAGAACGCCGAGTCGACGTTGCCCTCGACGATCGAGTAGGCGATGCCGACGTCTTCGGAAGACACTTCGAGTTTTCCGACAAACTGGCCACGTGGCAGACTCTCGTCGATCGAGGCGACGTAGGATTGTCGCAGGAACTGAACGTCTTGTGGCGAATCTGCGACGAGCTTCATCGAGTTGTGCACTTGGATGCTGAGTTCGGAAGCCAACGACGGGGTGCCTTGATCGAACACGCGGATCCGGATGGTCCAATTCGATTTGCGGGGAGCTCGACGGATCACCAGCGCGCCGGTCTCCGGCACCACGTCCAACGCCTTCGACTCGTCGTCGACGAGCTCGAACGAGATCTTTCCGTTCGGTCCAATGTCCATGTCGGAGGCGGCGAATCGGAACAGCACGTCGCCCGTCTGACTCGACTCGTTCACGTGAAGATGCGTGGGTGTCGCCGCGTCAAAGACCGGCTTGTTGTCGTTGAGATCGCCAACCGAAACACGAACCGTACACGAGTCGTTGCGGCCCGCATCGGTGAGAATCACGACGAGAAGGTGCTCCTGGGCGGTCTCACGGTCTAGCGGCGCCACCGAGATCACGCCCGACTTTGGCTCGATCGTAAACTTGTCGGATTTGCCTTGAAACCGAAAGCTCGCGTGCTCGCTCGTCCCCGTGGCCATGACTCTCTTGAATGCGCGGTACGCGACGTTTTCGTCAACGACGACCGCGCCGCATGAAGTCGACGATATCTTCGGCGGCTCTTGAAACTTCGGAGCCACGAGCACCTCTAAAACTGTCCAGTCGACGTTCTCCTCCTCGTTTTCCGCCAGAATCGTAAAGACGTGATTTTGACTGGCCACATTCACGGAGGATTGTACGACTTGCGAGCCGCGGAGCTCGAAGAACTGGGAGCTAGGGATGATTCGAAGCTTCACACCTTCTTCTTGCTCATCCCCATTTCGGAACGTCGCCACGACCGCATCCTTCGGACTATCCGCCTCCAACTCCACCGTCTGCTTCTGCACGTCAAAAAAGTGCCAATGCTTTTTGGAGCTATTGGAAGCTCTGATCAGAATCTTCTGCTCGTCGAATTTGGTGTCGTCCGCCACGTCAGCAGCCCGGACGATCACCGTCTCCTCGAGCTCCTCCGAATCCGCACCGAGAATCGAGATCTCTCCAGAGTCCATGTCGATTGAGAAGTTCTCCGACGGCTGTTTCAACGTGAACCTAATCGCGGGATTGCGGTCCAAGTCCATCGCGACTACGGTATGCACGACGGTCCCTCTGCGGTAGGATCCGGGCACAAGCACCGCTGGCTGACTGACAATGAACGGCGAGTGATCGTTCACGTCCTCCACCTCGACCGTCACGAGGATCGTCGTCGACACGCCGCTCGTGAACGCCTCGACGAGCAGCTGATGGACGGGTCTCACGTGCCAGTGGAGATTCTCGATTAGAGTGATGTCGCCGGTGAATTGGTCGATGGCGAACGTGTCGATTTGCGAGGTGAACCGGTAGCTGATCGGACTCGTCGAATCGTCGTTCGCCGTCGCGTTCACCGTCGTCACGATGCTTCCGGTGGGCGTGTCTTCGCGGCTACGTACTGTCAGATGAGCCGTCTCGAAGAACGGCTTGTCGCTTTTCGAACGCGATATCTGGAAATTTTCAGCTTCATTTCTAGTTGACATCCTTTTTGTTTTATTCAGTAGTAGTCCTTACTTCTACTTACTTCTAGCTACAGTACTTTTCAGAGTGATCGCATCAAAAAGTTGTCAACTACACAATTAAACTAAATGTCTAGTACTGTAGTTTTGCAGTTGACAACTTTTTTGTACAAAATCTTCTAAAACTACTGTAGCTCCTAGAAGTTCGAACTACTTACGGCCCCAAGTGCGCTTCTTTTCAAGAGCTACAGTACTCTTCAGAGTGATCGCATCAAAAAGTGATCAACTACAAAATTAAAGTACACACCTGGAACTATAATATTCTAGTTGACAACTTTTTTGTACAAAGTCTTCTTAACTGTCTTATGAATGATTTGAGTGCTCACCTCCAAATCCACGCGCATCTCATCGGCACTCCCGTCGGTCGTGTTGAACTTTTCGAAGAAGCACGAGAAGTTGGTCTCCTGGTACCTTCCGCCGCGGATCCCGTCGGCCAAGTACAGTACGCCGCCGGTCTGATCCAACTCCAGCGGACAATTCGAATCGTTCGTCTCGGAGAATCGATAGAAGAAGGTGGCGTCGGCGGATTTCTCGCCGAGCCGTCCGATTTTGGAGCCGATGCCGGTGGTGTCGAGCAGTCGGATCGTCTCCTCCTTGTTCGCCGTCTCTCCCGTCGCCACAATCCTCATTTGCACCGATTTCTGACGGCCGTTCACGTCCGAAAGGACGACTACGAGTGAGTACGGCGGCCGGTGGGCGGGCATCGAAGTCATCGAGAGAACGCCGTCGCGGATGGCAAAGTGGTTGGAGATTTCGGAGCTCTGGATGAGCCAAGAGTGTACGCCGGTCGCATTGAATCCGATGAGCCGGCACGTGGAGTTGGAGCGGCCGCATGTCGCCGGAATCGGCACGAATCGCTGCACGGGCTCGTGGAGCACAATGCTCGACGAGCCCTTGGCCACTCGGACCGCCACATGACAGACGGTGCTCTTCCGCGGCGTTCCCTGATCCGACACGATCACCGACAGCCGCTGATGATGCTCTTCGGAGGCGTTGAGCTGTCGTCGGAGGTACACGTCTCCGTTGGCCTTGATCACAAACAGCTGGCTCTGGAGTTGAGCCCGATAGAGCACGGATCCATTGAGACCCTTGTCGGCGTCGGTGGCCACAATTGTGCCGATCGCCGTGGAGGAGGGAGCATTCGCGGGCACTACGATCGGCGTGATCGAGTGACACGACGGCGGATTGTCGTTGACGTCGAGCACATTCACGCGCACATTCGCGGATCCGGATCGTGACGGACTGCCGCGATCCTCGGCCACCACACTCACATCCACGTGGCTAATCACCTCTCGATCGAGACTTCGTTTCGTGTAGATTGTGCCCAACTTCTCGTCGACACCGAAATACTCGGATCCATTGGTGACGCGATAGCCGATCTGTCCGTTCTCCTGACTGTCCCGATCGCTGGCTCTCACCTTGCCGACGATAGTCTTCGGCGGCGAGTTCTCCACAATCTCCATAAAATAGTGAGTCTTGTCGAACGTCGGCGCATTGTCGTTGACATCGGAGACGTGCACGAAGAGGGTCATGTTCGAGGATCGCGTCGGGATGCCCATGTCGTTGGCCTTGATGCGCACTTTGAAGTCGCGCACAGACTCGTAGTCGAACGGCGACGTCGTGAACAGTTGTCCCGAGTCGGCATCGATCTCGATCGAGCTGCCGGGATGCGAGGACACGATCGAGTACCTGACCTGTCCGTTCTTCTTCTTATCCCTATCACTCGCGTGCACCACATAGAACGGCTCGTTCACCGCCGTATCCTCTCGCACCGTAATCTCGATCGTGCCACCGCTCACAAACACCGGCGCGTTGTCGTTGTGATCGTCGATGCGAATGAGCACCTGTGTCTGATTCGTCTGTCCGCCGTCCATCGTGGCCTGCACGTTCAGCAGCACGGAGTCGTGAACATCGGCGTCCAGGTAGCGTGTCACATAGATCTTGCCAGTGTCCTCGTCAATTGAAAAGTTGTGCTCCGGATCGCCCGAATAGATCGAGTAGCGGATCGGTCCGTCGGACACGGCCGCCACACTCCCGATCGCAATGCCCGGAAGAATGTCCTCGGTCGTTCGGATCTCGTACTTGGCGCGGCTAAACTCGGGCGTCTTGGCGTCTCTGTCAATGACCGTAATGTGCACGTTCGCCGCATTCTCGGCGGTTTGTCCTCCGCCGTCTTTGGAGCTCACGACGAGATGGAAGCGGCCGCGCGAGAGCTCCTTCTGCAAATAACGAGATAGGAGAACAGTTTCCAAAAGTTTAGCATTTCCAAACCTTTGCAAAAATCTCGCCAGTCACCGAATTGATGGCGAACGAGGCGGATTCGCTCAAAATCTGATAGGTCACCTCTCCGAATCGTCCGGCGTCCGAATCCGAGGCGGACACGACGAGAAGCGGTTCCGATGGCTTCGGGCCCTCGCGACAAGTCAAATGATACTCGTTCGGGTAGAAGATTGGCCAGTTGTCGTTGACGTCGGTGAGCCGAATCGAAATGAGACTTGTGGAAGTTTCCGCGTCTAGAAAACATATCAAATGTTGTGCGAGCATCGAAACAACACTCTCATAACATTTTCGTAAAATTTCTTCAAGCGTGCTAACCCATAATTTCACTCTTCCCTTCCTCCTCGTTCTCTCCCCTTCCCTTTGACTATACGAAACTGAAACTCACTCGCATTCGTGGCTACCACTGTCGTCTGATAGCTCGCCTCGTTTTCGAAATCGAACGCCTTCTGGACACACACTGTGCCGGACATTGAGTCGATCGAGAGGTGCTGTAAAGGTGGGTTTGAGGCGTGACGCTTGAAAAAAACAATGCTAAATCCCCGTTGGCGCTATTGACTCATCGCTCAGCTATTGTCTCATCATTGATCGGCTTTGAGCGTCTATAACCTTTTCACCTGGCTCCCAAAGGAGTCATTAGTCTACTAATGAAAGTCTAGCAATCTAGTAGTATTGGTACCTGATCTTTGTGCTGCATCGAGTAGCGAATCCTCTTCGAGCTTCCGCATTGCGAGTTGTTGGCGATAACCTGAAGAGTGTTTACGTTTCCAGGTGCAAATGCTATAATTGGCTTGCGCTTTTGGGGTTCCCCCCCCCCCCTTTTTCATTTTCCATCAACTGCGGAGTAGAAGAGAGAAAGATGGAGAGGTTGCCATATCAACCGGCTCCCGTGTGTCCGTCAAAACGCCACCGCCACCAAACAAACTAACACTATCAACAAAAATATCAACCAATACTATTAGAAATGTGCACGTATCCATTTTAACTTTCAGTCGTCCAGAGAAAATCGAGCAAAAAATGGCGAGTATCAACGCGTTTCCGGCGTTGTATCTCAATCTCGGCGCCGAGATGATGTACGTGTTGGACTCGAGGCTCCGCGTGCAATCGGATGTGAGTTCACACTTTACTCGTCGCAACTATGGACATTATTTCAGAGTGTGGAAGATCGCGAGAAGAGCGACAAAGTGTGCAAAGAGATTCTATTGTCGTTTCTCTCGAAGACGCTCCTCGACGAGGTGTTCAAGGCGAATACGGGAACGCCGAGCCAGTCGGCACTCAGGACGTTCTTCGAGAAAGTCGTCCACAGCTCGATAATGCGTCTCAATCCGAGCAGTATGGACAAGTTGTACGATCTGATGATGGTGCATTACAAGTACGCGCTGCTCAAAATGACGATGCCCGAGCAGATAATGACGGTGACGGCGAATCACTTGCGCGCGCTTTTGGACCTGATCCCGCTGGACAAGGACGTCGGCGCCGCCGTCGAGCACGCCTACACACTGGTCTTCACGCGGTACCGAACGCTGGACGCCACGGCCTGGTACATGTTGCGCTGCTCAATGCTCACATTCTTCCAGGACACGCGCATCAAGGTGTCGCAGTTTGTGCGCGATGGCCGGCAACTTCCCAACGGGCGGTTCGTGCTTTTCAGCAAAACCGAACCGGTTCAGCTGATGAAGGACGGACAACCGGTCGGACTTACACAGGTATTCACGCTTGAGAACAGAGATTAATATCGAAACTTTTTTTTTTGAGTATTTCGTGAACAAACAGGTCACCAAGACGGAAGAGTTCATGTCACACTACAAATTCACGCCATACGTCGACTATGTAAGCGTTTGAGAGAGCGTCAAAAGTTATATAAAATTGCCTTCTGCTAATATTCGAAAAAGTGGTCAACTGAAAAGTTGTTGCAAATTTCAAGCAAAACAACTTTGTAATTGAGCATTTTGCTCTAAATCCCATCCCGTCAGTTTTGAGTTAGAAGCTAGTTTCTAGACAAAAAAAACGTGAAATGTTTGAAAACACCGGGCTTAATGCAATCTCATATAACTTTTAGCGCTTGAGGAGCACCTAATCCTCCTTAAAGACTTAAAAAATTCGTTTCAGCCAGACACGCTGGACGCCGTGAAACGCTCGACCGACCTGGGCGCCAACTCGTACCGCGGGAGCGACGGAATGCTCAAGGTACTCCCCCGCCAACCTTTTTTTTCTCTTTCTTTTTCTCATTTCCTCTCGGCCCGCTTATCACAAGACTTGCTCAGTCAGACGACGTCGACCGCCTGCCTTTGATTGCTTTTTCACGTTTTTTTGGTTCTTGTTCAGCTGTCCCCCAACCCCCCCGCGCTCCTCAAATCTCGATATTTGATTGTAGATCCAAGGCGGCGGCAGCGGCAACAGCGGCAGCAGCGGAGGAAAAGTGACACGTGGCGACGAGATGGCCTTGTTCGAAAGTCTGATGAGCTCGACGACGACGTCAAATGTTGACGGTGAGTGTGAAAGGGCTTCGCCCGAGCCGAGCCGAGCAGAATCGAATCAATTTTAGGGAGAGGCATAGTCATAATAGGTGGCTAAACGGTTCAGATTAGACAAAAGTTAGCGTGCCATAATGGGGATATTCAGCGTATGTTTGCTTTCCGTTTTTTTTTTCGTTTTTCTACATCGCTGAATTGGATTTTTTGACGTAAAATAACGAAAAAAAAAACGGAAAACAATCATTTTTTTCACAGCCTGAATAACCCCACAACTTCTCACAGACCACGGCGACCAAAAAAAAAAACGTAGAAAGGGGCGTGGCCTAGCGCGAACGGTTTTGTCACCATTTTGGCGCGAAATTCGAAATTTAGCCGCATTTTTTCATGTTTTTCGTCAAAAATCAACCAAATTTTGTACGATTGCGACGATGTAATTGCATAACTTTGTAAAACTAATCATCGCGCGCACTTTTTGAGCTTAAAACGAGCAGGTTTCATTCAGAAATGAATCAATTGATGCGATTTTCAAGTTTTGTGCTGAAAATGCGCGAATTTCAGTCATTCGCCGATACTTTTTGCCGTTTGAACGCTTAAAATACTTGTATTAACGTGCTTAATCACTTCCGACACTCACTTCGTCTCAAAACTATCCACATCGGCCGGTATGAAAATTCCGAAATTGCGAAATATGCCAAAAACGTCTCAAACGCGGCGTTTTCACGAAAATTTCAATGTTTTCTCTGTTTAATGTCTCTTCTTTCGTCGATATCAACACACAAAAATGGCGGAAAAGTGCTGGAATTGCGGCAATTTTGAGAAAACGCGTCTCAGATTAGGCCACGCCCCCCTTTCTACACTTTTCGTCGCCGTGGCAGACACGTTAAATTCGCCTCTAACCGCAATTCTTTTCAAAAAGCAAAAAAAGTATGAAGCGATGAAAGTCACTGCCCGTTTTTCTTCCCAGATTCGCAAATATGGGGAATGAGTTTGTTCGACGACGAGCAAGAGGAGAAGAGCTATTTGCGCGCGGCGTCCGAGAAGACCAAAGTGACGCGCATCGACGCGAGCCAAAAGAAGAAGAGTTTGAAGTCGGCGATGGATGAGCTGGTGAGCACCGCATGTCACGTTTTTGACGTTCTATCCAATGATTCTGTGCAGAAACTCGAAAAGCGTCCGCCGACGGCGGCTGGTGAGAAGAAGAAGAAGAAGACGAAGGGGGCAAGTGTGCTGGACCTAATGGATGAGGCGGCGGCGCGTCCGGCCACTGCCAAGACCAAAGGTAGGGCATCATGGCCTAGGAAATTGTTCGGCCATCTCCCTTCCTGACCGTTCATTGTTTCAGTGAAGCGAAGCGAGTCTTCTGGAGCGGCGGCAAAGCCACGTACTCGCAGCGGCTCGCGTCCGACCACAAACGCGACTGAGAGAGCATCGAGTGCGGCTCCGAAAAGAGCGGCGTCGGCGAAAAGGAAGCCAGTTTGAGACAACATGGACTCGAGAATTGTGATCCGATAAATATTTGCGAGCCCTTCTCGACCCCTTGCTTTTTGTCTCTCCGCCAAAAAGAAAACGTTGTCAGAGGGATTATTAATCACGTTTCCGTCTGCCGTCACTCCGAAATGAGTTATTCGACCTCGGGGAATACGATTTCGGTCCTATATTAAATTTGGCGGTCAAAACGCTGCAAAAGAAAGAAAAACGAGAGAGAGAGAGAGTGAAATGTCGAAAAAGTACCTTGACAAGACAAGTCCCGACGGGCGTGTCCTCTGCGATTTCCACTTGCCACAGCGCTCTTTCGAATTGCGGCGGCTTCGATTCGGCGTCGAGAAGATCGGCGATCACCTGAGAATATTGTAGAGACTTCCGCGGCCTATAGTACTCTTAGGACTTGCTGTACAAAAAAGTTGTCAACTAGAAAAATATGTAAAATGTCTCGTACTTTAGTTTTCTAGTTGATCACTTTTTTCTATGACTCCTTCTAAACGTACTGTGGCTTTTGGAAGACAAGCACCTCAAAATTCAGCTTAAAAACTTCCAAGAGCTACAGTACTCTTGAGAGTGGCCATATCAAAAAGTTGTCAACTAGAAAAATATTGTGCTTCTCTTGAACTTTATTTTTGTAGTTAATCACATTCTCCTACAACCACTTCTAAAAGTAGTGTGGCTTCTGGAACTCTTGGTCGTATAAAAAAGTGGTCAACTATAGGAAAGCACATAAAGATTCTCACCTGAAGATCCGTGGAAAGCGCTGGATGTCCTCCATCCTCTGCTCGGATTCTGAACTTGAGCTCCGATCCGACGGAGCAATCGATCGTGTTCGTCACGAAAATCCGTCCGGTTTCCTTGTCAATCGATACGAGTTCGGTGTCCAACACCGAATATTTGATCCATCCGTTGTGTCCCAAATCCGGATCTTTGGCCGTCAAAGTTCTCGATCCGCCGTGCGTTCGATTGAGTGAAATGTGAATTTGAGCGCTGTGCCATTGCGGCGCGTTGTCGTTCACGTCGCCAATCGTCAGCAGTTGTGGATGTTCGACAATGATCGCTCCGTCTTTTTCGAGCACAAACTTCAAATGGTACTCGGCGCTCGACTCTCGGTCCAGAATCCCGCAAAGGAGAAGGAGGTAGACGTGCGATTGATCGGTTTGTTGAGGGCAAAGGGATGTGGTGCCATGGAGCCGGAGTTTGGTGTCACGGTACTCGGGAGCAATGCTCACGCGCGCCACAATCGAGCCCAACGTCGCGTTCTCCATGAGATGCGCAGAGTTCGACTCCACGAGCCATATGATATCCAACGGCGGAGAAGCCAACGAGGAGCCCATCACACTTATCGTCACCACCGCCGAAGAGCTCAACGGAGGGTTTCCGTGATCGGAAGCGACGACGATGACGTCGTGCGTGGACGCGGGCAGCAAATGGGCGGTCGTGGTGATCACTCCGCCCTGGCTCGAGATTGCAAAGTTGCCGTTCGACGGCGACGACGTCTTCTTGATCTCGTAGCTGATGCGCGAGTTCTCACCGATGTCGCCGTCGGACGCCTGCACTGTGATGATGTGCGCGCCGATCGAGACGTTCGCGGAGACGGACGCCGTGTACCGGGAACGCGTGAATGTCGGCGCGTTGTCGTTCGCGTCCACAATTTCGATCGAGCACCGCAGTTGACCGCTTCTGAACATGTACTGTACTTTTGTCTGACTTTCAAAGAGCTAGCCAACTTTTAGAAGTGGTTGTCGGGAAAAGTGATACAAAATTAAAGTACTGTAATTTTGTACTTGCTCACTTTTTTCTACACCCACCCCTAAAATTACTGTAGCGAAAGACTGACTTTGCGGGTTTTCCACCGTCCTGCGCTTCGATCAACAGCTCATACTTGTCGCGAAACTCTCTGTCCAACTGGCCGTTCACGACGAGATCCGCTTGCAATTGATCGTTCACTTTTCGGGGTGTCAACTGCAAAAAAAGAAAAAGGTGTTATCGATTGATTTTCAAGAAGAAATGCCCTCACCTTGAACACGTTATTCACGTTTCCGTGCAGTATCACAAATCTCTGCACATCGTACCGGGCACCGTCTCCATCCGTGACTGTCGGCAGAGCGAAAGAGGTGCCGAGTTGGGCGTACTCGGAGATTTCCAGCTTGACGTGTTCGTCGGCGGCGAAACTCGGCGCATTGTCGTTCTCGTCGTCCACCTCGACGACAATATCGACGGTTTGACCGCTCTCCTCGACGCGCACCGCAACAATCTCGAATTTGGCGCGCTTCTCGTAGTCCAACTGCGCCACCGTACTGATCTCGCCCGATCGTTCGTCGACTTTGAGGAACTGAAAATTAATAGGATATGTCGAGGTTTTGGATTGGGTCCCACGGTCTCCAGAGCTGACAATATGCGCGTGGCCTCGGCGGCCAAATGGCGTTTTCATAAATTGAGCAGGTTTTTTTCTGAATTTTGTGCTCAAAGGCGATGAAAAATGATTGTTCGACATGAAAACACACTAATTCTCAGAATTAATGACGTTTTGGCGCATTTTTCGCGGACTTTGCTTTTTCGCCGATAGCCGCCGATCGCTGCAATTCTTATTTTGCGTTTTCTTGACCGTTTTCAGACAGAATTGGTTTTGAGAATGATAAATCACGTAAATACAAGCATTTTGAGCGCTCGAACCGCGAAAACTACCGAAACGCAACTGAAATTCACGCAGTTTTAGCTAAAAACCTTCAAACAGATAAATGTGATTTGCGACTTGACGCTCTGCGCTAAAAAAATTCGTAATGGCCTATAAAATCGGTCTATCGAGAGACAGAAATGAGAAATTATCGGTTTTTCGTTTGGCTATTCTGGCAAAAAGCACTAATTTGGCTGTTAAAATTTGAATTTTGCGCCAATGTATCGCTCTATTGGGTGGGGCGCACTTGCGCCCATTGTCAGCTCTGGAGACCGTGGCCTAAAAACCGCACTTCTCATTTTGCGCTTTCTTGACCGTTTTCAGACAGAATCGGTTTTGAGAATGATAAATCACGTGAATACAAGCATTTTGTGCGCTCGAACCGCGAAAATTGCCAAAAAGAAACTGAAATTCACGCAGTTTTAGCGAAAAACCTTCAAACGGATAAATGTGATTTGCGACTTGACGCTCTTGCGCTAAAAAAATTCGTAATAGCCTATACAATCGGTCTATCGAGAGAGACAAATGCGAAATTATCGGTTTTTCGTGGCTAATCTGGCAAAAAACACTAATTTTGCTGTTAAAATTTGAATTTTGCGCCAAAGTATCGCTCTATTGGGCGGGGCGCACTTGCGCCCATTGTCAGCTCTGGAGACCGTGGCCTAAAAACCGCACTTTTCATTTTGCGCTTTCTTGACCGTTTTCAGACAGAATTGGTTGCGAGAATGATAAATCACGTAAATACAAGCATTTTGAGCGCTCGAACCGCGAAAATTACGCGTAAAGCAACTGAAATTCACGCAGTTTTAGCGAAAAACCTTCAAAAACCTTTTCGTAATAGCCTATAAAATCGGTCTATCGAGAGACAAATGAGAAATTATCGGTTTTTCGTGGCTAATTTGGCAAAAAGCACAAATTTTGCTGTTAAAATTTGAATTTCGCGCACTTGCGCCCATTGTCAGCTCTGGAGAGGTCCCTTCTTCTTCTTCCTCTTCTTCCTCCTCAATTCGTCTCTATAATCGTATCTGTTTTGACTTGCTCTTCTCTCCACACTTTGTGAGACGCGCTAATGTGCTCTCCTCTCGCCCCAAATTGGGTTTCGCAATTTACATGTTCCTTTCGCGATTAGAGGCGAGTGCGCATTGTGAAAAGAGAGAAATTGGAGGGCGTCGAAGATTCGAAAAAGTACTAGCACTTTTTCTATAGAATATCTCGAGAACCAAGAGTTGTTTGGAGAAGTGTTCAAGAGAAAAGTTGTTGCAAATTTTGTGCTGCACAACTTTGTCATTGATGATCTTAGTTGAAAACCCATCATTCTCGAGTTGAGACCGCCTCAGAAGCGCATCTTCGAAAGACCCTCCCTCATCCACTACTAGTAGTTTATAATCCGTCTTCGGTGTTTTTGCCACTCTAATTATGTCGCATTATGTTGGCCCGTTTGCCGCCCTTCTCCTAATGACCCCCCTTTTCGACACGATGACACGTGGCATCATCACGCTTGCTGCCGCCAATATTTCACGGTGTGCCGAACCCAAACAAATGTTCGCAAGTGAACAGATGGAAAGTGCTCAACTATGCAAATTACTTGTGTTGCTTCTATGCTCCTATGAAAAGCTATCAATCACTTCGGGAGGGGGGGAGTGGCTAATTTGTAATGAGCACCAGATGTTTGCCATTTGCCACGTGGCATGCCGCATACTTCGATTCGAAGACTGGCGAAGAAATTCCGATGGAGATGGCGGAATGAATAGGCCGGAGATAATTGGACGATGTGCGCGCTCAAGGTTAAGAAGATGAATGGAATGACGGTCCCGTCGGCTGAGTGTCTAGCGGACTCAAGGTTTTAGACCTTTCAATACAATATCATTTTATATGGGCCTTTTTTCAGATTTTCAGCGCCTCCGAGACGTGTGACACCTCCACAAATCACGGCGCGGCTTTTGCGACGTTCACCTGTGCATTTTGACACGCCGGTGTTGCTCTGCGTACAGTGCATTTTATGCTACGCGCAAAGTTCTTTTTTTTAGTTTTTGATGAATTTTCTCCAAATATACATATCTTTAAAGCGTTTTTCTCCACTTTCAAACTCAATTAGACTTTTTTACAGATTCCAGATAAAGTAATACGCGAAGAGAAGTCGATGCGATGAAAAGAAACGCGTAAGTAAGCGACTCACTTTCGAGGACTGTTCATCGGGGAAAACGACGAAATATCGAGGCGTCGGCGAGTCTTCGCGCCTTCCCGAAATGAATCCGATTTGATGGCCAATCGGCGCCGATTCGGGCACTGTGAACCGGGTGAGAGCCGATAACGGAGGCAGCAGGAAAATGAGAATGAACAACACGTTCATCTTCGTCTCATCGCTCTTCTTTTCTTTTTTTCTTCTTGACGGGCTCTGAAAATGCGGAGGAATTGGTTAAGGGCGCTCTTTTTTTGACGGATTCTGACAAAAAAAAAGAGGCAATTGAAGAATCTTGGGAGAACTGAAAATTGAAGCCGTTTGGGGGAAACGTCAACGACAAAATGTTTGGTCCTTGCGACGGATGGAAAGTGGAACGGGCGGGCGGGTAACTGGTAAAGGATCGGCGGCAACCGTTCCGACACAATACACGCGCATTTCATAACTGTCGGTTGGTTGCGAAACGTCCGCGGCGGAAGATTGAATGCGAATACGAATGCCCGCATCGATAAGGCGACAAGGACGACGCGCGCGCGGGCGGTCTTTTCTGTCACTTTTGCCGTCTCCGATCTGATGAGGTAATTAACACAATTTTGGGCGAAGGGGCGAAGACGATTTCTAACGGTTTTTCGGATGCGATCGGCTTGGATTCAAGTGTGTAAAAGGCCTAGGCCTGGACCGGGCCGGCCCAAACCATTTTCCAAGTGTTTTGCTAGTGTGAAACTACTAAACGTTTGGTGTGTAAAAAAAATAAACAGGAAAATATCGGGGCGCCCAGTCAGCGGGTGTGAAAATTGAGTTTTCCGTCGGTTGTGTGTCGTGCCCAGCAGTTTTGGGTCAGAAAATGGGAGAGAGAGAGAGTGAGAAAAAGGGATAAAATGAGATAGAAGAAGGTGGTGGTGGTGGTGATGATGAAAATGGAAAGAAAATGAGTGACAAATTGCCCGAGAGATTAGCGCACTTTTGTGTGGAGGGCGAAACATGTTTTTGCAGTGTGTGCGATTCGAACCCGCGACTATCAGTTTATCAGGGCAAAACACTGGCACTGCGCCACACAAGACACTAGAATCGAGCAGCGCCAGGGTCGTAATGATCTCGATGTTTTCTGGTAAAGTTTGACTCTTTTATTAGCGAATTAGAACACTATTTTTCCCTTAAACCACGCCAGTCTCGGTGTGATAGCGCAGGTGCCCGTGCATACATATATTTGCTCACATCCCCTCTCTAATTGGCGACTGTCAATTAGTAGTAGGAAGCGGCTAATATTTACACAATATGTGCTCGTCTCAAGATGATGTTTTTCGCCTTCTTACTGCCAATTGATGGCCCCCCGACTCTTGTCAGTTTTGGGTGGGTTCGCGACGACGCGAGACGTTTTTCGCTTCGAATTCTCATGTCTAGAAGTGGAAAAAGGTGCAAAAAAAGAAGGAGCGGAAAGAAGGAAAACAACAAGAACAACAAATGAAATAGTAAAATAGTAATGGAAGATAAACGGACACAAAGGGCCAAAGAGAGAGAGAGATTTGACGGTGATGAGTTGAAGTCAAGGACAAGAAAGGGAAGAAGAAGAGAAAGAAGAAGAAGAAGGCCAAAGGGTGGGGGGACCCACCCACCCGTTAGGAAACAACGCCGATGCGGACACAGACACATGGAGGGTGTGAAGCCAGAAAAGGGGCGGCGCTGATGAGGTTAGAGACCTTCTTTTCGCTGAGAGAGAGAGCAGGTGGTCCCAAAAGTTGCATCAAAGGAGGCCTTTGCCAGGGGTGTAAGCCAAGATTTTCAAATTTTGGCCAAGGGGGGTCTGTTCTTGACAGCTACGGGCAAAACACTTTCCCCAAAGCTCTCCTAATTTTTCGGAAAAACGGACCAAAAACGGATCACATCTGTCTTCCTTTTGCCCCCCCTCCTCAGAATTTCTAATATTTACCGTTCTCAAGCTAGTCAATCAAGAAGCCCTCTTTCCCATGACCAAACAGGGGGTCAAACACATCTTCTGTCTGTCTGTGGCCATATCAAAAACGGAAATGGAGAGCGAACCTATCAATTCGTTCACACACGACCTACTTTGTCATCAAAGGCGGCGAAAAGCGGTGCGAAACTTCAAAGGCTTCTTGAAAAGTGAAACTATACTAAGAGGAGGGGGGGGGGGTCTTAGCTCAATGAAAAAGTAAGAAGGAGAGTACTTGAAATCGTCTCGTTCATTCTCATTTATGTATTTACTCGATGCGACAACACTAAACTAAAAATGAGGACCGAAACCCTTTTGAGCGAGAAGACGACGACGACGCAAATTGGGCAATCATTTGCCATTTGATGGGAAGAAGAAGAAGAAGCGACCCGGTTGCCCAACAAAAAGAGGCTACTCCTCCTCGTGTTTCCATATTATTGAATTAGAACACAGAGAGACGCTCATTTACCGAAAAACAAGCGTTTTGTGGGTGGGAAACTGAGTGTTTAGGGGTGATAAGGCGTCATGAGACGTTGTAGAAAGTCTGGGAAAGCGTTTGACGTTTGACACCTTGTGGTGTGATTCAGATGATATGGTGGCTACCACGGCGACCAAAAAAAACGTAGAAAGGGGCGTGGCCTAGCCGTGCACGGTTTTGTCACCATTTTGGCGCGAAATTCGAAATTTAACCCCATTTTTTACATGTTTTTCGTCAAAAATTACCCAAATTTTGTACGGGTTTCGACAATGTAATTGCATAACTTTGTTAAACTAATCATCGCGAGCACTTTTTTGAGCTCAAAACGAGCTTTGAAATCGATTTTCAAGTTTTGTGCTGAAAATGCGCGAATTTCAGTCATTCGCCGATATTTTTTGCCGTTTGAACGCTTAAAATACTTGTATTAACGTGCTTAATCACTTCCGACACTCACTTCGTCTCAAAACTATTCAGATCGGCCGGTATGAAAATTCCGAAATTGCAAAATATGCCAAAAACGTCTCAACCGCGGCGTTTTCACGAAAATTCCGATGTTTTCTCTCTTTAATTTCTCTTCTTTTGTCGATATCAACACACAAAAATATGGGAAAAGTGCTGGAATTGCGGCAATTTTCAGAAAACGCGTCTCAGATTAGGCCACGCCCCCCCCCTTTCTACACTTTTTGGTCGCCGTGGCAAAAGTCGAATTATCTCCAGAATCGAGCAATATTCGAAAAAGTGGTCAAGAGAAAAGTGTTTGCAAATGTTGTGCTGAACAACTTTGTAGTTGAGCATTTTATTGCAAAGCTTGTCAGTCTCGAGTTAGACGCCAGTTTTTGAACAGTACTCCTCAGGTAATTTTCGGCAAGGATGGGGCGCGCAAGCGGCAAGCGAACAGCAAGTTGCTACGGTAGCATGGGGTGAGCATGTGTCACGCACGGATCCGGCATGGCATCAGCATGGATAGGGCGTGCAACAGAAAAGAGTGGGATGGGAGGGAAGCAAGGTTTTTGAGCGGCACGGGAGCAGCAACGGTAGCAGGGTTGTGGCAAGGAAGTAGCAAGGGTTGAGCGCGTAGCAGGCACGGAATCGGCGCCCTTACAGCAATTTGCCGCGGAAAACGGCACGGATGCCGCTTCCAGTCGGTACTCATGCCGATTCATGCGGTAACTTCCCGAAAATTACCTGAGTCCTCTTCTTCTTCTTTTGCCACCACGAAAACAGAAGAAACCTCAACGCTTTGGGGGGTCTACCCCGTTTTGTCCTACTTTTGCATTCATAGCCCGGGGGGTGCCAGACCTCTTCTTTTTCTCGCAACAACCATAGTGTTTGAGCGAGAGAGAGAGAGAGAGAGCGGATCCGTCTAATCCATCGATCATGTTGAAAGAGAGTGACCGCATGTGACAGGTGCCGTCTTGACTGTTTTGCCGCACCGGGTCCCTAAGACTGTCGGCGAGACGAGGGAGGCACGCGGTCAAGTGGGAACACAAAACGGGCGGGAAGAGGGAGAGAGAGAGAGAGAAGGACAAGGACCTCGCCGAGACAATCAGAACAAGTGTTTTTAGGCAGGGACGAAGAAGAAGAAGAAGAAGAAGAAGAAGCCGTAGAAAGAAGATATGGAGAACGGTATCCACTTGAACCTCAATTTCCACATTTCAACAACGGTTAAGCACCCTCAATCTCGCGGCGCGCCATTCTTTTGAAGTGTTTGAAATGCGACTTGTTCCAACTTCTCCTAATTGGCAAATTGTTGTCTAGAGTTGTCCAAGAGTCGGAGCAAGCGTACTTTCTTATCCGGTTCTTGCTGTTGCTATTGATCCAATGTTTTTGTTGGAATTTGATCGCCTGTGCTTGGTGCACAACAAACAGGGCGCCCCGCCGATTGACAGCTCGTCCGATTAGGCTCCGGCACAAAAAATACGACAATGTCGTATAAAAGCAGAGTGCGCGCGCGAGTCGATGTGTCATTCATTTGGTCGGCTTTCGTCTTTAGAGCTCGACAATATATATATATCTGTAATGCGTTTGAGGTTTGTTTCGGGTTTTGACTCTAACATATTTTTGTATTGTTTTAGAAGTACCAAGGCTCTGGTGACCGTTGCCCTTTTGGGCACCATCGCCTGGGCCCAAGAGGAACAAGAGCAAGAGAGCTCCTCGCAAGCGCCAACTCCAACTTCCGATCCGCTAGATCCACAAAACGACGATGGTCTTGTGGTGAAACCGATTGTAGCGAAAGACATGCGATCGCGTGGAAGACGTGGTCCGTTCGCCTCCTTCTCCGGGAACTATGGATCGTACGGTGGAGGTGGTGGATATGGAGGTGGAAACGGAGGTGGAGGAGGTCCCTTCGGCGGCTTCAACGGCGGATACGGTCAAGGCGGATACGGCGGTGGCGGTGGCGATAATGGATACGGCGGATACGGCGGAGGTGGATACGGAAACGGAGGCGGCGATTCTGGATACGGCGGATACGGCGGAGGTGGCTACGGAGGCATGGGCGGCGGACCCGGCGGATACGGAATGGGCGGCTTCGGAGGCGGCGGCGGTGGCGGTGGCGGCGGCGGCGATTACGGAGGATACGGAGGCGGTGGATACGGCGGTGGTGGAGACGGCGGCTTCGGAGGACCGGGAGCCGGATTCGGAGGCGGTGGGATGGGCGGATATGGCGGAGGAATGGGCGGCGGACCCGGCGGCGGCGGCGGCGGATACGGAGGCATGGGCGGCGGAGGATACGGCGGTGGCGATGGAGGATACGGACCCGGCGGCGGCTACGGAGGAGGTCAGTTTATCTTCTTGGCTTTTAGGCTACTACTGATGACGTTCTTCAAATTTCAGGCGGCTACGGTCCAAGCGGTGGATACGGTGGAATGGGAGGCGGCGGCGGCGGTGGCGGATGCCCCAACGGAGAATGCCGTGGAAAGAAGTAGTTTCAGCCGTCTAATTTCTAACTTATTTTGTTTTCTTTCCTCGTCCTTCCACCCCCTTTTCGTGTTCTTCGTTTTTTTTTTCAGTAAATTTGTGTTTTTTTTTTCAAAAAAACCTTTTCAATTCTGATTCTAAAGCGACTCATTCCATTGAAACACAAGACATTTTACAACTGGACAGTTCGCAACCACTTTCCTCAAAGATAGGGTCTTGAAATAGCGTTTTGAACTCAATTTCTTGTGGCAAGACGGTTTTTGAGCAAAGAGCACAATAGAGATCAGTTGCAAAACGTCTTGTGGTTGCGAAACGTCCAGCAATTTGCTCGACAATAATCTGGCGCCCACATTCGCTCCTTCTTGTGCTCTTTTCCACAGGTTTTCAATACATTTGTCAGTAGAGCAGGGCAGCGGTTGCAAAGTGTCCGACAGTTGCAATATGTCCATCAGTTGCAAAGCGTCCAACAACAAAAGCTCACGAAACATGTAAATTTCAGTCAGTTTTCCATAAACTTTGGCACGTAGCTTGAGTCGGAAGAGTTGTGGTTGCAAAACGTCTCCTACTTGAAAAACCTACCGTCCGTTCCGCTGATTCCGATATTATCTGTTTATTTATCGGTGTCCAAGCACACGTCAACCAACATTCATTCATTTTCATCGAAAAAAGTAGTAGGATTGTATAATATCAGTTAGGGTGGCGGTCTAGAGCACATTTCTAGAGCGATAATACTCGTACTTTTCCTCAAGGTTTTTAGTGTGTGTGTGTGTGTGTGCGGATGCTCGAATTGTCGTCAGTATAGTAAAAGTGTCGATGAACGCTTCTCGTTCGATATCCACCGATACAAATCGCTCATTTTCGAGAACACATTGAACACCGGATTGCTCAGCGACACCTGAAACGAAGCGACGTTGCGGAACACGGAATACGGATGATTCCGCTCACCGGCGCTTCCATAAACTTGAACGACTGCTGCTCCGTTTCGATTTCGGGTAACGAGCGTGGCACGTGTTGATGCGATCCATAATAGTCTTGCATTTGTGCGGGACCGAGTGGTGTCCATGTGTGCTGAAAAGTCGGCGATCCGGGAAGCTCGGACACAAGGGCTCACCTCGGAAAAGTCAATGTCCCTTTGCGGCTCGCCGTCGGATCGCTGATAGCGCCAGATGATGTTGCACTCGACCCGCGTCGTCGTCGTCGTCGTCCAACTAAGGACTGTGAGGCCAAGGAGAACGGATGGCATGTGCATCGTCGCTGAAAAGCGAAAAAATGGGGTTGGGGATGGATGATAATGAATAATAATTGGATTAGAAGGGTCCAGTGACATTCACGGGGTACATAAATACATTCTGAAAAGCATGCGAATTGAGAACGATCGGAAAAAAGCGCCAAGTTCGCGGCGAAGACGGACAATGATCAGGAGGATGACTTGGGATTTGGGCGGCTGTCGGTTGATGATACTTCCTGAATGACGTGGGGTCTTAGAAAATAAGATCAAAAGACTAGCATGTCGGGAGGTAGACTAGGGGTCTGAACACGGAAAGAGTATAGGACATTCTTTTGAAAGTGAGCCTAATTTTGTATTCAAAAAAAAGTATAGAAAAAATGTTGAAAATGTCCTTCATCTTGCACAGCTACCAACACCAAAATGTTAAGCACTGATGTGTCCAAATCCGAAGTCATTTGATCGAATTTGAGCCGATGAGTAGAGCTCCAAAGTTGGGGACACCAAAGATATTGGATCTGCATGGATCAGTACTGGAAAGCGGGTCTGGACTTGGATTTGGTTGACCGTGTGGATTAACCGATGGTTGAACATTCGGTTGAGCCGAGAACGGCGGCAGACAGAATAACATTATAAGTTTGAGGGGGGGTATTATGAATTATTATGATTATTATAAGGAGAAATGATGGATATAAAGTTTAGGGCTCATTCATAATTACGGATAATATCTATTGCAAAGAGAACAGCCATTAATTGGACATTTTTGGGGCTGGTTTTGCCGGAAATGGATAATAGAATGACGGCTCACATCGAAATGTTAGGCTTCAATTCGCAACTGGACGTTTCGCAACCGCCTCAACAACTTGAAATTTTAGGAAAAGTGGTACAACTTTGGAACCATGTATCTCGGTCAATTTTTGAGATTTTCAGATGTTCTAAAAATGATTTGATAGAAAATTTCAAGCTCTACAACTTTGTAGTTGATCATTTTCAACGAAAATTCTGTAACATCACGATATTTACACTTTTCCACGGAACTGTAACTAAATTTCTCGGAAAGTTGGTTCAACTTTAGAGCCACGTATCTCGGTCAATGTGTGAGATTTTTAGATGTTCTAAAAATGATTTGATAGGAAATTGCAAGCTCTACAACTTTGTAGTTGATCATTTTCAACGAAAATTTTGTAACACAACGATATTCACATTTTTCCACAAGACTGTAACTAAATTCCTCTCAGAAAGTTGGTCCAACTTTGGAGCCGCGTATCTCGGCCAATTTTTGAGATTTGCAGATGTTCTAAAAATGATTTGATAGGAAATTGCAAGCTCTACAAGTTCGTAGTTGATCATTTTTAACGAAAATTTAGTGGCACCACGATATTCACACTTTTCCACAAGACTGTAACTAAGTTTCTCGGAAAGTTGGTCTAACTCTGGCGCTCTGGCGACCAGTTTCCTTTTTTGGTCGGACTAACGGTTGGTCATCTAGTTGGACGCCTAATTAAATTTGCGCTTTGACCTATGGTCGGAAAAGACTGCTGCTAATTAGGCAACTTTTAGCTGGTCTAGGAGCGGCCTGGGCGATTTGGAATAGTAGTTGGACCCGAATATAGGAGCCTAGGAGCCGAGACCAACGAATCGTAATCGCATCACAATACTTGAGCATGAAATGAGAAAAGGGAAAAGGGGCAAGCAAGGTGTGGGCGGTTGTGATTATGAATTCCGACACCGGCAGCGGACAGCTGAAATTCGGAGGCATGACGGAAAAGAGGAAATTGAAAAACGAAATATTTCCAAGTAGAAAATTATTGCGTGGCCTGGTGGACCAGCCGGATACGGCCCATTTCTCGGTGGCGTCACTTAATGAGCCGCGCTGTTGATCGGCTAATTCAATGCGGATGTCAGACACACACACACACACATTGAGCACTTTCACCCTTGCTCCGCAGCATAGCTGCCTGGCTAGCGGCGCCGTCTCATGAATAATAAATTGGGCAGAGTTCTTGTTTCGGCCAATTGGCATTCGATCGAACTTTCGAATGAATGACGTGAAAGTTCGAAGATTATGAGCTCGCGCGCATAATAATATTGTCGATGGTGATCAAGAGGAAGAAGAGGCAAATAAGGAAAATAAAAGAAAAGCCGGACAACCCCTCCGAATGATGCGAGATGAATAGCGCACCAGGATTTGGCATGTTCGGGTCAAAGTTTCGAATTTGCAATTTGTCTAGAGGTACCTGGGCTAAAAAAGAGCGCCAGAGTTAGACCAACTTTCCGAGAAATTTAGTTACAGTCCTGTGGAAAAGTGTGAATATCGTGGTGCTACTAGATTTTTGTTAAAAATGATCAACTACAAAGTTGTAGAGCTTGAAATTTTCTATCCAATCATTTTTAGATCATTTGAAAATCTCAAAAATCGACCGAGATACGTGTCGCCAAAGTTGGACCAACTTTCTGAGGAATTTAGTTACAGTCCTGTGGAAAAGTGTGAATATCGTGGTGCTACTAGATTTTCGTTAAAAATGATCAACTACAAAGTTGTAGAGCTTGAAATTTTCTATCAAATCATTTTTAGATCATTTGAAAATCTCAAAAATTGACCGAGATACGTGTCGCCAAAGTTGGACCAACTTTCTGAGGAATTTAGTTACAGTCCTGTGGAAAAGTGTGAATATCGTGGTGCCACTAAATTTTCGTTTAAAATGATCAACTACAAAGTTGTAGAGCTTGAAATTTTCTATCAAATCATTTTTAGAACATCTAAAAATCTCAAAAATTGACTGAGATACGCGGAATTAAAAGTTCAAGTGATAGAAGTTCGAGCCCACTGTCACAGAAACTAGCCGTCTGGATGCTTGGCTGGCTTGAGACACGTATTTGGGGTTTTTAAGCGAAGACTCCAAATTGGTTAATGTATTTGCCGATCATAGAAGGCCCTAGAGTCTGTGTTCGGACCGAAACATTCTTAGGCCTCAAGTATTTGATCTGGTTTTTTGAGGACTTTTGTAGCATTTTATGCTAGAGACCGCGGTTTATGGTGGACCGGCTATATATGTATTGGAAATCCGATTATCAACTCTCGCCGGGGAACACTATCATGTTGTCAGATTCTCCGAATTTCTCTAGCAATTCTTAGAAACACTCTCAACGGTCGCTGGCTCTTCGAAATTTGCTCAAGCGCTTTAAGAAAATGCAGCAATTTCATAGTGTTCATATTTTTGTCTTCATGAAATCATTTATCAGACTGAAATTCAGGAAGAAGCGCAATGCAATGAAACTGCAAACTTCCAATATTATCGAATCAACTTTTTTTTGTGCTCGGCGAGCTTAGAGCCCGGATTAATTACGAATCCGGGGGAAAAAAAGAAGAATCGCGTGACTTATGAATCGGCGGCAGACAGAAAAACATCATAAGTTTGAGGAGGGGTATTATTATGAATTATTATGATTATTATAAGGAGAAATGATGGATATAAAGTTTAGGGCTCATTCATAATTACGGATAATATCTATTGCAAAGAGAACAGCCATTAATTGGACATTTTGGGGGATGGATTCGCCGGAAATGGATAATAGAATGACGGCTCACATCGAAATGTTAGGCTTCAATTCGCAACTGGACGTTTCACAACCGAAACCATTCCTCAACAACTTTTCAAACTTTAGGAAAAGTGGTACAACTTTGGAGCCGCGTATCACGGTCAATTTTTGAGATTTTCAGATGTTTTAAAAATTATTTGATAGAAAATTGCAAGCTCTACAAGTTTGTAGTTGATCATATTTAGCAAATTTTCACACTATTCACACTTTTCGACAGGACTTTAACTAAATTCCTCAGAAAGTTGGTCTAACTTTGGCGCCACGTATCTCGGTCAGTTTTCAAGATTTTCAAATGATCTAAAAACGATTCAAAAGCAAATTTGAAGCTTTACAATTTTGCAGTTAATCATTTTTAACGAAAATCTAGTAGCACCACGATATTCACACTCTTCCACAGGATTGTAACTAAATTCCTCAAAAAGTTGGTCCAACTTTGGCGCCACGTATCTCAGTCAATTTTCAAGATTTTCAAATGATGTAAAAACGATTCGAAAGCAAATTTCAAGCTCTACAACTTTTCAGTTGTTTACTTTGCCTGAAAACTCATCAGAACCACAATATTTTCATTTTCCAAAAGGCCATTTTTAGTGGTTCAGTTCAAAGAACGTTTACGGTAGGTGTCATCATGTTTTTATACTGCTAGTTCAACTAAAAAAATTATTTATAATTCATAACGTTTTTTTCGGCCTAAAATAGGTAATATTTCAACTGCTCCAACTTTTGCCCGGGTTCCGATTAAAACGATGAATTTTAAATTCAAACTTAACCTAATATACTTTCTCGCGACCTTTTTGCTCATTCATAGAATTGTTCGGAACACACGAGAAGACGACGACGACGAAATAATGAGCATTTGAGCAATGACATCACTTAATTGAAAGTGAGGAAGGCGGAAATAATGTGCCTTTAAAAGTTCGCGGTCAACAATGAGAGCGTGCGCGGCTAAACGTATGGCCTAACATTTTAGGCAAAAAGTTCGGCCACCACCACGTTCCAGAACCGATACTTTATTCCAGGCCTCCTCTCATTTTCCAATCGATTTCACACACCGCAAAGTGTCGTCGTCGTTCTGACTCTCAAAGTAGCTGTTCAATGTCGATTGGGACCGTCTGAAAAGTGGCCAATGTGTGCGGAACAGGGGTGTGCGGAAAATTTCGGAAAATCGGTTTTTCCGAATTTTTTTTTTCGGAAAATTTCGGAAAATCGGGTTTTCCGAATTTTTTTTTTCGGAAAATTTCGGAAAAATCGGAAAAATCGGAAAACTCACTTGTTCATTGGTTCAATAAAGTGTTTAAACAACGTTCTAATACAAAAAAATGCTTATTATGATTTGAAATCACTTGAGTGGGCGGAAGCCAAGCAATGGAATATTTTTTTGCAAAAAAATTAGCCGAGAGAAGCTCTCCGGGTCCAGTGTTTTCCGATTGTCAGTGAGAATCAGGGGTGTGCGGAAAATATTTCGATTTTCCGAAATTTTCCGAGAAATTTTCGGAAAAAAGACGCTCGCTGCTAGACCCTTCCAAAAATTTTGTGATGCGCCTTTAAAAAGCATACGGTGGTTTCGGACAAATTGACCTTGAATCCACACTAATTTTCCGAAAATTTTGCCGAAAATTTTCGGAAAATTTCTCGGAAAATCGGAAAATTTCGGAAAATCGAAATATTTTCCGCACACCCCTGGTGCGGAACATGTGTGTACCCGTACTTGTTGTCCTTGTCACTGGGCGAGATGGCGCTGAGCTCGGGCTGTGCGAGCAACTTTCGCCACTTCTCGTCAATGTTCGAGCCGTCGTGCTCCTTGGCCGTCGAGCATCCCTCCGCCGCCGCCGCCTCGTCGCCGTCCGTCTTCCGTCGCGCCATCTTGTTCGTCAGCTTCTGCAGCAGTGTCGTCCGTTTGTGGGCGTTCGCGTCCGACGCGCGTTTTCGTGGTTTCGCTTTTCGTCTCGACTTGTGCGCCGCGTCTTTTTCCGGTGCTCTTGGCGCGACGACGGGCTCTGGTTTTGGCGGAGGCCGGGGCGGCGGCGGGGCCCTCGCCAGATGGGTACTTGAGATCGGGAACAAGAGATCGGGCGTCTTTTGCTGCGGAGTCACTCCTTTACTGTTGCTTCTTTCGGTGCCTGAAGGTGTTAATTTTCCCGGCGCAAAAAAAAACCGTCAACATTACCTTGAGCTGAATCTCTGTCCGGATCCGAGCAACTATCCGAGAATGTCGACAAACTCCTCGACTTGTCCTCTTTTCGCTGCTTCGATTTGCACTGAACGAGTAGAAGAACGGGCAGGACGAGCATCGAGAAGATCGACAATACTTGCATTGTTATCATTTTCACAGTAGCCTTTATGATTGATTGACTGGAAGCCTTTTTTCTTTTTTTTTAATGGAAATAAAGTGAAACAACTAACGTCTATTTTTCAAGAGAAGAAATGAGAGAGCGAGGGCACAAAACCCCAGCCTTCCAATAAAAAATTCCCTTGGCACGCAATTGACGTGCGCTAAACAAGGCGCGTAACGCGTAATTCCGGAGCGTCGTTGTAGAGTTTCTCATTTCAGTTTTCCCTTTTTTTTGCATTATCCCCATCTTTTCAGAACCAATCAGTGTCAAAACTTATGATAATAATCAGAAATGAATGAAAAATAAAATTTTAACCGCTTCGTCATCAATTTCGAAACGTTTTATGCGAAAATTACCGAATTTTTTCCTTTTGGAATCGAAAATTTGCCTCAATTATCTCAATTCTGTATATTTTTCGACGGTTGAGCGCTTAAAAGATGCGCAATAAACTCCTTGTTGAGTGTCCGAACTCGATTCGGCAAATAATCGTTAAAACGCCGTTTTTTTCGCCGTTTTTAACGCCGTTTTTACGCCGTTTTTTCGCCGTTTAAACACCGTTTTTTAGTTTTCGACAAAATCTCTCAATTTGGTCAATTCTGAACGAATCTGCTCCGTTTCGCGCTTAAATCGATGCTTTTAACTCAGAAAATCGCCCTACGGTTTGCAAAGAACAAAATTTGAGTGTTTATTAAGAGAAAACGAAAGAATTCTGGTTTTCAATTAAAAAAAGAAACTCCGAGTCGACGGTGGATGCAAGCGCGCCCCATTGACAACTCGCTTGCGCATTGGAATGCTGGGGTTCCGTGTTGATCGTCGGTTTTGTTTGTAGCACGTTTTTATTAAAATTGTGATGCTAAAAGTTCAGTTCAAAACGTCCGGGTTGCGAAATGGCGCAAAGAATCAAGGCCCCGACTTCTTTCTCGTCGAACTGTCCTCTCCGCCGTAGATCACTCGATACACATCGTCTCCGTCGTACTTTTCGTACACTTTGATGCAGCTGTAATTCAGGAGACGTCAACAGGGAATAAAAATACTTTCAGAACCTTATTCTGCACAAAAGTAGGGCGCAGGCGATGAACGCGAGGAAATACATGGAGAAAATTTGAGCATACACCACTAAGAGACGGCTGAAAATGTTAGAAGAGCGATACACAAAGATCAGCACAAACATCCAACGTCCTTGACTACTGTCCGTTGTACCGGACCGTCGACATAGTCGTAATAGGGATTGAAGTAGTAGAAAAGGATGAGGGGGCATTGAGAGATCTGTAATGGGGTTATTCAGGCTGTGAAAAAAAAATGATTTTTTTTCGTTTTTTTACGTCAAAAAACCCAATTCAGGAGGTGTAAAAAAACGAAAAACAAACGGAAAACAAACATACGCTGAATAGCCCCATAATAGTGAATTGCACGGCGACCAAAAAAAACGTAGAAAGGGGCGTGGCCTAGCGTGCACGGTTATGTCACCATTTTGGCGCGAAATTCGAAATTTAACCCCATTTTTATCATGTTTTTCGTGAAAAATCACCCAAATTTTGTACGATTTCGACAATGTAACTGCATAACTTTGTTAAACTAATCATCGCACGCACTTTTTGAGCTTAAAACGAGCAGGTTTCATAGCAGAAATGAATCAATTGAATCGATTTTCAAGTTTTGTGCTGAAAATGCGCGAATTTCAGTCATTCGCCGATGCTTTTTGCCGTTTGAACGCTTAAAATACTTGTATTAACGTGCTTAATCACTTCCGACACTCACTTAGTCTCAAAACTATTCAGATCGGCCGGTATGAAAATTCCGAAATTGCGAAATATGCCAAAAATGTCTCAAACGCGGCGTTTTCACGAAAATTTCATCGTTTTCTCTCTTTAATGTCTCTTCTTTCGTCGATATCAACACACAAAAATATCGGAAAAGTGCTGTGGAATTGCGACAATTTTCAGAAAACGCGTCTCAGATTAGGCCACGCCCCACTGAGTCACAGCGTGGACATGAGACCAAAGGAGACTGCTGGCGCATGTTGCACTCACTTGGCGCACTATTGGATTTTTTGGTTTCGCAATTAAAATCTTTTTCTCGTTTTTATCTTTTAAAACATGTCGAAACGCAATTTTTCGTTACATATTTGTTGCAAAAAACTCAATTTTGAATTTTCAGGACTCGTTGCAACAATTTCTGCAGTTGGAAAGGCGCGACGCTGATGGAAATTGCCGAGCGGCACGGAGTAGCGGTTAGAATAATAAAGAACAGTTATTTTCTTCGCCGATAAATATTTTCAGGTTTTCTCCATAATTTTATCGGATTGCGGCGGACACGCGAATAGAAAAAAGCACTATTCAACTGAAAACCAGGAATCTCCAGCAACAAATTTTTAACGGAACACTAAATTTGTTTGATTACTGAATGAAGCTCATTGAAAATATTATTTGTTTTCTTTTATCGCTATGTTATCTCACTTCTACAATTCTAAAATTCGATCCTTGTGGCCGGAAGTTTGCCTACAAAGTTCACTTTCAGCGACACTTCAGATTTCTGACGGCAAAAAGACGTAACAATCGCGCACATAATCATTTTTACGTTTGATAAAGCTCTCTTTCATCTCTACAACTTCTAATACTGACAAACTTCTGCTTTTCATGTATTTCAGCCAGAAATTCACGCTACGCTTTCATGGTTTTTAAAATCGGTCAATTTGCATTGAGTTGCAATTTTTCATCCGTACAGCGTCTCTAGCCATTATATAACAGTATTCAAGCGTCAATGTCGTAATAAATCTGCGAAACAATTCAAAATAACCTCAAACTTTTAAAATTATTTCGCATCGCTACACAGTTTTGCACAAGGAAACACGACGGCTGCACCGATTTGGCTCTGTGTGTGCTCAAAATGACCGTCTAACTCCCAGCTACAATATAGCCTGTGACAAAAACGAAAAAATTACGGCGTTCAATTTTTACACGGGGAATAACGCAATTTTCGCCGAAAATTTATTATTTTTGAACTCTCGCGCGTGCGCTGCAAGTGCGCTCCAATGATAAACGTCCACGCTGTGACTCACCGCGCCCCCTTTCTACACTTTTCGTCGCCGTGAATTTTGCAACAATTTTGCAACAGGTACAGTGAAAAATCTCAAGAGTTAGCCAAGAAAAAGCGAATTTCGTTCACAGATTTCCACACAATTCGCTCTTTCTTGACCGTTTTATCGGGAAAAAACGAACCGCGAGACAAGCACAAGTACGGTGGCAGTACGGTGAGAATAAGCATACGAGGCAGGAGCTCAGCATGACGATAGACTAAAACATCGGTCACGCGTTGTACAAAAGTCCATAAACGTTGAGCTTACACAGTAAACGAACACCAGGATGGTTTTGATGGTCAGTTCTTGTGTGCAGCCCGGGTAGACTTCTTCCCAATCCTGGATGAAATCTCGGGTCACGAAAATCCAAATTCCGGAATATGCGAAGAAAAAAATGAAGAATATGTTGATGAGATAAAAGAAAAACGCAATGAGATCTCCTCTTACAGACTCCTCTTCGCTTTCGTCATCCGCCATTTCGACTGAAATGAATGCGATTTCAAAGGAGAATGGAGAACACGTGGCAGTGTGCTAGTTCGTTGAAAGTTCAAATGCGATGCAGAGTGGAGCATTTATTCAAATCAAGGTTCCCGATTTTTCCTTGTCGAACTGTCCTCTCCGCCGTAGATTACTCGATACACATCGTCTCCGTCGTACTTTTCGTACACTTTGATGCAGCTGTAATTCAGGAAACTTTAACAATGAACAAGAAGACTTTCAGAACCTCTTTTTGCACAAAAGTAGGGCGCAGGCGAGAAACGGCTCACAGGTTCACAAGAATTAATGCTCCCGCAGTAGCGAAGGACGAAATAAAAACAGATGCGAATCAGAGAATGAATAAGCTGATGGGAAAATGTGTGTTTATTCAAGGAGGAGACATGAATGCGGAATTTACCAGAATCGCCCATGATACACGGTCTCCAGAGCTGACAATGGGCGCAAGTGCGGCGCCCCGCCCAATAGAGCGATCCATTGGCGCGAAATTCACATTTTAACAGCAAAATTAGTGTTTTTTGCCAAATTAGCCACAAAAAACCGATAATTTCTCATTTGTCTCTCGATAGACCGATTGTATAAGCCATTACGAATTTCTTAAGCGAAAGAGCGTCAAATTTGGTCAAGTCGCAAATAACATTCATCCGTTTGAAGGTTTTTAGCTAAAACTGCGTGAATTTCAGTTGCTTTTCGGTATTTTTCGCGGTTCGAGCGCTCAAAATGCTTGTATTTACGTGATTTATCATTCTCAAAACCAATTCTGTCTGAAAACGGTCAAGAAAACGCAAAATGAGAATTGCGGCGATCGGCGGCGAAGGCGAAAAAGCAAAGTCCGCCAAAAATGCGCCAAAACGTCATTAATTCTGAGAATTCGTGTGTTTTCATGTCGAACGATCATTTTTCATCGAATTTGACCACAAAAATCAGAAAAAACCTGCTCACATTATGGCCGCCGAGGCCCCGCCCATATTGTCAGCTCTGTGACCCTAAAACTTTATAATAGAAAATCCGCAAGTCCTTATCTGCGCATGCCATTTTATTGGAAATGAACATGATTTCAAAGGTATGGTCCATAACGTATTGAACATTCTTTCTGTGGCGCAACCAACAAAAATGGCTTTATTCACACATTTTCAAGTGACTAGAATCGAACGAAAAAGCAGTTGCAACAACAACAACAATAATAATAATAATAATAATAGTTTTAGTTTGAGATCACTGAAATGTCGGTTTTTTCAAGCACTGTGTGCGCCACTTCCACGTCGCCGACTTTTGAGCATTTTGGAGCATCGGCGGACGCGTTTCGCCGGCAGTGAGCAGAGATTTTCTGAAAAATTGAAGCATGACAATCAATCAAGCTTTTGTTCGCTCACCTCCACCAAAACGTCGGTCGTCCAGAGAAGGATGGCCATGATGTGAAGGGAAATGACGAAGAGACGATGGGTGCCGGCCCCGATGTGGTCGAACATTAGAAAAGCATAATAGCAGAGGACACCGCAACAACGAGAAATCTCCAAGTACCGCGCGTACCATCTGCAATCATTGTTTTATTGGAACCGTTGTAGTACCTATCTTTTTGTGTAAGTATCGCAGCAAGAGCCGCATACTTGTGTGGCGCGTTTTGCAAAAACACGCGTAACTCGAGCAAGAATAATTTTCGCGCAAAATGATCAACTAGAAAGTTGTTCAGCACAAAATTTGCAACATTTTTTCAGTTGACCACTTTTTGAAATAGTTTTTGGTTGCCGAGGTACAGGCCGTCAAAGTTTGGCGATGAATAACTCAAAAAGTAAGCGTTTTGGAAGAGCTTACTCAACTACAAAGTTGTTTGGTATACGATTTAAGACAACTTTTCAGTTGACCACTTTTTGAAATCTACAATAGTTAATGAGATACAACGAAATAACTCACTTCATATCAAAAAACGCTCCAAAGCACTGCATAGTGACGACGAAAAAGGCGATTTTGACGGAGCACTCGAGATAGCTCAAGTTCATGCGATCGTACTCGAAATGGAAGAAGATGGCGAGGAGGAGGACCATCGAAACCGCCACGTACGCTTTCACGAGAACGCGCGCCGGCGGATCATACCGTATCACGGGCTTTTCGGGTTCGGGCACATTGTGCGCCGGATCCGCCATGCTCATCCAGTGAAAGAAGGGAACGAGCGGGACTCCGGGCGACCATCCCGGCGGAAATATTGTCGCCTTGAGTTTATTGACAATGCCCGGGAACACGGGCTCTCCTTTCACGTCTTTTGTGCGGCCTTTGAAGAGAAGCATGTCGAAGAGTGTGTGAAATTGAAGGTACACTTGATTGAACGTGTTCTCGTTGGAAACGAGCCCGTAGATGGGCGGATCTTCGGGACGTTCCGGCTCGAAAGTGTCGAAGAGTTTGTCCCAGACGATGAAGACGCCTCCGTAGTTTTTGTCGATGCAGTACGGGTTGCGACCGTGATGTACGCGATGGTGCGAGGGCGTGTTGAAGACCAATCCGAGCGGTCCCATCGTGTCCACCAGCTGCAACTTTGAGCCCACTTTGACGCGTTACAGCAGCGTTTGGAGTAATTTTACAAAAAAGTTGTCAACTAGAATAATAAAGAGTAACTCTAGTACTTCACTTCTTCTGTTGACAATCTTTCCCTAAAACTCTTCCGAAGCGAGTTATGATTCGTATAAAGTTTAGGACATATGTTGCTTATTCAAAGCGACGTATCTCAATAGCCTGTGAAGATATCGAAAAGTGGTCAACTGCAAAAATGTTCATCAACAAATTTTGTACCTTTTTGCACTTGACAACTTTTTGATATCTCCACCGACAGCTGAGCTATATTGCTTACCGAGGTGTGCATGATGAACTGGAAAATTTCGGAAAAGTAGCGATGCACCAAGAAGATGGGCGGTGGAACGAAAAACGCCTGAAGACAATCGTAAATCGCCAGCCCGGCGTCTTGAATCGCCGCCTGTCGAAGAGCCGTCGAGAAATTGTAGTACTCGGAACTGTGGTGGATCGTGTGAAGACCCCAGAAGAAGCCCGCTTCTAAAACACAACCGATATATTGTCGGACAAACGCGTTTTTGCGCCGCACCGTGGACCGCTCGATGTCCCAAATAGTACATAAAGTCTTGGAAGAAGAGACAAAAGATCCAGGTCCACGGAGAATCCCACGGCAGTTCGACTAGTCGCCAGTTGTCCCAGACGATCACGTAGAGGAAGATGGCGACGGCACGACCACCGAATCTGGAAGCACATTGGCGCTACAGTAGCCGTAGGAGTGGTCGTAGAAAAAAGTGATCAACTAGAAAAATGTAGTAAATCTCTAGTACTTTAAGTTGCTAGTTGAAAATTTTCGTGTAAAATTGTTCCTAAGCCTACTAAGACTCACTTAAAACACTGGCTCAACATGCCGGCGCATATCGAGGTGATCGAGTCGTTGAGCGCGAATCGGTCCTCGTGTCCCGAGATGAAGAGGACGAAAAACTCGGCGGCCAAGAAGACCAACCACCACGCCGACACTTCTGCGTTGTAGTTGGGCACATCTTCGAGCCGCTCCACACTTGTCTCGTACGGCGAAACTAGGTAGAAGGCGTGACGGAGGTTCGTGAGGGTTAGTCTGAAAAGAGAGAGGGTCGCGCGACGTTCACCAAACGTTTGATCCTCAGTCTGTGCATTTTGACACGCCGGTGTTGCTCTGCGTACAGTGCATTTTATGTTACGCGCAAAGTTCTTTTTTTTTTAGTTGTTGATGAATTTTCTCCAAATATTCATCTCTTTAAAGCGTTTTTCTCCACTTTCTACCTCAATTAGACCTTTTTACAGATTTCAGGTAAAGTAATACGCGAAGAGAAGTCGATGCGATGAAAAGAAACGCGTAAGTAAGTGAAAGTAAGGTTTATTCAGAAATTCCACGATTTCTCGCAAAACGTGATTAGATTTTCTAATCTTTTGGTTAAAAAACGTTACTAACATTTTTGAGAATGTTTTCGAGCCAAAAAGAAGTAGAGTGACAGCTCGCTTTCGCGGAAAAACCGATAGTTTGCCGGAAGACAGCGAAATTTCGTTGAAAAATTTTTTTTTGCTTCTACGAACTGTCACTCTAATTTTTTTTGGTTCGAAAACATTCACAGTCATGTAAGTGAACTATTTAAACAAAAAAAGTAGAAAATCTAGAGACGGTTTTTGAGAAAAAAATTTTTTCCACAAAATGTCACTGTTTTCCGGCAAAAAACCAATTTTAATGCGAAAGCGAGCTGTCACTCTACTTTTTTTGATTCGAAGACATTCACAGTCATGTTAGTGAACTTTTTAAATCAAAAGATTAGAAGATCTAGAGACGTTTCTCGAGAAATCGTATATTTTCTGAATAAAACATTACTTCTATTTACTTACGCGTTTCTTTTCATCGCATCGACTTCTTTTCGCGTATTACTTTATCTGGAATCTGTAAAAAGGTCTAATTGAGGTAGAAAGCAGAGAAAAACGCTTTAAAGAGATGAATATTTGGAGAAAATTCATCGACAACTCAAAAAAATTAACTTTGCGCGTAACATAAAATGCACTGTACACTGAGCCACACCGACGCGCAAAAATGCATACCATCTGGCTGCGTATGTTGCAAAAGCCGCGCCGTGGCGGTCGGCACTTGTTTCAGAATCGCCAACCTACCTCTCCAACAATCGATGTCCCAGCGAGGTGTTCGAGAATACGCGATCGAGCCACGGCACAGCGCTATCGTTCATTTTTGCATAGTCTGAAATTGAAAAGAGAGAGAGTTTAGGGGGGCAATGTTTCGCTGATTTGTTGGTACAGACAGCAGCAGATAGCCTGGAGGAAATGAGAAAAAGGCCTCCTAGTGACGCAATCAACGGAGGCTATATGCAATGAGGGAGGCAGACGGATGAAGCTGTGGCGGTTGGACACCACCCGAACCGGTCTGGGCGACGAATCGATGGAATAGAAGTGGCTGACGGGCGGGCGGGGGAATTGCATCTGATGCTTCACTGATTCGATGGAAAGTCTAAGGAAAGGGGAGAGGGAGACGTTGTAAGACATGATCTTTGGGTTATTAGTAACCATTTTCGAGATGCAATGTTCAAATGGAGACGAGCGGCTCACAATGATAAAGAGATAGAAGAAGCCGATCAGAGTGATGTCACTTTGATGCCGATCGACCAGAGACCACCTTTTACAATGAAAAGAACCAAGAAACTAACGATAGTGTGAGGTTGAACGGGTACCCTTCATTTCAGGGTCAATAACTCAAAAAGGAGGTATTTTTGTGAAAAATTGTCAACTAAACATTTGTTCATGACAAAATTTGCAACAATTTTCTAGTTGATCACTTTTCGAAATAATCACAGATTCTCGAGATATAGCGTTCCGAACTTTGACGAACATTTTTCATTTTTAAAACAACAGCGCATCTCCGCGAATCGCGTGAAGATTGGCATCTCTAGCCGTTCTAATAGTGTGTGTGACGGTTCGTGTGTGTGTAACATACACACGTAAAAGAATGTAAAGGGTTTACAGTGATTTGGCGAAGAAAATGTAGGCACGACATCAAGTTAATCTCAAAAAATCCGGAAAAAAGGACAGGCAAAAGAAGAAGCGATTGGCACGCCGATCCGTCCGTCCATCCGATCACAATCTCGGCGGTGGGAATGGCTTTGCAATCTCTCAACTGAGACAGGGTGTTTAGAAAGCGAAACCTGATCGTTTTCCTTCTTTTCTCCCACCAAATCCATCACCGACACCAGAGTTTTGGGGCCGGTTTGAACGAATGTGGTGCACAAAAGTTGGCTCATAACTCGAAAATGAAACGTTTTGGTGAGAAATTGTCAACTAGAAAGTTGTTTAGCGTAAAATTGTGAATCTTTTTCTTGTTAACAAAAACTTGAAATAATCATTGGTTCGTGAGATATATAGTTCAGAACATGGGAACGACAAAAACACGTTAGCCTAATGGGTACTAATTAGAAATAGGCGCATAACTTGAAAACGGAAAGGTTTGGAAAGAAATTGTCAATTAAAAAGTTATTCAGCACAAAATTTGCGACAATTTTTCGGTTGACAGTATTTGGAAATAGTTATTCATTCTCGGGATACAGGTCGTTAAATTTACTACTATACTATAACCGACATATCTTATTTTACGCTTCATAACTCAAAAAGCAAGCATGTTCGTCTTAAATAATCGACTACAAAGTTGTTCAGCACAAAATTTGCAACAATTTTTTAGTTGACCAAATTTTGAAACAATCAATAGTTCCCGAGATACAGGTCTCTCAAAGTACCGGTGCCGATCAGCCAAGCTATCAATAAAACACGCCACATCCACTTCAAACACACAATTATATTATAGCCTTCTGTCGCAAATTTTACACCTATGAATACGACGATTGAGAAACAATTTTACAATAGTCTATGTGGTCGGACGGAATTCGAAAGCAAAACGAAGGTTGATTTGAGAGACAAAGACCTTCACGGATAAAACTCGTTATCCACAAAATCTCGTCGCGCAGGAACTTGCTGCTGCCAAACACGCACGCAGAGAAAGTAGAAAACTACTATTAAAAGTCAACGTACACTGGCGGCGCGGCGGAAAAGCGCGGATTAGGGTCAAAGCACTTGAAGAAGGGAGGATTGAGGATTGAGGATTGACGCGGATGGATGAATGGATGGATATTATGGATGTATTTGATGATCGACGCCAACTAAACAACTGTAGGACAGTTTTGGTCGTGGCAAGAGGGGTTTTTACCAGGGGTGTGCGGAAAATATTTCGATTTTCCGAAATTTTCCGATTTTCCGAGAAATTTTCGGAAAATTAGTGTGGATTCAAGGTCAATTTGTCCGAAACCACCGTATGCTTTTTAAAGGCGCATCACAAAATTTTTGGAGGGGTCTAGCAGCGAGCGTCTTTTTAAATTTGATTTTTAAATTTTACGCACGGAGCGACTCTTTTCAACCGCGCGTCTCATTCTCACTGACAATCGGAAAACACTGGACCCGGAGAGCTTCTCTCGGCTAATTTTTTTGCAAAAAAATATTCCATTGCTTGGCTTCCGCCCACTCAAGTGATTTCAAATCATAATAAGCATTTTTTTGTATTAGAACGTTGTTTAAACACTTTATTGAACCAATGAACAAGTGAGTTTTCCGATTTTTCCGAAATTTTCCGAAAAAAAAAATTCGGAAAACCCGATTTTCCGAAATTTTCCGAAAAAAAAAAATTCGGAAAAACCGATTTTCCGAAATTTTCCGAAAAAAATTTTCCGCACACCCCTGGTTTTTACTGTGTCCTGGCAGTTGTTTTACTTGTTTTACCTGAACAAATCGGCTAGCACCGAGAGCACCAGGAAACGGTGCCTACCAGAGTTGAGCGGAAGAATTTTTATCTTTTTTAGAAATTTTTTTCATGAAATGTGATCAACTGACGAAATGTAGAGCAAAGTGAACTGTGCTCATAGAAAAATAATTGTAAATTTAGCTTTTCATACAAAAAAGTTATTCGAGTTGTTGCTGCGTGAGAAAAGGGCCAACGGTGTCGCAGATCGCGATATCGACGACGGAGCAGATGATCAATGACCACAGAACAGAGCATTCCCATCGACTCTCACGATAATAATAACCATCCCCATTCCTCACCGTTCCCAGGCACATTCACGGTGATTCGATTAACGGAACTCCGTTAAATACCCCGGAATCGCTCTTCTCAGGATATTCTCTTCTATTCTTTCTTCTACTTTCTACATTCTTCGACTTCTACGATTCCTTCCGAATAAATCGTTACACCATAGCCCGCACCTGTTTGTACATGGTGACCCAGGCAGGGGTAGCAGTCCAATCCAATCATGATGGATTCCACCAACATCTCTCCGGTGGCGATGTCCCGTAGTCGATCCAGTAGTGAGCCAGCCGAAAACGGGTTGGCTCACTACTGGATCGACTACGGAACAACTCGAATAACTTTTTTGTATGAAAAGCTAAATTTACAATTATTTTTTTATGAGCACAGTTCACTTTGCTATACATTTCGTCAGTTGATCACATTTCATGAAAAAATTTTCTAAAAAAGATAAAAATTCTTCACTGCCTATCCAAGGCGTGCCAGCATCAGGAGCACCAGCAATTCAAAGTACTGTATCTCAGCTGTCTGTAGAGCTACCAAAAAGTGGTCAACTTGCAAAATGATTTTTGATTTCATTCAAAAAGTGTAAATTAGAACTGCGAGAACTGATCCTTCTTCATCTTCTTCTGTCCGTGACCGTGATGACGATGCACTCCTCCCTTCCTCCATCTATAGGTGACCGGTTCGAAGGTCCATCGGTCCGGCTGTCCAAAGTGCGGAATCTTCTGGCCCAACGGACTGGTTCGCCAATCGAAAACGGGCACAGCGCCGTGCGGAGGGCCCGAGACGGCGGTGAACTGCAGGGAATTGATGAGTTTCGAGTTGGTCACCTTCGCATCGATCGCTCCGTGGTCCCGGAAGCCCAGGGATTTGAACGGATAGGTTCCGTTCGGCGGGTTCAGGTCGGATCGGCAGGCGATCGCGTTCTCCGCAGAGTACGGAGGGTTGCAGTCGCAGCGGGACAGCGGGTCCTTCGTGTAATTGTTGGACGTCATCAACGCGATCATCGACTCCATGTCCACCACGTTTTTGTGATCTCTCTTGAAGATCAACGCTCGCGGCGTCTTCTCGTAGCTGAACCAGTCGCCGAACTTTTCGACCATTTTGTCGGTCTCCGAGTAGCGGATGATCTGCTTGTAGAAGGGTTGGTTGTAGCCGGGCCAGTACGTCGATTCGAACAGATGGGCGGTCATGTCCGAGTGCACGATGTGGCCTCTGAAAAAGTGGCGATTAAATTCGGAATTATTTTCAGCTAGTCAACTTGGGCTCATTTTTTTCGCAGAAACTCACGGCATTTGCTCGACGACATGAATAATTCCGGTCTCCGGCTGCACTGGCTTTCCGCGGTGGAACTGTTTGTAGTCGACGACGACCCACTCGTTGTTATAAGTTCCACTGTTGTGTCTTCCGAACGCCTCGGCCCATTGCAGTCCCGAAGAGGCGGTCCGATGGGCGATTTCGGCGCGGATCCACGTGAGCACCGTGTTCGGAGTGATCAGATCGAGCGCTTTTTCGTTGTAGTTCGCGATCGTCGTCTCCAGAATCGCGAGTTTCGCCGACGTCAGAATGAAGTCGTCGGTCGAGGTGATCGAGGCTGAAGGAAGAGGAAAAGTTAGGCTACGGCCGTGGTCTAGAGTTACCTGGATAGCTGGAAAACGAGTAGACCTGTCCTGGATCTCCGGTTTTGAACGCATATTTTTTGTTGATGCGCAACATTGTCGAGTAGGACGACCATGTGACGTGCGAGAAGAGAATATCGGCGTTGTTGGGCAGAAGCTGAAAAAGTTTGGGATGGCTTCGCTTTTTCTCGGCCATTTCTTTACCTTGACCAACGCGGAACAGTGGCCGGGGCCCGAGTAGACGCGGCCAAGTCGCTCGGGCTTTTTGAACTTTTGGGCCAGGTCTTCGAGGTCTCCGGCGATTTGGATCATGCTGCAATATAAGACTGATAGGGCGTGGTTTTTTGTTTTCGGATTTTTAAACACAAAGTGATTTAGAAGAGCAGAAGTCTGGTATTTTTCAGTTTCACACAAAGAAAACGCTTCAAACTGTTCAGCTACACCCCAAAAACTCACAAAATCGGATGAACGACGAGGTCCCGGTAGTTGATCTCGGCGCCCAGCTGGTCCTCGTATCCGTGGATGAGTCCGAACAGTTGATTGACGGTCAGATTCACTTGTTGCCAATACTCGTCCTCCGGGTGCTCTTTGATCTCCGTCTCCATCCACTCCAAATTGTCGAGCATGAACTCGGCGAGCTCGTCGCAAAAATGTTTCGCGCCGTCGCAATACCCATTGACAGTGTTGAGGATGTGCAAATCAATAAGATCGCGGGTGGCACGGCCTGAAAATTCCGTTTTTCAGCGGGTTTTCAGCAGAATCCGATTTTTTATTGGAATTTCCACGCTTTTCGTTTCCAACGACACTCCGAAATAACGCGAGCGCGCTGTGTTTATCGTAAATGTACCCGAATTTTTTGCAGCAAACCTTGATTAAAAATCGTGAAAATGTCGAATTATCGCCTTTTTTTTCTTCGTTTTTATTGTTTTGATAGGTCATGAAGTGTATTTTCGATTAAATTCACCTAAAATTTGCTCATGTGCCGCTTGAAATTTGGGTTTTCCGATAACTGACAGATTTTTGATTTTTCCTTGTTTCCCCTCGATTTCTTTGGTTTTTCTGTCAAATCGAGCACATTCCAACCTTTTTCTCTTTTCTTCGACTAAATTTTCTCCCATTAAAACACCTGACGCTTAGAAAAAAATAAAAAGCTTTTAGGTTTTGTAAACTTTTTTCCCCCGCTTACCCTCAGCAAATCCGGCCGCATATCCCTGCAACCAGTGCGGAATTTTCGGGCTGATCACGTCGACTTCGAGAAAAGCCCATCTGAAACGAAAAATGTGGAAATTATCGATTTTTCGGTCGGCCGATCGGCAAACGATGCGTCATTATGTACTTACCCCGTTTGGTTGACTTCGTCGTGGAAATAAGCCGTCGCGAGACGTTTTGCGCACAATTGTTCGTCCGCTTTACGGCCCTCTTTGTAGTGATGCAGTTGTCCGTCCGATTTTTCGCACACCGTGTACTGAAATTTTTGCGATTTCCAGCCAAAAATCCTTTTGAAAATCGTGAAATTTACTAACGTCTACAGAGCAGTTTGAGTGTCCCAAGACCACTGTTACTTGCAAAAGTGCGCAAAAACACCATTTCCCCCCGTCAAAACTCACCGATCTTTCTCTCGCCTCTGCGACGACGGCAAAAAGTGCCAAAACTATCAAAAGCCGATTTCTCATTTTCATTTCCAGAAAATGCTGGCCAACGCGAACTCGCTGTTTCGTCTGGGCGGCGATCCGACGTTTGAGCGCCGATTCTCGGGTCCGCTGCAGCTTCAGCAGGTGTGTAACCGGCAGTTGTCCGGCACGGGATGACCCTTTTTCGAGACGGACCCGGCAGGGGTCAGGTGCTCCGACGATTTGTCTTCTTGTTTTTGCGAAGAAACCGACGAAAATATCCAGTGGATGGATATTTATCTTGTCTCTTGGATGTTTGGCGTCACTGGGTCAAAACACTGGGTTGGGCTTTTATCACATTGAAAAAAGTTTCCTAAAAACTGAGCAGGCTTTCTGATTTATAGGAATCTTTCCTTATTTTTTCTAAACAAAGCCTGGAAACGTGAATATTGCAGGATTTCCAATGGCGAGCCGGATGGGGAGTGCTCAAAGCGAACATTATGTTCGTTTACAATAAAATGGAAGAGGAAACCGCCGGCCTGCCTTTTCTGGTGCTCATAATCGAGGATTGCTTCATCGAGCTGTGCGACGAGAACAAAATCGGCAAAGATTTCACTTTCGAGATCAAATTCAAGTCGTCAGTTTATTTTAATCAAAAGAGACTTCATCAAAGCAAAAATGCAAAAAATTTTCGATTTCAGAACTGGTAGAAGCTTCATTTTCGGCGCGGAAAACTTCAAATCGCTCGGTCGCTGGGTCTCGCTGCTCACGATTTCGCCAATCGACTACATTCAGCTGTCGAAGCAGAGTTTTCACGAACAAATCGAACAAACTCACAAAAAAGCGCTTCATTAATCGATTTATTGGAATTTTCATTGTTCTCCCTGTAAAATAGGTCCTGTGCTATGATTTGTTTGTAATTTTGACGGGTTTTAACGATAACATGTAAAAAAACACTTTTCTTCAAATTGTTTTCCTTTTTTCTAAATTACGGGTTAGACAACCCGAGCTTACCTGTTCTCCTCCCATTCTTTGTGTTCAAGTTGAACAATCCTCAAGTTTCAGGCAGGCTTGTAGACTAGAAAACTGTTAGCTTTGTCAGAGTCTTCTGAAACATCGTGCCACTTACCTGCGAGACCCTTTCACTATTTTGACCTACCTTCTCGCGAAACTCGGAACATACGATTTCCGGGCGGTTTTCCTCATTGTTTTTCGCTCTTTTTCGTTTCGATGCGAGCGGAAAACACAGAGAAAAGCTAAATTTTGTACACAAAAAGCCATCGAGGTTTTCTAAGGCGAGAACACGCGAATTGACCCATTTTCCGGTCAGAGATTCGTCAAATAGTGAGTATTTGAGGAATCCCAGGCTATTTTTACTTTGTCAATTTTTTTTTCGAATTCTAGCTCTGATAGTCGGTAGCCTTACTAACAATAATACTGCCTGATCTTCGTCCTCGTTTATAGTTCTATTTTCCAGCCGACAGCGTAAAATGCCCGCCTACCACTCGAAATTCGACACGGAAATCAAAGTGTTGCCGTTGGGGAACACGAACATGGGCAAGTTGCCGCTTCGCACCAACTTCAAGGGGCCCGCGCCGCGTAAGCCCAATTTTTAGACCGGAATTTGCATTTTTCCCATTTCAGATACCAGCCAGGACGATATTATCGACGAGGCGCTGGCCTACTTCAAACCCAACATTTTCTTCCGCGAATTTGAGGTAAATTCAAGTTTTTCTGTTTTATTTCGCTTGAAAATTGATTTAAAAAACGCGATTACGAGCATTTTGAGAGTTCATGAAAATAGCTTCAATTTTCAAATGTTTGCAGATAAAAGGCGCGGCGGACCGTACAATGATGTATCTCATCTTCTACATCACCGAATGCCTCCGGAAGCTTCAGAAGAGCCCGAACAAGATTGCCGGCCAGAAGGACCTGGCGGCGCTGGCACTCAGTCACCTGCTGCCGATCCCCGGAGAGAATGGCTTCCCGCTGAACAGCATGTTCAAGGCGCCGCAGTCGAAGGCCGACGAGGACGAGCTGCGGGCGTACTTGCAGCAGGCGCGGCAGGAGCTCGGAGCCCGTTTGTGCGAGGTCGCATTCCCGGAGCCGCAGGAGAGGCCATCCAAGTGGTGGCTGTGCTTCGCGCGAAGACGCTTCATGGACAAGGGACTCGTCGGACAGGGCGTCGTTCTGTGATCTAATATGTATTATGTACTTTGCATGTCATTTCATCAATATTTATTTTCATATATGCTTGTGTTTTAACTCTATAAACTGACAATGATTCAAAATTAGATAGGCTAGGCTCTATAGTTCTATTGTTTGAGTTCGCAAATCGATTGGCTACGCTCCATAAGAATTCGTGTGCTTAGAACCCATAATAGACAACAGGAACGCGACGGTGTCGTTCACAACTTCGGGCGAATCGATATGACATCGAGCCAAATGGCCGCGAACTTCCTCCGGAATCGCGGAAATTGGCAGATTTTGAATTCGCTCCAAGTCTTGCGGACTGAAAGAACCCATCGCTTTGCTCAGTGCGGCGTCGGGGGCGTTTGCGGAGAGGGCGGTGGTTAGCGAGGCCTTTGCCGAGGTTAAAATCGCCAAATCCACAGGGTTGAGTTGCTGAAAAAGCGCGTAATTAGCCGAAAAAAGAAGAGCGTGGAAAAATGTAACGCACGTGGAACTTGTAGATGAAAAACGCCTGCTCGGCGAGCGTGTCGTTCAAGTTCTCCATCATATTCAACTGATCCTTTTCAGTGCTCGTCAACTGCCCGCGCACTTGCTCGATAATCTCGACGGATCGATCAAAGTGCTTGAACATCTCGCCGACCTCGCGCTGCTGAGCGTCATCGCAGAAGTAGGCGGTCTGTGGGAAGCGCATGGAAACGACGGAACGCGCCGAAAACGTACCCGCTCGCAGACGAACGCTCGGAGACGGTCGATGCGCATCGAGTCGATGAAGCGGTTGATTTGCGACGAGATGGACGCGTCGAACGAGGCGGCGAGACGGATTCGCGAGAGACACGCGCCCGCAGACGGTGAGGGCGGAGGAGGAGACGTCGGCTCCTGAAAAGTTATTGTACAGCCACGGCTAGGGCGTTTAATCGTGTCCAAACTTTTTAGACTTTTTAAGCTTGTCCCTACACAGTCTCCAGAGCTGACAATCTCGGCCAATGGCGTTTTCATGAATTGAGCAGATTTTCTCCGATTTTTGTGGTCAACGGCGATTAAAAATGATTGTTCGACATGAAAACACACTAATTCTCACAATTAATCACGTTTTGGCGCATTTTTCGCGGACTTTGCTTTTTCGCCTTCGCCGCCGATCGCCGCCTAAAAAGCGCACTTCTCATTTTGCGCTTTCTTGACCGTTTTCAGACATAATTAATTTTGAGAATGATAAATCGATAAATATATATAAATACAAGCATTTTTAGCGCTCGAACCGCGAAAATTGCCGAAAAGCAACTGAAATTCACGCAGTTTTAGCCAAAAACCTTCAAACGGATAAATGTGATTTGCGACTTGACCAAATTTGACGCTCTTGCGCTTAAAAAATTTGTAATAGCCTATAAAATCGGTCTATCGAGAGACAAATGAGAAATTATCGATTTTTCGTGGCTAATCTGGCAAAAAAAAACGGAAATTTGGCTGCTAAAATTTGAATTTCGCGGCAATGTATCGCTCTATTGGGCGGGGCGCCGCACTTGCGCCCATTGTCAGCTCTGGAGACCGTGGGCCTAGATTTCAGAGGATATTGCAATCGGTCCCCCCTCCACTTTCTAACACAAACCAGATACGCCGGAGGTGTTGGATACGCAGCCAGTTCTTGACGTGGCGGCTGATATCCGTAATTGCCTGATTCCGCCGGTTCGTACGGACGATACTCTCCGATCGCTGCGTCCGATTTCAGAATCGAAACGACGATGAGAAAGACGATGGGCACCATTCTGAATAGTGCCAAAGTTTCACTTTAAGCCAGAAAAACGAAAGCACGACAAAAAAAACTGGGCGAAACCAAAGAATGAAGGCGATGAGGAGGTGAACATTTTTTGGAGGGGGGCAAATCCGGATAGATCCTCCCGCCCCCCCTGGTACACATTATTTTGTGAAAGTGATTGACGGTGCGTGACGGCACTGAACTCTCTGCCATCCTGGACGCGATGTGCCCCTCGTCATCCGCATTTCCGTACGAGACGAAAAAAAGAACAAATTGTGATTGGCGTATACGAATCATTATTATTCAAATGTGATAATGTGCTTTTGTCGAAGGAAAACTAGTAGTAAAGTGAGTTTCGGAAAGCTTTGTCAGAAAAGTTGAAAAGAAAACGGAGACTTTCCATTCTCAAATGCGTTTAGGATGACATGGAGTCGAGCAAGAAGGTGTCGAACAGTCGGAAACCGGAGCAGCCGATGCCGCCGGTCCAGTTGGGACCGGCGGCCCCGCCGCTCAACGTGGCGCCGAAGCAGGAGAACGAAAAGGGCGGAGAGAAGAAGAGTCGGCAGCCGAAGAGCTTCCCGCGGTCCCGTCTCAGCAAACGTCGCAGTGAGTCGGGGAAAAGAAAGGCGTAGTGGGATTTTTTTTTTTGCAGAGAACGAAGACGACACCATTTCCAATGTGAGCCGAGCTGAAAAAGTATGAACTTCAATGGCATTGTTTCAGATTCCCGAAGAGATGCCCGACCTGGAGATCAACCGCGAACACCCCGAACCGTTTTACACCGACGAGCAGCTCATGTAGAAGATTCGCGACAACTTGAACAAGCGCAATAAATAGTATGGATTTCTTTGGCAAATTCGATATTAATCTAATTAGAAAGTTACTGATCTAAACGCGATCTAATTAGATTTAGCTGTTTTTTCTTGGCGCAATCGAGATTTGAGCCAGCAGACGGTTGGCGTGAAACTTGATTTGAGAGCACTTATTAATCTAGCTAGAAGATTTATTAATCTAGCTAGAAGATTTATTAATCTAGCTAGAAGATTTATTAATCTAGCTAGACAATTTATTAATCTAATTAGGTGTCATATCAACTTTAATAGGCCGCCGTTAGATTAATAACGAAATGCCAGAGTTTGGTGATGATGTCGGTTTCAAATCGTCCAGTTGCCGATTGGAGCGGTTGCGAATAGTTCGGTCATACACTAGCCTTGAACTTTTCAAAGTTTTTCGCCGAATTGCAACAACAAGGAAAAGAAGAACACATTTGTCTCGCTGATCGATTTGAGTCATCACAAAACCCGTTCCACTCAATTACATCTTTAGAGGAAAAAGTCCATCTCGATGTGGATCTGGATCCTCGTCCACGCTTATTTTTTTTTTGATTCTGCAAGCCCATCCACATAATGTCAATTGTGACCGCAATCCGTCATCTCGTCGGGTTCTTCTTCTTCTTCTTCTTCTTCTTCGTTTTGACGGGTGAAAGAGTGAAATGTGTGCGTGCGGCCTACTTTTTAGAGTGGGTTTGACGACGAAAAGACGAAGGCCTTGAATTGACTCCCCCTCTCGTCGTTTTACGCCCTTTTCAACATCCCATTCTTATTTACTACCACTTTTTATCGGACGCCGACGGGAACGGCGCGCGAGAAGAAGAATGGATGGACACATGACAACTTTATTCATCATTCCATTTCATGCTTCTTCTGATCAATTGCCTTGTCTTCTTCTTCTTCTTCTTCTTCTTCTTCTTGCTTTTGTAGTAGTAGTAGCAGCTTAGAGAGCACAAACTTTCAAGAGCTACAGTACCCCGGGGAGTAGAGCTACAAGAATTGTGTCAACTACAAAGTCAAAGCACACGAAAAATACTGTACTTTTGTAGTTGACAATTTTTTTGTACGACCAGTTCCTCGGGTACTGTAGCTCTTCGAAGTTGGGGTAAAATCGATTCGGGCCAAAACTTTAAAGCGCTACAGTACCCCAGGGCGGGGAGGTACAAAAAAGTTGTCAACTACAAAAATACAGTAAAATCCATCAACTTTAATGTGTTAGTTGACAACTTTTTCGCAAAACCATTGTGAATAGTACTGTAGCTGTTCGGAGTAAGCACGCTCACTCCCACTTCCAAGCGCTACAGTACCCCAGGGCGGGGAGGTACAAAAAAGTTGTCAACTGCAAAATTGTAGTAAAAGGTGTCAAGATTTTGACTTTTATTCTCAAAGAACCGAAAAACGTGTCTTTTAATCTATTATCCTGTTATCTTCCTCTTTTCTGCTAGGTAATCAGGTCGTCGCAAAGTTAGTTTCTCGCCTAACAGATAGAAACAACAAATGGCCCATTTCGGAGTCTACACAATATCTACTTTTTCGGCGCACACGAAAAAGAAAGTTGCATGCTGTGTGTTTGCACTTGAGAATTGAGATTCTCTCACTTCACCTCATTTTATTTATTACCTTGTCCTCAATCCGTTCGAAAATACACACATTTTCCAGACGACGACGACGACGACGATGAAGACGCCATTATCATCATCGCTCTTCTTCCTCACTTGTTCGCTTTTCGCCTCCGCCGAATTCCGTCGATCGTCCGTGTTCGAGACGACGAATCGCCAAGACGGCGACAAGATTATTTTGACGGCGCACGGCATGGGCATTGACGATGTGAATCGGGTTGTTATTCCGGGTAGGAGAGCTGGGAAAGTGGCCAGTGGGACACTTTGCAACCGGGACGGACGTTTTGCAACTAATCCTAACTCGAAAAGTTTGAGTGGGATCCGTTTAGCCAACTAGGGAGAAGGGCTGAATGCCAGAAGTGGCTTGGTTGCAAAACGTCCGACAGCTGCAATCTGACTGGTTGCAAAGTGTCTAGAAAGACGTTCTGCAACTAAGGGACACTTTGCAACCGGGGCGGACGTTTAGCAACTAATCCTAACACGAGAAGTTTGAATGGGATCCGTTTAGCCAACTAGTAAGAAGGGCTGAATGCCAGAAGTGGCTTGGTTGCAAAACGTCCGACAGTTGCGATCTGACTGGTTGCAAAGTGTCTCTAGAAAAACATTTCGCAACTGAGGGACACTTTGCAACCACTTCTAACTCGAGAAGTCTTACTTGTTAACTAAACGGATCCCACTCAAACTTCTCGAGTTAAAAGTGGTTGCAAAGTGTCCCTTAGTTGCAGAACGTCTTGTTAGACACTTTGCAACCAGTCAGATTGCAACTGTCGGACTGGTTGCAAAGTGTCTCTAGAAAGACATTTCGCAACTGAGAGACGTTTTGCAACCAATTGCGCCTCAAATTGAGAAATTGCAGTTGCACAGTCTCTTAGTCTCTGCAGCAAAAAAACACTTTGCAACCAGTGTTGTCGTAACTGTAACTGCAAGACGTTTTGCAACCAAGCGCAGTTGCGAAACGTCTGCCTAGACCCTTCCCTTCTTCAGTGCACGACGGCCGAATCCCGCCGCTTCCGTGCGTGACGTCGAACGCGGGAACGCATCCGCACGGCTCCACATTCACGAAGAACAACTTCCACTACACGTGCAACAACGGCACCGCCGAAGTCGTCGGTCAGTGCGCCAACTATCATCCGATTCTCTCCAAAAGTGACATTCAGCGTGTCTCGCCGACGACGGATCGGTCATCCAGCTGGGACGGACGTTCGTGCGCGGCGGAATGAAGCACTATTGTAGCGTTCTGGGCGACAATGTCACGTACAAACAGGAGAGCATGTGCTACGAAAACGGAATGCACTACAACGTGGGCGACTCGTTCCGCAACGGATCCTTCAAGCTCACTTGCAGAGAACAGGGCGTTTATGTGGAAGGTGAGCGTCCGCCAACTTTTGAGCGATGTATCTCGAGAATTATTGTAGATCTGAAAAAGTGGTCAACTGAAAAGTTGTTCACAATTTTATTCTCTACAACTTTGTAGTTGATCGTTTTATTGGAAAATGTCTCATTCTAAAGTTAAAAGCCATTTTCTAAACAGTCTGTCGGTTTGCTTCCAATTTCCTCTAAGCACTCTATCTCGCTGACTATTATAGATCTGAAGTAGTCGTCAACTGATAAGTTGTTCAAAATTGCATCTAGAACAACTTTGTAGTTGATAATTAAATTGAAAAATGCTTGGCTCTCAAGTTATAGGCTCATTTCTTGACGATAGACGGGTTGCCAGCCAAAAAGATTCTCTTGCAGGCTGCTACATGCAGAACAGTTTCAACGATTTGCTGATGGCGGGCGAGTCGCGAATCGAGAACGGAAAGCGTCACGAGTGCGAAATAATCGGGCCCGGCAAAGTTCGATACGTCGTCAAAAGTGAGTCGGTCGGTCGGGGTCACACGGTGGTGCTCCGCCGCGGAGCCAAGATAGTGAATGTGTGCAACAAGTGTAGTGGAAGTGGAACTTTGTGCTTTTTTGCAAATTTTCAAAAAATTTTCAGTGTTGGGATGTATGCACGAGGGACAACAGTACAGCACCGGACAAATGTGGACGCATCAGCACGTGCGCTATCAGTGCAAAAACGACGGAACTCTTTTGGTTTTGGGTGAGAAAACGCTCGTGTTTTTCCGTTTCCACGAAAATGGTCTTAAAAGGGTCTAGTTGGACACTTTGCAACCGAGGCAACCATATTTGAAAACCTAGTTGCAAACCGACAAAAACGTCTTCCATTTTGCCATTCGAAATTGCGTAAGAATGATGATTTTCAGCGATAAAGGTGTAAAGCAGAATTTTTTATCTTTTTTGGAAATTTTTTCTATGAAATGTGATCAACTGACGAAATGTAGAGCAAAGTGAACTGTGCTCATGGAAAAATAATTGTAAATTTAGCGTTTCATACAAAAAAGTTATTCGAGATGTTGCGTGAAAAAAGGGCTAACTTTTTTGTATGAAAAGCTAAAATTACAATTATTTTTCTATGAGCACAGTTCACTTTGCTCTACATTTCGTCAGTTGATCACATTTCATGAAAAAATTTTCAAAAAAAGATAAAAATTCTTCCGTGTTCTTTACACTGTAAAGTTTGATGAAAAAGTGAGAAAGAGCAGCGAACAAAGTCGAGTAATTCCGTGATTTGTAGGCTGCATCGACGAGGATCTGTTCATCGAGTTGGGCCGCGATTTGCTGATGAACGGAGCGGCGCACCGATGCTATCAGGTCAACACGACCGTCTTCTATCACAAGTGAGCAATTTGCCGTTTTTTTTTCGGTTTGAAAGTGCACAGTTTTTGACGCTTCTCGGAACGTTTGAAGGCCTGGCGATTAAATATTAGGCGGGGAACGTCTAAAGTAGTCCCCCAGTCAACCTAGAGGATCCTAGTTCCCACTGGACCACCCCAAACCCGTGACCATCTTTTTGTGTGCAGATTCGCGTGCGAACGATCGTCGCTCGCCGAGTGCGTCTCGCAATCGATGCAACGCCGATTCAGAAGACATCCGGAGCAACGTGGATGATTGGGAGACAAAGTGTGGTGGCAACAGTTGAAAGTACAGGTGTATACGGTTTATTTCAATGTATTTGCATTACAATTCTACATGCTTCTATTCGACGGCGGCGGCGGCTGCGTAATAAATATATACATGATGAGATTTGTGTGTGTGTGTATGGACCCGTTAGACCAATAATACTAATAATAATAATAATTGATACAAATTCTACGCTCGAGTTCTATGCTCCTCGTTTCGGCGTGCTCGCGCGACGCCTTTCGAGAGTTTTGTGCACAACACGTAGCTCTTGTTCTTCGTGTAGTAGTCGGTGAGTTCGACGAGGTTTCTGGAAGAAAATATGCGGTGCTATACGGTTTTAAAGGCTTTTTTTTAGAGTTCTCTACGGCTCTTTTGCGTTTTCTAGGGCTCTATAAGGTTCTATACGGTTCTAGAGGGTTTTAAAGGCGTTTTTAGAGTTCTCTAGGGCTCTATAAGGTTCCATATGGTCCCACAGGGTTCTATAGGGTTCTATAGGGTTCTAGATGATTCTATAGCATTTCTACAGAATTCAATAGGGTTATATAGGGTTTTAAAGGATTCTAAAGACTTTTTTAGCAATCTCTAGGGCTATTTAACGTTTTCAAGGGCTCTATAGGGTTGCATAGGGTTCTATATGCTTCTAAAGGCCTTTTTTTGCGTTTTCTAGGGCTCTGTAGGGTTCTAAAAGATTCTAGAGGCCTCACAATTCCTCGCCAACTCACTTGAACGATCTATCGACATCGAGCTGAAAAGCCATGGTTCCGTTCTTCTTGACATAATTCCGAATGACCAAATGATCCACCTTCGTCTTTCTCCAAATCGAAATCACGTATCGTTGGCGGAAGTACGAGATGAGATAGGAGGACTCGCAAAATCCGTTGGACATTAGAATTCTCTCCGCCGCTTTCGGGTCCACATTCAAAAAGAACCACGATTGGGCCTTGTGAATGTCCTCCGGCGATAGATCCTCGAAACTGCCGAACCGTTTCGTCGTTTTTGCCGCGTCGGAGCCCTGCGCCAGCAATTTGACTCGACCACTCTTCGTGAACTCCACAGGCACCAGGTCGCAATCGTCAAAGTGAGCGGGCAGCGAACTCGTCGTCGGCGTCGCGCCAAACTCCATTTCCATAAAATCCGATTGAAATTGTGCGGGCATGCGCGGAGGAGCCGCTGGAACCAGGTCTCCCGTCGACAGACTTCGATATTGTCGATCCCTGGAAGAGGGTACAGTTCGTGCGTGCCGGTTACGGTAGCGTATCCGCTTACGACTTGATCGAGCTCGTCCAATTTTTGATGTGATCGAAAAGCGCCGAGAATCGACGACGACGTGGCAGCAGAATTGTCATTTTCTGCAAGTCTGGCGATGGTAAACAACACAAATAAATGACCACACGCCGCAAAAAAGTGCGTTGTAGGGGCGCGCGCGCGCCCGGAGAGATGGGCGGCGCTTATCAACCGCCGCACGTGTGATACCGACTTTGATTCATTTCGCAAAACGTCATTTAGGCGCCGCCCCCTCAAAACCGTAACGTTTGAAGTGATCGCAAACGAATCTATGGTCTCTTATCGGTATTGTGACGTGGCAAGAGGGAAATGTAGTGGTTTTAAAGATATGACGTGGCAGTAAGCAATTTGAAAGAAAAAGGGCACAGAACCCATTGCCACGTCAAGAAAAAGACGAGTTCTAGCGGGTCGGTAAAGCGGGAATCCACGAGATGACGTGGCACACGGATATCTAGTGGATAATTGAGGGTTGAAGCGTGTCAAACGAATAATGACGTGGCACGAAAAATGACTAGAGAGCGAGCCGGAGAGGAATAAGAAGAAGAAGAAGAAGAAGCCGGAGAAAAAAAAACGAAAAATGAGCTTAGACCCCCCTCCCCCACCCCCTCTTCTCATTTTTTTTTTGACTCGATTTCCCAATAGTTGGACAATATCGAAAAGCGATTTGAAAAAGTTCGTGATCTCTAATCTTGTTCTCAACCAGCAAATAATGGCAAAGAATTGCGAAGGAGGAGGTGATGATAAAATGTGAGCAGAAAATGTGAAGAATAGAATAGAATCGAATGGAATGGGATGGGACGGGTTTCGTGACGTCAACGGATCATGGGAAAGCGGTTCCGACAACTGGTAGCGGGTTGTAGGGACTAGTTTTTTTCTAGGCCACCAGAAACTGGTGTTGGAGCAGAACAGAGAGAGCTAGACTATGGCCTAGCTTTTTCTAGGCCATCTGTGAAGACTAAGAGGCTTTCAGTCAAGAGGAAACGTATGGCCGAACTTTTTCTCGACCAGGAACAGCTAGGCCATAGTTTGAAGCTTCCGCTTTTCCTAGGCCAAACGTCCAGAAGTCCAGAAAAACTTCTGCTTGGCTAGAAAAGAGATTCTCAAACGTGTGTGGCCGAGCTTTTCCTAGGCCACCAGGCTCGGCGCTCGGCGAAAGGGCACGTGAAGGGCACAAAACGGAGCGGAACGCGAGAGACGCCGAGAATTGGTGTGGCGCGGCACTTTTTCTCTTTCCCGTCTCTCTTCTGGTCACAAACGGCAGCGAGGCAACAAATTAATCGGCGGAGACGTTTTGTGCAAAAATTTGGGGCGAAAACGACGGTCGTGTGACACTTTTTTACGATATATTCTGAAAAGTAGAGTGTAGGCGCGGGGGCGTGAAACTTCCTGATTGTCTAGTCTAGACAATCGTCTTGATTTGATAATATAAATTATGTAATTCTGGGTATCACACTGGGCGATCTATGAGAAAAAGGTCTAGAAGACGTTTTTACTGAATACAAAGTTGTTGAGCACTAAATTTGCAACTATCCTCTAGTTGACCACTTTTTGAGGTCTACAGTAGTTGATGAGATACGTGCTGCTCTATATCTCGCCAACTATTGTCGAGTTCAAAAAGTTGTCAACTGAAAAAGTGTTGCAAATTTTGTTCTCTATAACTTTGTAGTTGACAGTTTTGCTTTAAATAGCTTCATTTTCAAGTTATAGGTCAATTGTTGATGCTTCCTTGTTGCTCGCTTAGGCATTGTTTAGAAAACGTTTCATAACTTGAAAATGAAGGTGTTTAAAGCAAAATTTTCAATTACAAAGTTGTAAAGCACAAAATTTGCAACAACTTTTCAGTTGACCATTTTTTCAGATTATTAATAGTTCGCGAGATAGAAGCCGTCAAAGGCGCCGTTTATGGCACCTCAATTCCATTCGGCAATGTTTGAACTCTGAGCATTTCTCCGTGTCATGAGCTTGTGGAATAAAATTTTGCAAGGCCCAAAATAGAAATGCTGAGGCTCCAGAGCTCGAGCTCTCCGAAAAACGGCTCTTTTTCATTGCTCAACGCCCCAAATCTATAAATAGACGTAAAACTTGGTAAGGCTTCTAAAATCTTTAAAAAAATTCACTTTCACACCGTCCTACTACTCAATTTTCTTCAGCCGAGGTATATAAACTTACGAGGAATGATGAAACCCAGAAATCACTCAATTTTGACACAAAACACACCAGCGGGTGGCGATGCACCATGAGCAGAAGCAAGGAAATTGGATTAACTATACGAAGGCAGAAACATTGCATCTTTCAGCTATTATATACACACGTTTTAAGCCCCCGATTTGACGGATATTTTTAGAGATTTGAAGCCCACGGAATTCCTCTAGAAACGCTTAGATTCCTTCAATATACGAACAGTTTCGAAATGAAATGAATTGGTGACGTCATCGGCGTCGCAAAGATAAGAAAAGAAGAGATCAGAGATGAAAAAATGAAGCCGAACTAGTTGAATTGATCCACTCGGTGGTCATCAGACACTTGAGAAACATTGTACTTTGTTTTACGGTTGAGGGGATCAAGGGTTTGCGCGCCAAAGGTGTACAAACAAATGGTCGATTTCTTGCAAACTTGGCGAGCTGATGACTTGAAAATTTTTGAGCACAATCTACACGTCTAGCACTACATTTTTCCAGTTGACCACTTTTTTCTACGACCTTTCCCTGAAGTACTGTAGCTCTGGGAAGTTGGGATACGATTTGAGTGCTTCTGAGAGCTTCTAAGAGCTACAGTAGGCTTAGAAGTGATTGTACCGAAAAGGTGTCAACAACAAAAATGATGTACAAGACATGTACTTTACTTTTGTAGTTGACAACTTTTTGATATAACCACTCCTCGGCGGACTGTAGCGCTTAGAAGTCAAAGCTCTTAAAGTGCATGCCGATTGTAGCCCAACTTCAAAGCGCTACAGTACTCCAACGAGTGGTCGTAGAACAAAGTTGTCAACTACAAAAACAATTTACTAGATGTGAAGAATTTACAGAAACTTTTCCAGAACATCCGAACTTTTGGGAACCCTACAATATCCATTCAAAGCGACCGGCGCACAGCGTTCCTAAGTTTACATAAAACCGAGAACAGTTCAAAACTAACGGAGAATCGAACTGAAAAGTGAAGAGCAAATAGAGTCAGTCTGTCTGTCAGAGCAAACACATTTAGGGGTCTGACCGGGAGGTCTTAGAGAAGTGGTTTGGGGCGAAAAGTTCAACGTTTGAGCGGTCAATGTGGAATCGGCGGTGAAATGACCGAAATTGTTTATTCAAGACGACGTATCTCAGTTGTCTGTGGAGACATCAAAAAGTTGTCAACTGATAAATTGCTCAGAAAGAGATTTTGCACATTTTGTTAGCTGAAAACTTTTTGATATCTCTATCGACAGTTGAGTTATAGCGTTTTGAATAGACCATAGTGAAATGCCGTGCAATTACATCATTTATGGCAATTTATAGGGAAAATGTCTGGTTGCGAAGTGACTTTCAGTTGCAAAGTGTCCAGAAGGTGTTTCAGTTCAAACTTCAAGTCCTCAAAACGTTTCAAAACGGTCAATTAGAAACATGTGTTTCACATAATTTCCACCTGGCTCTTTCTCCCGTCTTGCTCCCGATCATTGAAGCATCAGGGCATAGTTATCGACTGAAATGTGTTGGAAACGAAAAGACAAACAATACTCGCGCTCAACTCTACACTCGTACATCGTCTTTGTTGCAAAAATCAAAAGATCATTGCCGTTTCGCACTCTATCAGCTCTCTTCTCCACTTTTGTCCAAAAGTTAGAGGGTATTCGATGTGGCGGGCTTATCAAATCGCTTTTAGATGAACTGTTTGATCGGTACACACTTGTACATCATGTGATAGATTCGGGGAAGTGGACAATAGCGGGAGAACGAGGAAAAACGTAAAGAAAAACGGTCTCACGTGAGGGAAAAGTGGACTAGTTTGAAATGAGTGCTGTAGGCTTAGAAGAAGTATTATGGTTCTGAAAATTTCTCAGCAAAATCTTGACATCTAATACTCTATTTTTGTAGTTGACACTTTTTCATTACGACCTCTCCCTGAATTACTGTAGTCTTTTGAAATTACAGCTTTTGAATGACCCTGGAAAAGTACTCTTACTTCCAAGCGCTGCAGAACTTTTGAGAGTGGTTGTACAAAAAAGTGTTCAACTACAAAAATACCGTACTTGTCATGTTCTTTATTTTTGTAGTTAATCATTTTCTCATAAAATCACTTTCTGGACTACTGTAGCGGTTAGAAGTTGAAGCATGCAAGTTAGTTGAAGCCCAACTTCAAAGCGCTATTGTACTCTTCGGTGTGATCGTACTAAAAAGTGGTCAACTACAAAAATGCTCTACTAGACGTGAAGTGTTCAGACAACAACTCTACAATATCGATTCATAGTCTTGTCACGAGTTGTTCGCCTGTAATTAGTTCAAATTCCGTTCTCTTCCCCGAACTATCCATCATTCGATTTGCGGGTCTTCTTCTTCTTCTTCTTCTTCTTCTTCTTCTTCTTCTTCTCACGCACTTTTCGGAGGAATTCGCAAGAAAGTTCTTTAGTTTCTTCTCTTTCTCTCTCAAGCGGAAAAAGAAGAAGAAGAAGAAGAAGAAGGAGTGAGAACCGACGGAAACGGATAATATCTGATAGGGACTACAGTACATTTCGGGTGCAAAAGGTACCGTTTTGAAACCGGACGTTTTGCAACCGAATGTTGCCTGGTTGCAAAACGTCCGGTCTGAATTAGGGTTTTCCTATCAAAATTTAAAGACAAGATCGTGTCCAATGACGTGTGCTTTTCCAGAAAATCATCCGATCCCGATCTGATGATCTTTTCGAGCACAATCGGAAATAGAAAGTCAGCAGATGAAATGACGCCACTTTACAAAAGAAAATGGAGCCCACGTGGGGGTGTCTAATGGAAAAACTGTCTGAGAATGTGCACTGGGGGACTCTAAAAGTGCCACATCTTTGAGCACCTGTATCTGAGGAATTAATGATTCTTTCTAAAAGTGATCAACAGAAAACTTGTTGCAAATTTTGTGCTCTACAACTTTATAATTGCTCATTTCATCAAATAATTCTTGGTTCTCAAGTTATGAGCATTTTTGTAAACAATGTCTAAATAAGTACTGGAAACAAGTTGTAAATCTACTCATAACTTGAAAATGAAGGTGTTTAGAGCAAAAGTGTCAAGTACAAAGTTGTAGAGCACAAAATTTGCAACAACTTTTCAGTTGACACCATTTTGAAACCAACAATATTTCACAAGATATGGAGCCTCAAAGCGTCTCGCCGTTTCGCATCTGATCAACGACGACAAATTTGCGAAACCGGTTCGGATTTTCGTCTCCCCCCCCGATGCTTCTGACGGCCACACATTTTACTACTCGCCGTGTGGGTGGCAACGGGACGTGGCGGTTTGTCAACGACAGAAAATTGGGAAAATTTGATATGATAAAGAGGAAGAAGAAGAAGAAGAAGGAGAAGAAGAAGAAGAAGAAAAAGGAATGATGATAGAAATGTACGGAACATTATTAAGGGATCGGAAGCGCGGATTAGGGGGGCTCAGGGTTCGAACGCACGTAAATCATGCGGGGATT